TGAGGTGGGAAACAGGCTGGGGATGAGCGGGGGAGGAAACACAGGACCGTGGACAGGAAGAGGAGGAGGCGGCGGGGGAGGCGCGGGCGAGCAGTCGGGGGAGGGGAGGCCGAGCATGCGAAGGGTGGACACCGGCGGTGACTGCGGGTGTTGCTGCTCAACGCCGACACCTGGACCACTAGCTGCACCATGGTCACCTTCAGAACACTCCACTCCAGCACCCCCAGAACAAGCAACCCCAGAGCGAGAACCCTCCCGAGCACCGGTGCCATCCCCGAGCCCGCTGGGACAAGCCACGACAGGAACCCCAGGACTGGCACCCTCCTCAACGCCTGCACCCCCAGAGTCCACGAACGGCGGCGACTGCTGCGGCTGCTGCTGCGGCGGCAACAGCAACGGGGAAGGAGGAAACACCGGGGGAAGGACAGGCGGCGCAAACTGCACCGCGGGGCCACCAGAGTCAGCCGACTCCTCAACTGGGGCAACCGACGGGAGGGGAGTGACGTGAGACACACCAGACGGAGCAAGGCGGGGAGGGAGGGGAGCAGGGGCGACCGGAGGAGTGGGAACCAGAAACAGGGGGGGGAAACTGGGAGACCTCGGTGGGGAAAGCGATGGTAAAGGGAGACAGACTCGTCGAAAGTGGCGTCACGCGAGCGAAGGAAGCGGTGAGACGGCGGGTGGTAAAAGTGCGAGTCAGACGAGTCAATGGGGAAACCGAGGAAGACACAGGGGACAGTGCGGGCAGTGAGCTTGTCCGGTAGGGTGTACGACTGGGTGATGCCCTCCGCACGACAGAACTGACCAAGCCGACCAGAGGCGAACTCGCCGCCACGGTCGGAGTGGAGACACAGCAAAGGGAGACCGCGGTGGAGGCGCGCAGCTACGACCCACGGGATAAGAACGGCAGGCACGTCGGCCTCCCAATCCAAGGGAAACACCGTGGTGTAACGCGTGAAGTCGTCGACGAGCACGAGAAAGTAGCGCTCGCGACATGGTCCACGGACGGGGGCTGGGCCCCAAACGTCCAAGTGCAGGGTCTGGCAGGGTGCAGCGGCAAGGCGAAGCGAGGAAGAGTGAGGAGCACGACGTAGCCAGCCCTCGACGCGGGGCGTGCATGGCGGCGCAGGCAAGGGAGGGAGGGCAGGTAGCGACGCAGGGAGGCCTAGGACGAGACAATGCTGAGACATGTGACGCAGACGCGGGAGCACGGGGTGACCTAGGCGGTGGTGCCACAGAAGCGACGGGTGAGTGAGCGACCGATACGAGCAAGCCGCAGCAACCTGGGTAGATGCAGAATCCGGGGAAGTTGCGGCCACCGGGGTGGAAGCAGTGTCAAGCGTAAACAGCCAGCGTACCGCTCGTGACCAGGGAACGTAGTGGTGACGCCGAGGTCCTGAAGACAGCCGACACCAACTAATTTCTTGGAAAACGAAGGGATATGCAGGCCTGTAAAGGAACCCGAGGGAACCGCTGAAAAGGGTAGTGGAGTTGCGAGCAACTACAGGACCAGATGAGGGGTCAGCTAGTGCAACAGAGGCAGGCGCGGCAAGCGCCGTGAGGGTGGCATGGTCGCGGAAGAAGCAGGCAGACGCATCGGAGTCAAGAGTGAAGGACAGCAAAGCCGTAGAGGAAGACGAAGGAGGAGCAAGTGTAGAGCCTAGGCTAGACAAGGCAAGCGGTCCTACGCCTGATGTAGCAGGGGAGTCTGCACTACACACAGGTGCTACGCCTAAGCTAGAGAACACAGGGCAATAAGATCCGGAAACACTCGAAGCGTAAGCATACAGAGAATGCAGGGCAGAACTAATATGATCCATGTCTAAGTCAAATATAAGCACATCGTGGCGCAGCAGACTGGGCCAGTCAAGGAGGTCCGGGGCTGGACCGAAGCGGCGACAGAAGAGGTCGTCGAGGTGGCGGAAGCAGCGGGCGGTCGGGTGCCGGCGCCGGCACACCATGCCACAAAGGGGCCCGGTCTAGAGATGGTACTGGCAGCTCACAGAACCGAAGCCGCCGGTGGACGCCGAGCTGCGAGGGCCACCACCACGACCACCACCTCCAGGGGCTCTTGGCCATCCCGGCAGGAGGCGAGCCCACGGCGGCTGCTGCTGCTGCTGTTGCGACTGCGACGACTGCTGCTGCTCCTGGACACCAGCTCCAACCCCCTCGTCAGAACCACTGTCCCCGCCACCACCACCAGTGCCACCACCACGTCCTCCCTTGCGGCCCCGGTGCTGGCGCTGCTGCGGGTAAGCCGCAGCTGCTGTCTCAGTGGCAGGGGCTGTCGTGGCAACTGCGGTTGAGACATCAGCGTACGTGCACTGGGAGGGAGCACAACCTTGAAAGATAGGGACTGCCACGACACCGCTCGACTGAGCAATAGTGCGCTGGCGAGTCTCTATCTCAGACAGAGCAGTGACAAAGGCGGTCAGGGTGAGGTCGGCAGGGTGCTAGCTAAGGAAGTGGTCGCGGGAAGTGGCTAAGCGGTCAGGCAGGCGCATAGCAATGAGGTACAGGGTAGCGTAGAACGGTGGGGGGAAGGCAGTGAGCTGGGCGGCAATGCTAGCAGCACGGTAGCTAGACTCTAGCGTACAGAGGTGAGTAGCGAGGTCAGCTACCGTGGGGAAAGCGGAAAGATCAAGGAAGAGCATGGGTAGAATCAAACGGCCAGTAGAAGCGGAGGCAGGTGTGGAGTAACGCTCAACTACTGTAGCGAGAAAGTCCTCGGCGTTCCCGACAGCGGTGAAGCGTGGACGCTCAGACAGGGGAAGGGCATAACTAATGGCAAGCTGCGCTACAGCATCGCGAGAATCCCAGACAGCGCGAGCGAGCGCAGCAGCAGCAAAGGCCTCGCTCTCAGCAGTGGTGGGGTCAGCAGGGAGGGGATCAGGCCCAGGGGGGCGGGGGAGCAAGCCATCAACATGCATAGCTAGGGAGTGCCCATCCTGGCGCTGACCTGTCAGGTGCTGGCGAAGGTCGACGAGCCAGGCGGCGAAGTCGATAGCGTGCCCCTCAGCGTCCAAGCGAAGAACGATGTCCGCCATCACACAGTGTGACAGCGGCACAGCGGCTCGGTGGCACAATGGCACATCGACACGGCGGCTCTGCGGCTCGGCGGCTTAGCGGCTCAGCGGCTTGGCGGTACGGCGGCTCAGTGTCACGGCGGTGCAGCGGCTCGGCTGCACAATGGCACAGTGACACGGCGGCTCAGCGGCTCGGCGGAGGGGCGCTCCAGCGGGGTAAACAGGGCAGGAGGCCGAGGAGGGCCGGCCGAGCGCTAGGGGCCAGGAGAGCGCGTTAGGAGCCAGGGAGGTGACAGGCGGGCGCATGACTAGGAGCGACGGGCCGGCTAGGGCTCAAGGGGGCAGGCTACTACTCGAGAGGCCAGCAAGGGCGCGAGGGGCCGACGAGGGCGCAAGGGGCCAGCAAGGGCGCGAGGGGCCGGCTCGGGCGCGAGGGGCCAGCGAGGGCGCGAGGGGCCAGCGAGGGCGCGAGGGGCCAGCGAGGGCGCGAGGGGCCGGCGAAGGCGCGAGGGGCCAGCTAGGGCGCGTGGGGCCGACGAGGGCGCTAGGGGCCAGCTAGGGCGCAAGGGGCCAGCAAGGGGTCGAGGGGCCGGCTTGAGCGCAAGGGGCCGGCGAAGGCGCGAGGGGCCAGCGAGGGCGCGAGGGGCCGGCGAAGGCACGAGGGGCCAGCTAGGGCACGAGGGGCCAGCGTGGGCATGAGGGGCCAGCGTGGGCGCAAGGGGAGGGCCCACTTAAGGCGCGGGGGGCTAGCTAGGGCGCAAGGGGCCGGCTAGGGCACAAGGGGCCGACCAGGGCATGAGGGGCCTGCTAAGGCGCGAGGGGCCGGCTAGGGCGCGAGGGGCCGGCTAGGGCGCGAGGGGCCGGTAGGGGCACGAGGGGCTGGCTAGGGCGCAAGAGGCCGGCGAAGGCGCGTGGGGCCGGGGGGGGAGGGGGGGGGGGGGGGGGGGGAGGGGGGGGGGCGGGGGAGAGGGTAGGGGGGTAGGGGGGCAAGCGGCCAGCGTGGGCGCGAGGGGCCGACGAGGGCGCTAGGGGCCCGCTAAGGCGCGAGGAGCCGGCGCCGGCGTGATGGGCCGACTAGGGCGCGAGGGGCCTGCTAAGGCGCGAGGGGCTGGCGAGGGCGCGAGGGGCGGCGAGGGGACGAGGGGCGACGAGGGCGCGAGGGGCTAGCGAGGCGCGGTAGGCTAGGGCGCAGGGCGGAAGCGGGTGGGTGGACCTACCTACTCATGATACCATGTCAACTAGAATGATGATAGAATACAAGTGGAACAAGGGGGATATATGAGTTCTGGTTGTACCCGCTAACAACATACAACTATCTAGCCTATAACTTCTACATAGCAACATATGTATAAGTTGATAGGAGGGTGCTGGAGAGTTTGTCAGAAACCCAGTCACTAACCACTAAAAGGGCTAGTTAAATAGCGGGTAAGTGCGCCCATAACCCCCCAGGCTCTACACCTGTGGCCCTTCTCCGAGGATCTTTTTAAGGGTAACCCAGCGGGTCACTCGACAGAATTATGGAGCGGAGGGGTTCTGGGGGTGCTGGAGGTTGCTGGCGGGTGCTGAGGGATAGTGGGGGGTGCCACGGTTGCTGGCGTTTTTGCAGCCTTTGTTTTTTCGTGTAAGGGAATGTGTGCCTGTGCAAGGTGGGACATTTTCTCTAATTCCTATAGAAATTCCATATCCGAAATATCACCTCCAGACCAGTCTTAAATTATAATTAGAGATTTAAAAGCTGCCGTGATACATATTTTGGACCACGGTATCAAAATTCCTAGTGTTATCATGCTACCCTTTTTAGATCACATTTTATGTAGCAAAAAAACGTGAGGTAGATTCAGGATTTAGCGTGTAGATGGTTTGCTGAGTGTACGTTCGCGATAAGAAATGCCGCACAGCCTCACAAGCGAGCGAGGTCACAGTTGGATACAAGTTCACTTCTGCACCGTCGCTGGCAGCATCAATTGGCAGAGAGAGACATCTCGTTGCCTTACCTTATGCCCTCCCCTCCTTCCCTCTCCCCTGCGCCCGACTTCCCCGTCCAGCTCCCATGAGCCATCGCAGGGGCTCGCCTATGTGCGTCGCAGCCTTGCCCGCCGCTCCTCCTCCGCGCGCCCCTCTCGCGCTGCTCCTCGCCTACACCGTCGCCTTCGCGCTGCTCGCGCTCTGGGCTCTCTCCGCCCCCTCCTCCGCCATCTGCTCCCCGCTCCTGTCGCCGCTCTTCCCGCCGCCCCCCCTGCCCGCAGCTGGCGGCCACGCGGGCAAGGCAGAGGGGGCACGCGGGTCGCAAGAGGCGGAAGGGGCGCAAGCAGCAGAGGTTCACGGAGGATTGGAAGGGGAATCGCGGGATGCAGAGAGGTTAGAGGGAGTTGAAAGGGATGGAGATGACTCTAGCGAGGCGGCCAGGGGAGCAGGGGAGATGGCAGCAGAGGCGCAAGCAGCGCCTCCGCGGTTCATGCTGTACCGGCTGATTGGCAACAACATGGCGCCGCTGCAGTGCGCGGGACAGCTGCTGCGCAACACGCTGTACGCGTTACAGCACGAGGCGCGCGCGTTGAGGGAGTGCCGGCGCGTGTGGGTGCTGAACCACATCGTGAACGGCACGGAGCAGGCGCTGCTGGTGGACGCGCTGCTCGCCCACGGCGTGCTACAACAGGTGAGGCACGCGCCAGCCATGGCATGCACACAGCACCAGGTGGGGCACGCGCCAGCCACGGCGTGCACCAACAGGTGATTTTTTAGGCGCCTCAAAAACCGAGCAGGCGCTGCTGCTGGTCGCGCTGCTCGCCCACGGCGTGCAGCAACAGGTGGGGCACGCGCCACCCATGGCATGCACACAGCACCAGGTGGGCGCGCATGGGGGAAAAGGGAGGGGGCGTTGGGTGAGAGGGTGGGGGGGGCGGGGGGAAAGGGTTTGACGCAGGGGGAGCAGGTGTCTGACGCCTCCCGTTGTTGCTCGTTTCCAGTATTCCCCCTTCCTCCTCCTCCTATCAACCCGTCCACTTCTCCCGACCCCCCTTCCACTTGTCCCTCTCGCCCCTTCCACTTGTCCCTCTCGCCCCTTCCACTTGTCCCTCTCGCCCCTTCCACTTGTCCCTCTCGCCCCTTCCACTTGTCCCTCTCGCCCCTTCCACTTGTCCCTCTCGCCCCTTCCACTTGTCCCTCTCGCCCCTTCCACTTGTCCCTCTCGCCCCTTCCACTTGTCCCTCTCGCCCCTTCCACTTGTCCCTCTCGCCCCTTCCACTTGTCCCTCTCGCCCCTTCCACTTGTCCCTCTCGCCCCTTCCACTTGTCCCTCTCGCCCCTTCCACTTGTCCCTCTCGCCCCTTCCACTTGTCCCTCTCGCCCCTTCCACTTGTCCCTCTCCCCCTTCCACTTGTCCCTCTCGCCCCTTCCACTTGTCCCTCTCGCCCCTTCCACTTGTCCCTCTCGCCCCTTCCACTTGTCCCTCTCGCCCCTTCCACTTGTCCCTCTCCCCCCTTCCACTTGTCCCTCTCGCCCCTTCCACTTGTCCCTCTCGCCCCTTCCACTTGTCCCTCTCGCCCCTTCCACTTGTCCCTCTCGCCCCTTCCACTTGTCCCTCTCGCCCCTTCCACTTGTCCCTCTTGCCCCTTCCACTTGTCCCTCTTGCCCCTTCCACTTGTCCCTCTTGCCCCTTCCACTTGTCCCTCTTGCCCCTTCCACTTGTCCCTCTTGCCCCTTCCACTTGTCCCTCTTGCCCCTTCCACTTGTCCCTCTTGCCCCTTCCACTTGTCCCTCTTGCCCCTTTCCTCTTGTCCTACTCGCCCTTCCTCTTTCTCTGGGCAGGACATTCTAATCCGCCGAATCAACTACTCGCACATCGCCACCCTTCCTGAATCCTCCTGGACTGACGCGGTCACAGGTGAGGCGGTCACAGGTGAGGCGGTCACAGGTGAGTCGTGTGTGAGGCTGCCATGACCTCCTCACAGCTTCCCATGGTACAACGTTTGTTCTCCACCCCATTGTTCTTCTCTTTTTCCCCTTTGGTCGGTGTGTCGTTGCTGCGAATTGGATGCTGTGCTGTTGCTGGGTGCATGCGCGGTTGCTGGGTGGGCGCATGCGCGGTTGCCATGGGGCATGGGGCATGCGGCATGCATGGGCGGGCGTGGCTGGGGGCAGAGCAGCGCAGAACGAGGCGCGCAACTTCATTCTGGAGCACGGCAGGGCGGCGGGCGCGCGGTGGATCCTGGCGTTCGACGGCAACCAGTTCATCACCGCAGAGGCGTGGGACCTCATCCGCCGCGCCGCAGCCAGACACGAGGCGGCTGACCTGAAGCTCTTCAAGGTGCCGCGTGGGAGGGGGTCAAGAGGGGGCATGGGAGGGGGTCAAGAGGGGGCATGGGAGGGCGTGCACATGCCACACTGTGTTCCAATCTATGATGCGTCAATGGCTTGTATGAGCCAGGTTTGCTGCCTCTCTGTGCACTGCTCCCCTGCGCGCCGTGCACTCCAGGTGCCCATGTACTGCGTGCAGCAGGAGCATGATCTCATCTTCCCCCATCCCCCGCCTGCCAGGTGCCCATGTACCGCGTGCACCAGCAGCATGATCTCATCTTCCCCCATCCCCCGCCTGCCAGGTGCCCATGTACCGCGTGCACCAGCAGCATGATCTCATCTTCCCCCATCCCCCGCCTGCCAGGTGCCCATGTACCGCGTGCACCAGCAGCATGATCTCATCTTCCCCCATCCCCCGCCTGCCAGGTGCCCATGTACCGCGTGCACCAGGAGCATGATCTCATCTTCCCCCATCCCCCGCCTGCCAGGCGCCCATGTACCGCGTGCACCAGCAGCATGATCTCATCTTCCCCCATCCCCCGCCTGCCAGGTGCCCATGTACCGCGTGCACCAGGAGCATGATCTCATCTTCCCCCATCCCCCGCCTGCCAGGTGCCCATGTACCGCGTGCACCAGCAGCATGATCTCATCTTCCCCCATCCCCCGCCTGCCAGGTGCCCAATGTACCGCGTGCACCAGGAGCATGATCTCAGCTTCCCCCATCCCCCGCCTGCCAGGTGCCCATGTACCGCGTGCACCAGGAGCAGTCGCCTCGCTGGCTGGCGTCTCGCACACGCTTCCAGGGCGTGCAGCGCTTCGCGCCGCAGATGTGGGAGAGCCAGGTGGCCTTCCGCAACGACTCCCACCACCGCTACACCGAGGGTGAGCGCAGGGGGGGGGAGCTGCACCAACGGTGAGTGCGGGGGGGGGAGCTGCACCAACAGTGAGCGCGAGGGGGGGGGGAGCTGCACCAACGGTGAGTGCGGGGGGGGGGGGGAGCTGCACCAACGGTGAGCGAGGGGGGGGGGGGTGAGCTGCACCGAGGGTGAGCGCGGGGGAGTGAGCTGCACCGAGGGTGAGTTCAGGGGAGGTGGGGCCAGGCAGGTGGGCGCAACGAAGTGTGCATGCGATATTCCTTGAAGGCTCGTCATTGTGTTGCCAAACCTCTCTCCTCGTATGTCATTCTGACCCCGTGATGACTATGTTCTCCTGCCCCCATACCCCGTGCCCCGTACCTCGTACCCCATACCCCCTGCCCCCTGCCCCCTGCCCCCTGGGCGGCAGGCATGGCGTACGGCAAGGACAACAAGCTGGAGCTGATCGACCGCGTGTGCGGCACGGGGCGCTTCGAGCAGGAGGAGAGGCAGCGGCGCAGGCAGCAGGCGGAGCAGCGGCGGAGGAAGAAGCAGGAAGAGCTGAGGAGGCAGAGGGAATCACAGCAGCAAGGGCCAGCACAGCACGAGCAGGCACAGCAAGGCGCGGCACCGGAAGGGCGGCGCTTGCTGCAGGTGGAGTGCGGTGCAGGGAGTGGCTCTAACTCCCGTGGGCGCGACTGTGCAGAGGGAGGGCGTGCGGAGATGACTCATAGTGGTGGGAGAAGAGTCATGGCAGGCGAACAAGGGGTGGAGCAGGGTGGTGTGGGTGGGAGAAGAGCACAGCAGCAGCAGCAGCAGCAGCAGCAGCAGGGGGAGGCACTGCCAGCGGACACGGGGCAGTGCGGGTGCCACAGGGAGGTGGGGCGCGACCACCGCATCAAGGATGCGGATCCCGCCATTGCGGGCAGGTGCGGGTACACGATGCGGCTGTGGTACTTCCCGTGCCCCGGGGTGGATGGCGCACGCATCTTCGTCGACAAGCGGTACCGCGCCGCGCTAAGGGACAAGGGGTATCAGCTCCTGTCGCAGCAGATCCGGGATGCAGTGAGGCACGCTGTGCGCACTGGGGAGGTGTCTCAAGGCTAGATGTGAATCACACCATACACTAGGAAGCAGGAGGTGTGTCAACTCAAGGCACTGCCTTCATTATCTCGAGTTATATAATGTCATCCTTCAAAATCAGCGTAAAAAGCCTGAGAACTATGGGTAGTGAGCTTTGTACTGGTACGAGGAGTCGCTAAAACACCAAGCCTGCGGCGGTGAGCCATTCCATTGAAACTTCGAATGATGTGCCAACCATGTGGAGAGACTGCATTCGTCATGGTGCTGACGCGCTGCAGTGAATGAGCTGCATGCCTCGCCCACACACTGCCGCCAGGTACCTGAATTGCAGCACAGCGCAGGGGTAGGTTGATAGCCAAGGGATTGAGTCGCAGTGCATACCGATAGTTCCAATCACACCCCACGCGTTGAGCCACACACAGCGCATGCATGGAATTACAAACATAAACACACAAATTCTTGGTTTGTGGATGTGCTACGCGTTGAGTGTCCTTCACCACGAATGACTCACCTCCCCTTGCCTTGCTCCTGCACGGCCAGCCCCTCCGCCTCAGGCACGTCCACCACACACCGCCCCCTGCCCTCCACCCGCACCCCCTCCCCCATCATCTCCACCACAGCCAGCCCCCCTACATCCACCCTGCTCTCCTCCGCCCCTTCCCCTCCCCTCCACCCCTCCTCTTCACCATCCCCCCCATCGTTGCATCTCCCTCCCACACCTGCCTCTGCACTGCCTGCCTTGCCACGCGGCGCACTGTGATTGGAGCAGAGGGACCAGCAGCGTAGGCGCTGGTCAAGGCCCACCGACAGCACTGCCTCGCCATTGGTCCAGATGCCTGGCGCGGGGTGGGATGGGGTGGGGTGGGGTGGGGTGGGGTGGGATGGGGTGGGATGGGGTGGGAGGGGAGGGGATGGCAGGGGGGGGTGGCGTGGGATGCGATGGAGCAAGACAAGACAAGGGAAGAATGACAGCAGACAGAAGCGATGGGCCATGATGGAGGAGAGGGCGATGATGGAGGAGAGGGCGATGATGGAGGAGGGAGTTGGCCTATGAGGGTGCCACGTGGCTCTAGCAACATGCCACAGGTGGAAGTGGTGTTACCTTTGACAGCAGCGGTGTGTGCGTTGGGCTGGTATGTCCGTGTCACCACTCGTGCCCCTCCTCCCCTCCCACCCCCCTCACGTCCTTCCTTCCCTCCCTCCCCCCTCTCCTCCGCCCCCTGCGAGTCCACCTGCAGCACCACGGCGTGCACCGCCTCGTCGTCCCCCCCACTCACCACCACCACACGTGCTTCCCCGCACCCCCTTGCCTCGCCTGTTGCCACAGCACTGGCAGCACTGGCAGGGGCGGCAGCAGCAGCAATGCAGTTGACGCCTGACTGGTGTGCGCCCATCACCACACACAGGGGGGCGATATCCACAGCCCTCCGCCCCTGCCCTTCCTCACTTGTTTGGACTCTCAATGCCTCGTCCCCCACCCCTCCATCTCCCTCGCCTGCTCTTCCCTCCCCGTCCTCCCCACAGCCCCCCTGCCAACCCTCGTGTCTTGCTCCCTCGCCTTCCCCTCCTTGTGCTTCCTCCCCTACCCCCTCTGCCACCCCCGATTGCTGCCCCTCCCCCTCCTCGTCCTTCCCAGCCTTGCTGCTAGGAGTCCTCTTTCTCCGCCGTCCCTGCCCCCCGCCCTGCATGTGCCCCTGGCCCCCGCCCTGCATGTGCCAGCGTGCATTCCTCCTGCGCTGACCCCCCTCGCTGCCGCGCCCACTCACCGGCCGCACTGCTGCGCCGCTGCTGCCCCCTCCCGCTGCTGCTGCTGCTGGAAACAGTGGGGGGAGATGGGTGGCAGCATGCCACGTGGCATGCAGGAATTGGGTGACAGGCGCAGTGACATCCCAGAGCACAACAGAGCCGTCCGTGGCACCGCTGGTGACAAGGCAGCGGGGGAGAGGGGGCGAGGAGGAGGGGGAGGAGGGGGAGGGCGAGGGGAGGAGGAGGTGGTGGAGGGAGAGGACGGGGCAGGAGTGGTGGTGGAGCGAGGCGAGGGGGTGCCAGGAGAGAGAGGGCGCGTGGAACGCCAGCAGCTGCAGGCGGGCGTCGGACGTGGCGGCTGCTACGAACGCCACCAGGGAGCTGCAAGGGGGGAGAAGGGGGGGGAGGGGGGGGGGGAGGGGGGGGCGATTGGAATAGGATTCCAGCAATGGGACACGAGGAAGAGGAGGTGAATTGGCTGCAGCATGCTGTGAGCTCACCCTTCCGCCTGCATCCACTGACTCACCTTTCTGCCTGCATCCACTGACTCACCCTTCTGCCTGCATCCACTGACTCACCTTTCTGCCTGCATCCACTGACTCAACCCACCGCTGGGAGAAGCTGCCGAATGAGAATGCAGTGACGCTCAGGTAGCGCAAATCATCCTCCCCGCTGCTGCTGCTGCCACCTCCCTCTCTCCTTGGCCCCTTGCTTCCATTGCCAACCCCATCCCCACATGACACCCCTTGCCTTTTATCTGGCCGGTGCGTGCTCAACCAAAAGGACAGAACCTGCCGCCCCTCCACTCCACCATCACCCCGACTTTCCTCGGTTGCACGTGCTCCTTCCACCTTGCTTCGCTGCGCGCCCCTCAAAAAGGCATTTTCCCATCCCTCCCCGCTGTTCCCGTCCTCCCCTCTCCCCACCCTCTGCTGCTCTCCCTCCCCCCTCTGCTGCTCCCCCTCCCCACTCTGCTTCTCTCCCTCCCCCCTCTGCTGCTCCCCCTCCCCCCTCTGCTGTTCCCCCTCCCCCCTCTGCTGCTCCCCCTCCCCACTCTGCTTCTCTCCCGCCCCCCTCCGCTGTTCTCCCTCCCCCCTCTGCTGCCCAGCGTGTGAGCTGGGGCGGGCGAGGGCCTGCCGCGGGGCTGGCAGGGGGGCGGGCGGGGTGCACAGCAGCAGCCAGCACATGAGCACCTCACGTGCGCCTGCAGTGAACACAAGCCACGAGGACGCCTCCTCACTGCTGCTGCCGCCCTGCTCTGTGTCGCCGGCAGTGCTGCCGCCCTCCGCTGTACACGTGGCAATGGCCCTGATGGCGCTCCCCCCCACATGCTCCCCCACCCGCTCACTCCCCCCCAGCCATCCCCCAACCCCTGCTTCTGAGGGCTCATACCTGGCGGGTGGAGCACGGGACGAGCACGGGACGAGCACGGGGGGGTGAGGACCTTAGGGGGGTCAGAACAGAACAAGGTGAAGGCAATCCCGGAGGAAGGTGATGCCGGGACGGGGAAGAAGACAGAGGAGCAGCAAGCGCGTTTTACCCCTCATACGCGGTACCCCTTCACACGCATAGCACGCTTGAGCTCACAGAACACCTCCTCACGCACTTGGAGGCGCGCAGGCAGCCGTCCTCAGCAGCCGACAGCAGCAGCGAGGGGCGGTGGGAGGAGGAAGGGGGGGAAAGGGAGGGTTTGTGGGAGAGAGGCGAGGTGGGAGCGGGCAGGGGCAGGAGGGCGACGGAGTGCAGCTCACGGCCGTGGAAGGTGGGGTGTAGGGAGGAGGGGGGAAGGGGGACGGGGGGTGCGGAGAGGAGGGGGGGTTTGTGGCGGCAGGTGAGGTGCGGTGGACGTGCAGATGTCCGTCCTGGTGGGGGCAAGGGGGGGAGAGGGGGAAAGGGGCATGGGGGCATGGGGGGGAGAGGGGGAAAGGGGCATGGGGGCATGGGGGGGAGAGGGGGAAAGGGGCATGGGGGCATGGGGGGGAGAGGGGGAAAGGGGCATGGGGGCATGGGGGGGAGAGGGGGAAAGGGGGTGAGGTGAGAGGAGGGGGTGAGGGGAGGAGAGGTGGTGGTTTGATTTGAAAGACACGAAGGCTGCAGTGTGCTGTGGACATGTATGGCACAACTCAAGGCCCACAGCATACCGATCCACATGGCATGGCACGGCACGCCATGGCATTGCACGGCACGGCATGGCATGAGAGCACCTTGAGGAAGGCGAGGGCGAAGGACCCCGAGGTATGTTGGTCCAGCAAGAAGGAGTGCGGCCGGCGCCATCCCCCGCAGTGAATGCGCGCCAGCTGACAGGGGGGTGGTACAGGGGGGTGGTACAGGGGTGTGGTACAGGAGTGCGGTTGGTGGCCGGGGTGGAGAAGGGCAGGAGGAGACGGCCTCCTGGGGTGAGGGGAGTGTGGCGATGGTCACGGGTAGACATGCCTTCAACTTGATGCTTTAACACACGTGCCTAGCACATGGCCATCAAGGCATGTGTGGCTGCTGCCCCACCAGCCGATCATGGCCATCCTCTTCCCAACCCGCCTCTACCACCTCCCCCCACCCACCTCTGCCTGCTCGTCCACGCTCCACACCACAAAGTCTGTGGCTGCAAACCCCACCGCCACCCGCCCCCCTGCGCGGCCTGCCCCCACGGTCTGCACGCGCTCCACCATCGCCACCTCTCCCGCGCGCTCCACCCCCACACACACCACGCGCCCCTGCTGCCCCTCCCCGTGCCGCGTGACCGTGCCACCACCCACACCCCCAAGAGGCGTGCTGCCAGGGGAGGTGGGTGCACCCAGGGCGGGTGCATGCGGTGAGGGAGGGGGCGGGGAGCGCAGGGCAAAGGTGCAGATGCAGCCGTCCCTGCCGGTCTGGTGGGCGGTGGGGATGGGTGGGGAGAGGGGGGAGGGGGGAGGAGGGGGGGGAAGGGGGAGGAGAACAGCATGAGTGGAGGTGCGAGGACTGTTGAATAGGAAGAGAGGGCTGTTAGGGAGAAGGGAGAGAGGAGTGCATGATGCCATGGGGGCACCACATCACAGGCCAATTGGGGGGCCACATTTGGCATGCCGGTGGAACCCACCGCCTTGTGCTACTAAACCCTGCACGGCACAAGAGCCACTGCACCCACCGTGCGGATGAGTGCGGTGAAGCCAAGCGAGGCTGCAGCCGCACCCATCTCTGCTGCCCCCGTTATTGCCACACTGGCCACTGCCGATATGCCGTGAGCCCCCTTCAGCACTGCTGCCACGTGGCAGTCCGCCAGTGGGTGGCCGGCAGCAGGGGCGGCGAGGGAGAATGAGAAAAGGTAGAGGTGTCCCCTCTGGTCGCCCAGCGCCAGCAGCTGACATGCGCATGGTGCACAGGGATGAAGGGTGGAGGAGGTGGGGGGGGACAGGGGCAATGGGGAAAGATGGGGTGTAGTGTAGGTGAGGCAGGCTTGGGGGGAATGAAAGGCAAGAGATAAGAGGCTGTGTAACAGATGGCAGACTGACAGGATGACTTTTGAGGCGCCTCAAAAGAATGAAAGGCAAGAGATAAGAGGCTGTGTAACAGATGGCAGACTGACAGGATGACTTTTGAGGCGCCTCAAAAGAATGAAAGGCAAGAGATAAGAGGCTGTGTAACAGATGGCAGACTGACAGGATGACAGGGTACCTTGCTCGTTGGGCATGCATCCAAGCACACCACGCGCGCCCCACCCGGTGATTGGATCCGTGCCACTGCTGTGGCCGGAAGCTGCCGCCCGGACAGGTGCACAGTACCGCGTGCGAGAGGACAGGCGGCTGCAATGGTTGGCGGTGCAGCGTCGTCGTCCATGTGCCACCAAACGACACCGCCCGCTGGGTCAGTGGTGAAGACATGCCTGGCGGGGAAAGGACAGACGATGTGGAGGGGAGAGGAGGGAGTTGGAGAGAACGGATGGCAAAGGACTTGACGGAGGAAGAAGAAGCATGCACACCACCCAAGAGTTGAAAGAATGCACCATGCGTCATGCACCATGCACCATGCACCATGCACCATGCACCATGCACCTGCCAGCAGCCGCCCAGCAGCGCGTGTCCCCCTCTCTCCCACACGCACCTATCGCTGAGGCTGCTGCACCAGAAGGTGCCCAGCAGCCGCCTGGCCGGCTGCGCCTGCCACTCGCTCCACCAATGCACCTCCACCTCCCCACACTGTCTTCCCCCCTCACCCGCCCCTGCCACTGCCCCTTGCCCCTGTTCCTCTGCTGCTACTTCTTCCCCTTGTTCCTCCCCACCTCCCCCACCCTCTGTCCTGCCTGCGTGCATGGGCCAGTGGGGCCGTGCCCACAGTGTGACAGAGAGGGCCACAGCCTGACCCATGCCAAACCCACACACCACCTGCCACCGCCCCTCCCTCTTGGACCCCTGCCCCCCTCGCCTTGACTCCCCCCCGCCCCCCTCCTCCTCCCCGCACTCCCCCTCGTCCCTCTCCTTTTCCACGTGGAGGCACACGATTGGACCGCGGGAGGCATGGGAAGGGGACGATGGGGCGGCGGGCAGGAGGACGATGGGGGCGGGGCAGGGGGCGGAGAGGGAGGGGAGGAGGCGGAGGAGGAGGAGGGCGCCTTGGTTGGTGGCGAGGAAGAGGAGGTGGGGGGAGGCGAGGGCGACGCAGCGGATGAACTCGCTCTTGCTGACGGGGTGGGGTTGGTGGGTGGTGGGGGGGGGGGGGGGGAGTGGTGGGGGGGAGGGGAGAGAATGCGTTGGTGAGAGGAAGCGTGAGAGTGAGAAATGGGGCATGTTGCAAATGGGCAGGAATGGGCAGGACAAGAGGAACGGGGCACACTAAGGGGCATGGCACAGGGATGTGGTGGTGGTGCAACGGGTATCACACTTACCCACCTGTCCTTGCGCCTCGTGTCTTTCTCTGCTGCCTCCACATCCCCCCCCTCTCCATGCTGCCCTCTGCACTCTCCCTGCGTCACACTGCCAGCAGCACCAGCAGCACCAGCAGCACCAGCAGCACCAGCAGCACCAGCAGCGTCAGCTGCACGGCCGACAGCGATGCTGCTGCCTGTGTTGGAACCAGTGGCCATCACACGGAGCAGCAGCAAGTCAAGAGGGGGGTGCCACGACAGGGCAGGGGGCAGGGCGGTGGAGGAGGAGAGCAGGGAGGGCAGGGCGGGCAGGGCGTGCAGGTGGATGGAGGCATCAGCGCCGGCGGTGATGAGCGTGCGCGTGGGGGGGTGCACCACGCACCGCCAGATGCCGCGACCCCTGGGGACAAACACGGGTGGGGGGTGAAGGCGTAGGGTGTGGGGTGTGGGGGACGGTGCAGTGGAGTGAGAATGGGTTGAGGAACCACAGGGACAGGAGCAGCGGAGGAAACGCACATGCCATGGCAACGCACATGCCATGGTAACGCACATGCCATGGTAACGCACAAGCCATGGTAACGCACATGCCATGGTAACGCACAAGCCGTGGTAACGCACAAGCCATGGTAACGCACATGCCATGGTAACGCACATGCCATGGTAACGCACATGCCATGGTAACGCACATGCCATGGCAACGCACATGCCATGGTAACGCACAAGCCATGGTAACGCACATGCCATGGTAACGCACAAGCCATGGTAACGCACAAGCCATGGTAACGCACAAGCCATGGTAACGCACATGCCATGGTAACGCACAAGCCATGGTAACGCACATGCCATGGTAACGCACAAGCCGTGGTAACGCACAAGCCATGGTAACGCACATGCCATGGTAACGCACATGCCATGGTAACGCACATGCCATGGTAACGCACATGCCATGGTAACGCACATGCCATGGTAACGCACATGCCATGGTAACGCACATGCCATGGTAACGCACATGCCATGGTAACGCACAAGCCATGGTAACGCACATGCCATGGTAACGCACATGCCATGGTAACGCACATGCCATGGTAACGCACATGCCATGGCAACGCACAAGCCGAGGGCAAAGGCACGAACGATGGAAACGAGCCACGGAAGAAGCCAGGCTGCATTTGTTAGAATTCTAAAAAACGATGGAACCGAGCCGCGGAAAGAAGCCGGGCTGTGGAGGAGCGCTCACTGGTGCGCTCTGATGACCGCCAGCTGGCGGCCGTCTGCTGCCGACCACACCCGCGCCGTGCAGTCCTCACTCACCGTCACCGCCACCTGGCGATGGCGCAGCGTGGCGGGGAGGCATGGCAACAGAAAGGCATGATGGCACAAAGGCGTGATGGCACGCACACAGTGTACAAAGGGTAAGCAGCATCAGTGAGCTCATGGCAAGACAATGGGGCATTGCAGTGGCGAGCGTAGTTGCAGTGCTGCATGCACAGGTTATGTGCAGTACAGCCTGAAGTTATGTCGAGTACAGCCTGAAGTACAGGTTATGTCGAGTACAGCCTGTAAAAGACAACTAAGGACTGTGAGAATTGCAAGCCCACCTGGGAGTCCACATGAGCCCACCTGGGAGTCCACATGAGCGTCCCAGAGTCGAGCCCCATGGCCGTACAGCACCCTCTCCGCCGCGCCACACACAGGGGCGCTGCCACCCCTGCCACCCCCCTCACACGATCCGCGCTCCTCACCCCCCCCTGCCTGTGCTGGCCCTGCGGGCATGCTCACACGCCACACACGCGCACTGCATGGCAAGACACAGGAGGTGAGCGGAGGATTGGCCAAGGATAAGTGCACGACACATCCCCGTCACCCCTGCTTGCCTGCGCACTCACACACCCCTGCTTGCCTGCGGTCGTCCGAGACTGAAACAAGCGTGAAGCTCCGAGCCCCTTGCTGTCTTGGCCCCTCACCACCCTCGCCTACTCCTCCGCCCTCCCCTTTCGCCGCACCCCCTCCCCCTCCCCCTCCGTCTCCCCCTCCCCTCCCCCTCCCCCTCCCCCGTCCCCCCAAAACCCCCTGTCGCTCTCCTCCTGCCACACCACCCGGTAGATCGACCCCTCATGACCCACCAGCCTATGGGAGGGCGCCACGTGGCAAGGCTCGTGAATGCTGGAGGGCAGAGCGGCGCAGGGAGAGGCAGGGAGGGGCACGGTCCAGAGCAGCAACTGCCGGGGGGGGGGGGGGGGGGGGGGGAGGGGGGGGGAGGGGAGGGGGGAGGGGGGGTAGGGGAGGGGGGAGGGGGGGGGAGGGGAGGGGGGAGGGGGGGGCATGGGGATGCGGACAGAAAAAGGCAGGGACATGGAGATGAAAGCAATGGGCGGAGAGGATCCAGAGAGAACATGCTTTAGGTTGGCCCAGGACCAGGGGCCAAGTGAAAACAGGTCAGGAATCAAGAGCTGAATTCGCTGCGAAAGACTTTGTGGGCGCGACCGCCATTACACAGTTGTGCGGTTGTCAGCCGTGATGCATGCACGGCTGTACAGGGGCGCCCTTCGCTTAACACTGCGCGCCCCTTACCTGGTTGAGGATGGTGCCGGCAGCCACATGCAGGTTCAGGGAGGCCGCATCCCAGTGCAGGCGCATGGCGTACAGCAGACTGCGGTCTGGGAGGGAGACAGGGGGGTATAGGGGGGGGAAGTGAAGGGGGGAAGGAAGAGGCAGACACAGAACCCACGTTGGCATCACTGCATATGCATGTTCTTCTGGAGAGGTATGATTTACAAATGCACGAGTAACAACTTCCAGGATGTGGGGAGTAGTGGTTGAAAGGTGCATGGTCCAGGCGTGCATGGGTGCCAGGGAGGCGTGCATGGGTGCCAGGGAGGCGTGCATGGGTGCCAGGGAGGCGTGCATGGGTGCCAGGGAGGGCGGCTGCCTGCCTGAGCAAGCCACAGAGCGCAGCAGTCTCAGCGGCTGCTCCGCCCTCCCATCCAGGCCACACATCCCCTCCGATCCAGCGGCTGGCATGGACCACAGCTCCACGCTGTTGTCACTCAACCCCACAGCGAGCAGGCACGGCTGGTGAGTGGGACGAGCCAGGGAGGTGAGGAGGGGGAGGGGGAGGGGAGCGAGAGGGGGGGAAATAGGGAGAGAAGGGAGGGGGGAAGGAAATGCAAGGGTTTTGGAAGAGCCAGACGAACGAGTAGAGAGCGTTGAGTGTGTGGGGCAGATCTCTGTAGCAGACGATAGCAGTTCTCTGTAGCAGACGATAGCAGTTCTCTGTAGCAGACGATAGCAGTTCTCTGTAACAGAGGAAACGGGAGTGGAAATGGACATGGAGAGTACCCTACGGTGGCCGGCAGGCACTGCGCGACCATGGTAACCAACCAGCATGGCAACATAAAGCAACCCCATCAGAGCTCTCTCACTCACGTGCATGGTGCGGGCATGCGTGGAGCACGGCAGCATGGCGGCATCACAGACCCAGTGGTCCCTGCACGGCAACCATGCTGCCACCGCCATCCGCACTCTCCCACCCTGCTGCCCCATGCCTCCTGTCTGCCCCCTCTGGCCCTGCCCCTGCGCTGTCAGCCGCACCAGCTTCACCCGCCTCTCTCCATGCACCGCCACCACTGTACTACTCACTCCCCACCACTCCTCGCCCTCCCGCCCTGCCGCTTCCCCTCCCTCTCCTGTACTTCCCCCTGCACCCCTTCTGTCCCCTCCTTTCCCCCTTTTCCCCCCTTCCCCCCCTTCCCCTCCCTCCCCGCCGCCATCCCCAATGGCACGCCCTCCGCCCTGACCTTGCGCCCAAGCAGCGCCGCCCACCCCCCTGCTGCCACGTGGCACGATCCCGTGGATCCTCACGCCGTCGAAGACATCAACGGCTGCCAGCAGCCGGCCGGACGGCAGGTGGTAGCAGCGCAGGGTAGGGCCCATGGCTGCAGCAGGGGGGGTGAGGCGGGGGGAAGGGGGGGGGGGGGGGACACGGGAATGGGGTGCGGGGTGGGGGAAACGGGGGGTGGACGGGGCAGTGGAGCGGGTTGATGACGCGGAGAAGGACGGGGGTCGGGGTGCGAGAGCAGTGGCGGGGAACAACACGCGGCGGGGGAGAAAGGGCGAGGATAGAAGGGGAGGGGAATGCGCGGGAAGAGGGAAGAGGCAATAGTGGTTGAAGGGGTGCGAATCGGCGAGCGTATTTCGAGGGGCAGACGGGTTTGCCATGGGTACCTGCGAGCACAAGAGCCGCCGCATTGCGGCGGGCCGCATGGGCGGCACCGCATGGCACTCTCTCCCGTGTAGAGCACTCTCCTTGCGCCGCTGCTTCACGCTCCTCCTCCTCAACCCCGCCCCGCCCACACGGCGACCCCTCGTGAGAGGCAGAGGCGGCGGGCTGGGAGGCCCGCGAATCGTAGCGGGGGGCGGTAAAGGAGGGCCACGGCAGAAGAGCGAGTGCCGAAACATCCCCGACATAAGCTGCCTTTGTAAAAGCCGTCTGGACAGGGGTGGAATGAGCCATATTGGCTCTGACCCTGAGCTCGGCAGGGCTTATGGAGGAGTTTTGGTGGACGCAATTGTGCTGCTAAAACCTGATGCGGTTCTCGTATAGTTCGGCTATGAATACTGATATGTATAGATCTGGCAATCTGATCACTATTTTCCAAATTTCGAAGGTTCTTCATTTTGACATGACAAGAGGCAAGCCTACCATTACATCTAAAATATTTATTTCCTGTTATCCATACCGAAACATCTACGGATCAGGGAAGATATTGGTAATTTTCAGAAATCGAAAGAAAAAAAATCGTTACATTAAGCAAATTAGTGTTTAATCTTGGTAATTATAATTTTTGTTGTCATTTTCGTCATTTCCACCCTCAATCAATGCCTCCAACGGAACAATATGCATAATGTGGCGTATTTCATACTCCCATATCAGTGTTAGCCTCTGCTTGTTATTACTAAAATAAGCGTCGGTTTACTGACACTGGAGTGCCTTCTTCAGGCATTGCTTTTGCTAATGGGAGAATGAACCGTTGCCAATCTCCCATTCAGGCATGTGTTGTCAACGCATCCACTCCGCCCCATCCATGTTGTTGCGAACCACGAGCGATCCCCAGTGCTGAGCTCACCCCTTTGAGAGGCCATGGCAGGATCCTCATAGAATCATCCAGCCAATGACGTCGTTCGAAATGGATCGCGCGTCAACAACTGTACCTTCTTGAGCGCCCCGATGAATTCACGCACCCAAGGCTAGCGAAAGATCCTGGCGAAGAATCCCTCACTCTCCTCGAGAAAGACGTAACTTTTTCCGCAGCTTTCGCACGAAGTCTCTCGCAACAGGCCTCTGATTGGCTATCCTGCCGTTCGATACAACCAATAGTGCCACCACCACCACCAGTCCCCTCCCCCACTGCCGTGCTTCCCTTCCCCCCTCCCGCAAGGCCGAACATTCTTCGCACCTTGACACGACCACCCCTACAGTGTCGCCTGGCTATCCACTGGGTCACTGACCTATTTCATGGTTTATTTCCCCATCTTGAATCCCTTTCCTGGTTGATGTCATTCAGGAAGGGCACCCATCATCAGACTTAGTGGACGCTGAGCAGCGTCACCATGAACACTCTAGCCGCTTCTACGGTCCAGCGAGTCGGCTTCACAAATCGGCCCGTTGATGGCGGTGTTAGCCGTGCGACGCAGCGTACCTCGGCGTCCCGAACGGCCTGTCTGTCGTCCTGCCATTCTGGTCTAGGAGGTCGTACCTTGTCAAATGACAGACGATTTCCCGAAAATGTAACAAAACAGGGTATTTCCTCGTCTAGAGTAATAAGGATGAGCCTCAGCAGTCAGAACGCAGCGGGACAGGCTTCCATTCAGCAGGCAGAGAAGAATATATCGCTATCGCTCGACAGCGGGTCCGAGCTTACCCACGCGGACGGCGTGTGGCTCAAGTGCGATTTGACAGGCTGCTCAACGCAGGACGCGGCTCCAGAGGCAGAGTTCCGGCTGGTTCAAGGGGAGGGGTGGCGTGTGGCGTTTGAGGCATCACCTAATTCACCCGACAGCTTCGCTGCTTCGGTGCGCACTCCATTAGTACTCTGTGGACTGTCTTTCGGCACAGTGTTGGAACAGTGCTGCTCAATTCTAATAAATTACAACGGTGGAAGCATTGTAGCCATTGATGGACTTCGCGGTTTTCTTGCTCATCGTATTCTGTTTTTGTTTCCCCGTCTTCACATCCCAGGTTGGCGGAGAGGGGTGGAGTCTGGCGATGAACGCCAGGGAGTATCATGACTTCTGCCAGCTTCTTAGGGTGGGTAAACTTCTAGTTACTATCGTCGTCATGTATTGCTGATATTTTCCCGTTTTTCTTCCTTGTTTTCTGTGCAAACGATAACTTACGGAGCATCTAAGTATTATGAACCGACTCTCTTTCCTGCACCCACTCTCTTTACTAACAGGCCGTACGAGGTTCTCTTCTTCGCCTCAATCCCGCCGACGTCCAAGAGCCGCTACAGGTTCAGGTAAAGCGGTTCTGCACTCTTGTTCTTGCCCTTGTTCTTGTCGCAAGTCTTGCGGCCGCACGTTAGCTTCACCATTCTCCCGCGTGGAGCGTCGGCTCCTGACTATCTGCTGCTGGCTGCTGATCTCTCTCACAACGATATCCTCTCTCTCGTCGACGTCTCTGCAGGCGCGTGGATCGCACATCTGGCTCGAGGCCACCGTTCCGTCTGCAGGGGTGCTACCAGATCTCTGCGCTGCCCTCAACGTGAGTCTCTGCTTCGCTTACACCCGTGCTGCTTTGGATCTCTTATTCCCGTTCCTCGTCGTCGCGATTTTTTTCTCATAGCAGGTAGCTGACTCTCTCCTCCGTCGTCTCTGCGTTGGACTGAATCACCTTATCGTTTTACAGGGATCTCTGGACGGTTCAAATCAGGTGGCTGGCTTCGATCTTCGGTTCGGTCTACTCTCGGCGCAGTCTGGCGCCGTGGATGGCAGAGCAGCAGCACAGGTACCACTAGGCCGCCGGTTCTTGCACTCGCACAGTGCCACGCCGTGGGAACCGGACTTTTCCTTCGTTGAATCTGATTGCTGCTCCAGGCTGCTTATTATGATCGTTCAAACCCCGGACGCCGCTAATCCTGGTCATTCCTAATGCATTGCAGGTGGCGCACTGGCCAGCGCACGCAGTAGCGGACGCACTGCAGAGCGCGGGGGAGCTGTTTGGCGTGCCGCAGGGCGAGCAGAGCAACGCGCAGGATGAGGTAGTCTAACGCTTCATGCCCATCCCATCCCCTCTAAAGCTTCCTTTCCGCAACTTGTTGCCAGTGGCTCCGTGGTCGTGCGCTAACGGCGTCGTGTGCGCGTGCAGGCTCGGCGCGCGGCGGCGGGGGTGTTCGTGGCGTCGTTGGAGTCGACAGCGGAAACCGAGTCCCTGGTGTCGTTGGAGGAGCAGCTGCAGCACATGCGGCAAGAGCTCGCCGCCGCGCGCGCACAGGTGCGGGCATCGGAGACCCGCGTGCGGCAGACGCTGGACCGAATGGTGGAGCTGGAGGCGCTCGTGGAGACCACGCGCGTGGTGGACCCCCTTCCACGGGACCCCACGAGCACCCAGGGCGTAGCGGCGGAGGGGAATGCGGCAGATGCGGGCGGGAAGCGCGTTGAGGGGAGTCCGGCGGTGGCGGGGAAGGAGGAGGCGATCCTGGCGGCGCAGCCGGCGGAGCTGCAGAGCGCCGCTGAGTCAGCGGCGTCCCGAGCGCGCGCGGCGAGGGCGAAGGTGAAGGTCCCCCGGCGCACGAAGATGAACACGTCGGGGCCGCTGCCCAAGTACGCGGCGACGCTCAAGAACTTCTGGTTCCCCGTCGCCTTCTCCAAGGACGTCGACACCACCACGCTGGTGGGTCGCGCTTGCACTGCACTGCCGAGGTGGATGCTAGGTGGTCGCGCTGCCAGTGAGGAGGTCAAATGCTGTGGGCCATCGGCGTACTTTTCATTGAGCGAAGGGCTAGCTTTACTCCCGGCGTTCTGTAGCATCCCTTTCGTCAAATCATTTCACCCACTTGCTTCCCACTGCCATTCCTAACAGATTCCGTTTGACTGCTTCGAGGAGCCGTGGGTGGTGTTCCGGGGCCCGGACGGCAAGCCGGGGTGCATCAGGGACGAGTGCGCGCACAGGGCGTGCCCCCTCTCCATCGGCACCGTTGTTGAGGGCCACGCTGTCTGCCCCTATCACGGTATGACTCGCGCATTCACGCACTTGTCTAGCCTTTGTGTCCCATTTTGCGAATGCCGTACATAAACACTGTGAAATCGGCTCGCTGCTGGGCCTATTTCCTCCACATGTGATGGCTAAGATGATCTCTCCTTGTTCTCGCCCTGGCAGGGTGGGAGTTCGCCCCCAGCGGGCAGTGCACGAAGATGCCATCCACGCGCCTCACCGACGTGCGCGTGCGCGCCCTGCCCTGCGTGGAGCACGAGGGCATGATCTGGGTGTGGCCCGGCAAGGCGACGCCCTCCGACACCCTGCCCTCCACCATGCCGCCCCCCTCCTACACTGTGCACGCTGAGGTGAGTCTGGGGGGGAGTTAGCTGCGCACAAATTCTGATAAGCCGCGCTGTACAAGGGAGCCTGTAGTGCTGGGGTGGTGTGGTGCCTCACATCCGTCTCTCCTGTTTCCTCTGTTGCCCCCGCCCCCTGCAGATCGTGATAGAGCTGCCGGTGGAGCACGGGTTACTGGTGGAGAATCTTCTGGACCTTGCCCATGCGCCCTTCACTCACACCACCACCTTCGCCAAGGGCTGGTCCGTCCCCAGGTCAGTGGGTTTCCCAGCATGGCACCTCTTCTCTTGCTGTCCTCGCACCACGGCCTATGCCTGTCCTAGCTGTCTGGGAAGTAACACTCCGCTTTCTCTTTCCCGCCCTGTCGTGCAGCTTGGTGCGCTTCAAGTCGGCAGCGGCGCAGGCGCTGCAGGGCCACTGGGACCCGTACCCGATCAACATGGAGTTCCGCCCGCCCTGCATGGTGGTGTCCACCATCGGGCTCGTCAAGCCCGGGCAGCTGGAGGGGCAGGCCAGTGCACAGGAGTGCTCGCAGCACCTGTTTCAGCTGCACGCCTGCCTGCCCTCGTCACGCGGCAAGACACGGCTGCTCTACCGCATGGGGCTCGATTTCGCCCAGTGGGTCAAATTCGTTCCCTTCATTGACAGATTGTGGAAGTCGCTGGCCAACCAGGTGAGCTTGAGTCTGCGTTTCCAGCACTTTCCTGATGGGCGACATCCGTCTAGAATTGTTGTTTTCTTCACTCCCTAAGTGCCTGCTCAAGACTGAAAGACTGTTCTCTCCGTCCTCCAATGCTTGTTCAGGTGATGGATGAAGACTTGCGTCTGGTTGTGGGACAGCAGGACCGGATGAGACGTGGTGCGAATGTGTGGAACCACCCTGTAATTTATGACAAGCTGGGCGTCCATTACCGGAGATGGCGCAATGAGATTGAGGAATCTGACAGTGAATGAATGATTCCTGTCAGAATTTTTTTAAAAACTAGCTCAGATTTCTGTGTAATTTGCATGCAATAGCACCTGCAGTGCTTGTCATTTTGTAAGAAATATTCATACAGAGTGGATTGCCTACTATTTTGAAAATGGTTTGTACATAAATAGCAATCGTACCATGCTATCTGATCGCCGGTCCACCTCGCGTAACCACAGCGAGGCCTGCGATTTCCCGCGAATTCGCAGGCAGTTGAGCAGAGCGCGATGAGGGTTTGATTCAAATTTGTCGGGGGCGAGGGGAGGGCGGAAAGACGCGGGAAGGCAATCCCGAGGAACAAACGGGTGGCTGGTTGGTTGCTGCGAGACTTTCATTGCTTTCTCGCTCCCTTCTCCCTTCTCCCTTCCCCTTCTCCCCTTTCCCTCTGCCCTGCACAGCACCCCTCGCCTTGCTTGCACTCCCCTCGGCCTCACCTCCTTGCCCACACACCCTCACGCCTCAGCTGCCTGAATTGTTATCGGCGTCCAGTCTTCGACTCGTATGTTTCGGTCACTGTCGCTTCAGCCGTCCGTGCTAGCCTGAGGGTTCTTTCCCTCTATCCTGCTAAACGGAACGATAATTGTTGTTGCCATGTCGCGGCGTGAATTGTGAATAGCGGGTAGCAGTGCGCCGTCCGCCATGGCGCACAGAAAGACCTCCTCGCAGACCAGGCCGCACGCGCAGCCGCGTGCCGCCGAAACCCGGCATGCGCAGCGACACAAGGCAAGATCGCGCGTTAAGCTCTTATAGTGCGCTTGTCCCTGGCATCTTCAGAGTTTCACTGCTGACGTCCTTCGAGCTACTAGCAGTATCGCTCGTGTCCCTTGATTTTGCCGGCTTGTTTCGATTCGTCACTGGATCATTTTGAGCTCATCCCTCGCATGATCCAGATTATGCCTCGCAGCTTCCTAATCCCGCTAGCCTCGACCTGTCGCTAGCCTCGACCTGTCGCTAAACTCAACCTGTCGCCGGTTCGGTCGCACACGTCAGCCCGCGTGGCGCCGTCGCACCGAATCGTTGACCGGCTTGATACCAGTCACCCATATCGTCTCCCTCCGAGCATGCCTCACTAGGTGCTGGACCTTGCGCCTTCCCCCATCCCCGCCCCCCCTTCCGCCCTTGCAGCGGCGCAAGCTGGTGGAGCGGCTGGGGCCCGTGTGGAGCGACGGCGAGCTGCGCGCGTTCTACAGCCTGCTCCGCGCCGAGGGGAAGAACTGGCGCAAGGTAGGGGGGTGGTGGAGGGGTTGGGGGGGGCCAAGGGGACGGGGTGAGAGACGGGGAAGAACTTGGGGATGGTAAGGGGGAAGAAGGGGAAGGCGTGGCATGGGGAAACCCAGACGGGCTGCACATTCATGGGAGTCGTCGCCTGTCGTCGCCTGTCGTCGCCTGTCGTCGCCTGTCGTCGCCTGAGCAGCTGGCTTCGCCAGTATCAACCTCGTCCGCCCAGCTCACATCACCACCGCCATATGTGCCAATCGTGCACCTGATCTGGGCTCCGAGCACCAACGCGTCATCTGAACCGTTCATACTCGTCTGTCCGTGGTTCATGCTGGGTGACCCATGGCTGGCGTGTGCGATGCTTGGTGCATGTGATGGCATGGCGTGTGCAGGTTGTGGCGGAGTTACCGGGGCGAACAGAGGAGATGGCAGAAGCACTCTTCAACATGAATAGAGTGAGTCCACCGCGCGCTCTCTCTCTCAGCCTGATCCCGCGTTGAAATGCCATCTAGTGCCATTTGTGCCTGTCTAGTGAGCGCCTTGCATGTCTGCGAGCTCAGTGCCCTGCAGCCCTGCTCCGCCTCACCTGTGGTCCGTCCGCCCCCCTGCTGCATGTGCTGTGCGCCATCCCCCCCATCCCAGGCGTACCTGTCGCTGCCCGAGGGAGCAGCGTCGGCGGTGGGGCTCGTGGCCATGATGACGGACCACTACTCCATGCTCGTACGCCCCGCGCTGCTATGCCGCCTCCCGCCTCTTATCCTCATGTGCCCCATGCCCGCATGCTCTGTGCTTTTACGCGCCTTCCCGATGGGTCTTGTTCCCGTCCCTTTCCATGCTCACCTTTCCATGCTCACCTTTCCATGCTCACCTTTCCATGCTCATCTTTCCACGCTTTCCTTTCCATGCTCACCTTTCCACGCTTCCCTTTCCAAGCCGCCGTACCTTTGCTGCACACACTACTTTCGTCCACCCTTCACCTGGTCCCCTTCTCAACCTCCTGCACTCACAGCTGCCCGCACTACCCCTTCCCTCCTGCCTCACCCTGACCCCTGGGTGCGTGGCAGCACGAGGCGGCGACAGAGCAGCCGCAGGGAGCAGACGAGGCAGCACAGGCAGCAGGGCAGGACCACGGGAGCCAGGCGGCGTCTGTCACTCCGCCTGTGGGGCGCCGAGGGAGTGCTGGCCGCGGCAGCAGGGGGGGCGGTGGTGTGAGTGAGAGTGCGAGTGAGGCGGAAGGGGAGAGTGAAGGGGAGGGGGGCGGTGTTGGTTTCAGAAGTGAGAGTGATAGGGGCAGTGAGAGTGAGGGGGAGAGTGAGAATGAGAGTGAGAGTGAGGTGAGGGTGCAGTCTCACAGGCCTGCCACCAGGAGCAGGCCGCACAGTGCGGGTCACAGCAGGGGGGAGAGGCCACGGCGGGCTGGGGAGGGCGCGGAGGGCAGTGATGTGGGGGGAAGTGGGAGGGGTGGCAATAGGCGGAGTGGCAGTGGGAGAAGGGAGGTGGGGCCTGGGGATGAGGAGGCGGTTGCAGAGCGAGGGGGGGAGGAGCAGGAGGAGGTGCAGCAGTGGAGTGTGGGGAGAAGTGCGGGTTCCAGTGATGGGCGGAGGGGGAGTGACGGGCGGAGGGGGGTTGAAGGGTCCACGAGAGTGAGGGGTGTGCAGGAAGCCGCAGGTGGCGGGCATTCACCAGGTGTGTTCTCCGATCTGAGGATGTGCGTAAAGTTGATTCAAAAGCAGGATATGCTTTAAGTCGACTCAAAAGCAGGATGTGCTTTAAGTCGACTCAAAAGCAGCATGTGTGAATGCCTCTGCTTTCTGCAACCTCGTGGCTGATCTTGCAATGCTCTTGCTGCTTCCAACGCTCTTGCTGCGTGATCACTCGCATGTCTATATTCTGCTTTGCTTCTCCCCCCGCTCTCTTGCAAGTCTCTTTCTACGCCCCTCTCACCCCTCCCCCCCTCCAGGCGCGCCCCTGTGGACTCGAGGCAAGCGCAGCCGCAGGCCGCACGTGCCCCCTGCGGGTGGGGGCAAGGGCGGAGCGGAAGGAGGGGAGAGGGGCGGGCGGGAAGCGGGTGAGAGGAAGCGGCAGCTGGAGGAGGAGCAGGTTGTTGCAGGTAGGGGAGATAGAGACATGGTGGAGGGTGGGGGGGAGGAAGGGGGCACTGGTGATAGGCGGGGTGCAGAGGTGGTGAAGGAGGAAGGGGATGGCGGAAGGGAGGGGAAAGGGCAAGGGTGCGAGGGGAGACAGGGGGTTGGAGGTGGCGTGGCAGGGGTGGGCAGGGCGAGGGGCGTGGGGTCGCACACACCAAAGAAGGCACGATCAGCGGTTGCCGTGGTGGCAGGGGCAGGGGTGGCAGGGAGAGGTGATGCAGACAGGGAAGGCGAGAAGAGGTGCGCTGCTAGTGGTGGTGGTGGTGGTGATGTGCGAGTTTCACTGCCACAACAGCGGCAGCAGCAGCAGCAGCAGGAGAAGGAGAAGGATAGCAGAGTGCAAGAGAGGTCAACGCGCGGGGGTGCTGAGAGTGCGGTGGCAGGGCGAGGGGCGGCGGACGCAGGGGCAGCAGAGGCAGGGGCGCGTGGAGATGACGTGAGGGCTGCTGGCGTGCTGGCAGGGGCGGGGGCAGAGGGGTCTGGAGAGGAGAAGGGCCACGGGGGTGAGGAGAGGAAGGAGGGGAAAGGGGGCTGGCGCAAGCGCAAGGCCAAGACAAAGAAGAGAGTGTTCCCAGGCGCGCCAGGGGCGGGTGGTGCACTGGACGGTGGGGGAAGGGAGGTGGTGGGTGGTGTGTGTGATGGGGGCGAAAGGGAGGCGGTGCAGGATGCAGGAGAGGAGGGGAGAGATGAGAAGGCAGGGGAGGGAGGGGGGGCGTGGAGGGAGGCAGGAGGGCATGACAGCGTGGGCAGTGGCGACAGGGAGCATGCAGGCAGCCTCTTTCACGGTGAGAGATCTGATTCTGGTAGGTTCTCTGAGAGACCGCGTGTGCTCACCTGTAAATCCATGCGTGAGGAGTCTATTTTTGAGGCGCCTCAAAAATAGACTCCTCACAGTGAGAGATCTGATTCTGGAAGATTCACTGAGAGACCGCGTGTGCTCACCTGTAAATCCATGCGTGAGGAGTCTATTTTTGAGGCGCCTCAAAAATAGACTCCTCACAGTGAGAGATCTGATTCTGGAAGATTCACTGAGAGACCGCGCGTGCTCACCTGTAAATCCGCTTGCTGCTCCCGCCGTCCATCAATCATGTGTCTGAACTGCTTCTTCCTCTCTCTCCCCCCCTGCCAGGTGGCAGCTCCGGATTGGACGCCCTGGCGACGCTGGCGGATATTTCTCTCACAGCCATGGCTCATGCCAGCAACCACGCTGCCCCTGCCGGCTCTGCTGCTGTGTCTGCTAGCGGCGCTGCTGCTGATGCCTGTGCCGCTGCCCGTGCTGCCAGTGCTGCCGGTGCTGCTGCTGGCACAGGTGAGACTTGTTGTGGGCCCCTCTGCTTTTTGTGGTGCTCTGTTCTGTTCTCCAAGAGCAGGCATGGATTGGCTGCAGAGACGCTTAGGAAGGAATCGTTCCTCTCTTGCTACGCATTATCTGCCTTACTCTCCTCGTGAGACGTCTCAAATCTAAACTACTTACCCACCACGGCAGGAATCGTTCCACTCTTGCAACTCATAATCTGCCTTACTCTCCTCTTCGCCCCATGCTCTCCTGGTGCCATCAGGCCATCTGGCACCGCCCCAGCAGCAGCACGAGGAGGAGGGGGAGGAGCAGGGCGAGGGAGGTGCAGTGCAGCAGCAGCAGGCAGGCGGCAGCAAGGCGGGTGTGGAGGGGAAGGGAGGCGGGGCGCAGGGCAGCAGCGAGGCAGGCAGGGCGGGTGGGGAGGTGCAGAGGAAGAAGAAGAAGAAGCTCAGGGCGGGAGGGGCCGTGGGGAGTGCGGGGAATGAGGGGAAGAGGAGCAAGGCCGACCACCCTATAGGCCCGCCCCACCTTCCCGCCTCCCTCCCCTTACCCGGCTCCTACCCTCTCCTGCCCCCACCGCCAATGCCCCCCCTGCCCGTCCCTCTCACCTTCCCTGCGCACCCTCCGCCACCCGCCATGCCCTTTGCTGCCCCTACCGCCCCTGTGCCAGCAGCACCCGCAGTGCCAGCCGCTGCAGGAATTCGGCCCGGCAGAGCGAGTGCTTTCAGTGTTGTGGTCCCAGGCGTGCCGGGTGCCATTCCAGGTGCCATGTCAGGTGCCATGTCAGGTGCCATGTCAGGTGGGATTCCAGGTGGGATGCACAGCGCTGCAGCTGGTGGCATGGCAGCAGGCATGGGAGCGGCCGGAATGGGAGGGGGGGGGGGCATGGCGGGAGGAGCTGTGGGTGGCGGTGGGGCGCGTGTGGAGGAGGACCCGCTGGACGACATGCTGCGGCGCTTCCAGCACGCCGCCGCCGCACACGCCACCGCCACCACTAGGGTGGGTACCGCCGCGCACGCAGGCAACGGCGCGCATGCTGGCAGCGGCAGGGCGGCGGGGAGTGGGGCGAAGTTGAGCAGTGCACGGCAGGCAGGGGGCGAGGCGAGGGCGGGAGGGGAGGCGCGGGCAGGGGGCGAGGCGCAGAGGAAAGCAGCAAGCGAGGGGCAGAGGCAGCAGGGAGCAGGAGGTGGGGCGAAGGCGGCAAGGGGAAGCAAGGGGGCTGTGAAGGCAAGGAGGAAGGGGGAGGAGCAGGCGCAGGGCGAGAGGAAGGGGCAAAGCAAGGGGAGGGAGGAGCCTGTGCAGGGCGCGGAGGAGCAGCCCCACGCCACTCCCCGCTCACATGCTCCCTCCGCCCCTCCAATGGTGGCTTCCCGGGCTGCCCCTGCTGCTACAGGCGCTGCTGATGCGGGTGCACGTGTGGCGGATGGGGAGCGAAGGAGAGAGAGGAGGAAGGGGAAGGAGGCAGGGGCGAGGGAGCGGAAGAAGGGCAAGGAGGGGGGAGTGAGAGAGAGGAGGAAGGGGCAGGAGGGGGGAGGGGCAGAGAGGGTTGCGCTGGACCTGATGGGGGGCGACAGGGAGGGTGCAGTGGGTGGCGTGGGGGACGCTCAGGCGCCTCAAGGAACGAGTGCGGCGGACAGGGGTGGTGTGGAGCAGGCGGAGTGGGTGGACTCGCAGCTGCATCCCACCCAACAGCAGCACCACCAGCGACGGCCAGTCACAGCACAGCTGCTGCCGCTGCTGCCACCCTCACAGCGCACTGACACAGCAACAGCAGCAGCAGCGGCGGCAGCAGCAGCAACAGCAGCAGCAGCAGCTCCCACCGTTGGCTCCCGAGCTGCTGCCCTCTCCCATCCCCTCTCCCCCTCCTCCTCGCCCTCTCTCTCCCTCCGCCTACCATCCACTCTCCCCCCCTCTCCGCACCTCTCTGCATCCCTCACCCCTGCTGCTGCTGCATTCCACCTCTCAACGGCACCACCGGCCCTACTGCTGCAAATGCCACCTCCCATTCCTCCAGCACAGTCCGTGCCCCCTATGCCTCCCATGCCCAACCACACGGGCTTCCCCCCGCGCTCTGCCCCTCTGCGCCTGCCCCTCCCCTTGGGCGGGGAGCAGCAGCGGGGAGGGGAGGCGAAGGCGGATGCCACATGGGCGCCCATGCCACATCAGTCTGCAAACCACGTGCTGCCACCTCAGCAGCTAGAGCACCAGCAGCTGGGAGGTGGCATCGGGGGCAGAGTGCCGGCAGTAGCGGCGCGAGGGGCAGGGCGGAGGAAGAGTGGAGTGGTGCAGCGGAGTGGGGGAGGGGAGGGTGGAGGGAGCGGAGGGAGCGAGGCGCACGGGCCAGAGGGCACAGCAGTGCGCGGGGCACCGCGTGCCTTGGCCCCCGCCTCAGGCGTGTGCCAGGCTGTGCTGCGGTGGAGCCGCCACGAGTTCTTCTACAGCGCTCTCGACCGCCCCTGGTTCCACCACAGTGACTTCACCCGCTGCCTCGCCCTGCTCGCCGCCCACCAGCCATGCTCCCTCTCTCGCACCCTCTGGCGCCTGCTCCGCTGGTGAGGGCCCCAAACTGGCTCTTTTTCTCCACAATGGCCCTTCCCCCGTATGTCTCCTCTCACCTCCTCACACACTCTCATGCAACTTCTTCTTCATACCTGTCTGCCCTACTCTCCCTCACCCCCCCCCACCTTCCCGTCCCCTCCCCCCACCCCCCCCCACAAAACAATCAGTGCCATGGGCAAGCCACGCCGCCTCTCCCCCGCCTTCCTCGCGGAGGAGCGCGCCAACCTCAACGCCTTCCGCTCCGCCGCCCGTGCCGCCCTTGCCGCCGCCGCTGCCGCTGCTGGGCCCGCAGAGGGGGGAGGGCAGGGGGGGCAGGTGCAGGTGGGGGAGGCGGTACTGGCAGTGCACCCACGCACAGGGGTGGTGGCAGTAGGGAGGGTGGTGGGGGTGGGGGGCGCAGGGGAGATGGAGGGAGGGGGGCAGGGTGGTGGGTGGGGGGGAGGGGAGGAGGTGGTGGTGCGGTTTGAGGGTGGGGGACTGGGCACACACGCGGTCAGAGATGTGGATGTGGACGTGCTGCCGGTGCCCCTGCAGCAGGGTCTTGGCATGCCGCCATTGCACGCATGGCAGCCTGGCCACCCACTGCAGCTGGGCCACCTGGACCTCAACGCCTGCCTCTCCCCCCCCGCTGCTGCTGGAGCTGCTGGCCCTGCGAGTGACTCGTTCAAGACGCCCACGCACCGGCCACTGGCAGCACCGGTACTGCCCGCGGCCAGCCCAGGGGAGGCAGGGCTGTCGAGGGAGCAGGACGCGCGGGCGGTGGTGGAGGTGGTGCGGTGCTGCGACAAGAAGGTGAGGGGGCATGCTGGTGAGGGACAGTACGCGTGTGTCGCATGCCTCCGTGCGTACCTAGGTAGATTCCTCCCCACCTCGCCCCTCTGCTTATACTTCCGTCTTGTCACACTCCCCTTCGCTCCCTGCTTCCCCTCCGTCTCCTGCTGCCTCTGCAGGCTGCGCTGCTGGCGGACCTGCAGTGGCTCAACGTGCAGGCAGAGGCGCACGTGGGGGCACAGGCGGAGGCGCACGCGGAGGCGCAGCAGGAGAGAGGCGCAGAGGGGGGGCTAAGGGGCGAGGGGCAGGGGGTGGCGAATGGCACGGCGGTCACGGCGGGTGTTGGGGGTGGAGGGGCGGGTGGCGCAGGTGGGGAGAGGCAGGCGGGCGAGGGGGGCGTGATGGGGGAGATGGGGCGGGGTGGAGGGGTGGTGCTGGACGAGTCGTTTCAGCGGCAGTATGCAGTGGTGTTGCTGCAACTCAGGGACACAGACAAGCAGGTGAGTGGGGATAGGTGCTTGTGTGCACACGCTACTCTATCGTGTGTGCATGCCGTGCCATGCCATGCCATGGCAACTCTTTCTCTGCGTGCCATGGAGCCACACCTGCCGTTCGTTCCCTTGTCCCCTCCTTTCCCCTCGCTCCCCTGTCCTGGAACGGTCCTTCATCATGCTACATGCCACCCACATCCCATGATCAACTCTCTCTCCCGCTTCCCTCGCACTGCACCCCTCTGCACCCCTCTGCAGCTGGATGACGCCCTGCGCGCGCTCAGAAGCCGCAATCGCTTTCTCCATCCAGGCCTGCCCCACCCCTCGCCCTCGCCCCTCCCTTCCCCACACACCACCATCCGCCCCCTTCCTTCCCCCTCCGCTCCCCCTCTCTTCCCCTCCCCCTCCGCCCCCCCTCTCTTCCCCTCCCCCCTCATGTCTGCCGCTCGCCTCCTCACTGCCTCCTCCTCCCACACCGCCCTCGCCAACGCTCCCCTCCGCCTCCCCCCTCTCATCCCCCTACCTGCCCTCGCCCCCCCTCTTCCCCCTCTTGCTCTGCCGCCCACCTTCCTTCCCCCTCCCCCTCACCTCCTGCAAGCCCCTTCCAGCGCACCAGCACCAGCAGCAGCAGCAGCTGCAGCTGCAGCAGCACAAGCACCAGCAGCACCGGCAGCAGCAGCCGCTGGTGCTGCAGCATTGGCAGCAGCGGGAGTCGTGGGAGGGCAATCGGGGAAGGCTTATCAGAGTGACAGGAAGGATGACAGGGCATTGCAAAGTTGCAATGAGCAGGGCATGGCGCTAGGGCGGATGGTGGAAGCCATGCAGGGCGGAGGGGAAGTGGAAGTGAGGGAGGGAGGAGAGGGAGGGCGGGAGGGACAAGGACTGCAGGAAGGGGTTGCGGGTGAGGGGGGGAGGATGGTGTGTGGGGAGGAGGCGGTGTCAGGGGGGCCGGTGTCAGAGGGCGTGCAGCAGATGATAGGTGAGGCGCAGCAGCGTGCAAGAGGCATGGTGGTCGCCGCCCTGCGCGCCCTCGCCCTCTGCCCTGCTGGCGCCGACCCCACGCTCCTCCTCATGCAAGCTGTCTCCAACCCCCCCCCACCACACCTCCCCCCACCACACCTCCCCCCACCACACCTCCCACCACCACATTTCCCCTCAGCTCCACCCACCTCCACCCCTCCATCTGCCATCCCCTTACCCACCACCGTCCCGCCTGCTGCTCCCCCTGCTGCTCCGCCTGCTGCTCCCCCTGCTGCTCCCCCTGCTGCTCCCCCTGCTGCCCCTCTGGCTGCTCCGATGCAGCAGGCACAAGCACCACAGCAGCCGGGTCAGCAGGCGCAAGCCACACAGCAAGCAGCAGAGCAGGACCAGTCACTTGCTGCTGTGGGCGCTCCGCCCTCCTCTGCTGCACTTGCTGCTGATGCAGGCAGCATGGCACACCCCACTGAACCATACCACACCGCATTGCACCACACCGCTTCACAACACCCTGCACCCCTTCCTCCATCCTCCTTGCGCCCCACGGCCCACCCCAGCAGCACCCCGCCCCCCCACCCGGCGCGCTACCGCCTGCTGCAGCTGACCCCCCAGGGCCCCGCCTTGAGGAGCCCGGGCAAGCTCGCGCACACCTTGCTCTCGCAGGGGGGCGGGGGGGCCAGGGGCGAGGCAGGGGCGGGGCGGTGGGAGGAGGGGGCGGGGGCGCGGGGGCTGCTTTGTGCGTCGGAGGAGGGGGGGCTGTCGGCCACCACGGGCACCACAGGGGGGTCCGACGCCGATGCTGTGGGCGCTGCTGTTGGCGGCGATGCCAATGGGGGGGTAGAGGCAGCAGCAGGCGTGGTGGGAGGGGGAAAGGGGGGGGGAGCCGATGGTGCATCCCAGCAGAAAGAGGCGGCCTCCTTTGCCCATCCTGCCACACCTGCCACTGCTCCCGCTCACCCTGCCTCTGTTTCCCCGGACCACCACCGGGCGCTCTTCTCCCCCTCCCCCCCGTTCTCCGCCAGTCCCCCCTCCCCCCTCCCGCCCTCCACCACTGCCACTATGCCTGCCTATCCGCCTGCTACGGGCTGCCCTGTCCCTGCCACAGCAGCCCCAGCCGGTTCGGCAGCCCCAACAGCAGCCCCAGCATCCCATGTGATCAGCCCGCACCGGTCGTCCACCACCAAGGCCAGGCCCCCTTCCAGCCTCCGCCCCTCCTCCTCTGTGCCCTTGCCCGCCTGCCCTCCCAGCAGCACTGCACGTGCTGCTGCCACCGCTGGTGGGGGGGGTGAGGGGGAGGAGGGGAGAGATGGGCTGCATGGAGCAGCGGTCGCGAATGGGATGGTCGGAGGTAGCATGGAGGAAGCGGGTCGAGGGGAGAAGAGCGATGGAGAGAGAGAGGCGGAGGGGCAGACTCGACTGTCTGCTGGGGGCGATGTCTCGCTCGTCATGCAGCAGTGCCTCACCTCGCTGCTCCTCGTTCAGGTACTGTGCCCTTTGGGCTTGATAAATTGTGAGCATTGCATCGCACCATTCCTTTCTATTATATAATGTGTCGTTGCTACTCTCTTCCTTCTCCGGTCCACTCTTACATTGCTCTGTTCCTCTTTGTTCCCCAGGCGGCGTGCAAATGCACGGACTTGTCGGCGTCCGACCTGCATGGGATCCGCAATTTCTGTCAGGCAACGATGTCATCTGCCCCTACTAACAACGGCACGCTCACCCGCATTCATTCGTGTATCGCCAGTATATGCCAGCACCTCATTTCCAACCTAGGGGCTCCTAGGCAACGCGCTCGTTGCTTTAGGCCTCTCTTGCTGGCATAACTCTAGAGAAATTGTGCTTGGGCATGTAGAATTGAGTGCTTCAATATGAAGCATTATATTTTTTGTATGGTGTTCATACGCACTATTTTTTTGTATGATGTTCATTTGGAATGTATTTTCTAGTATTGGTGCTGTCTGCAACGAGTTTCGGTCCAAGCCTCCCCACCGAAGTTGTCTTTCCCTGACGAATCGCAGGGCCCTTCAATCAGAGTGGTCGTGCATCCGTGGACGATTGATTGGATTGGCTCTACAAACTCGGCAACGTCGCACGGCCTTCGCGACAGCAGCAGAACTCCCACGAACCGTTGTCGCCCAAGGAAGGCTTTCGCCTCACTGGTGCGGGAGTCACAACAAGCGACGCGGCGGAACGCGCAACCTGCCAGCCAGCCTAGTTGGCGGGAGGCTGAATCTGGCGGACGGAGCAGGGCGCGAGGAGCGCCGGGGGTCAAGGCAGGGGTGGCTCCGCTGCTCCGCTTGAGCTGACGGGCGAAAGCGGGGGAGAGGGGAGAAAAGAAACTAGTCTGGAGAATGCTTGACCTGCGGTGGCAGGGTGAGAAAGGAGAGGGACGACAGATTTGAAAGATTCTCTAGAGGCTTGGTTGTTCCATTCCTTTCAGTTCGGTTGTTCTCTACCTGCATCGCCCAAGTACATTAGCTAGGCGTAGTGCTGTAGTTCCTTTGTACATAGTAGCTTATCATCGACTACGCGCCTCGTCGCGTGCCGTGCGGCTCCTCGACGCCGTTTGCGTTTAGGGCGTGCAGGGGTTTCGAGAGTCGCTCGTGCTATCGTGTGCCTCTGCCGGTTGAAAGTTATTGCATAACGCCTTTCTTGGTTGGAAACACGACTGCGGAAATAGCAAACGAACGGAGGATGGTAGTTGTGGTAGTTACACGCAGCCAAGAGCGGGCTCGTTAGGGCGGATGCGCGAAGCAGCCTAGCAGCTGCCAGCTTCACCGACGGTCGCTGGTCGAGCGGGATACTCCTCTCAACCCACGGCCCGAAGCGGACTGGAGTGGAGTGCAGCGGAGTGCAGCGGAGTGCAGCGGAGTGCAGCGGAGCGGAGCGGTTTAGGGTGGCAGGGGGAGCGGCGTAGCGGCGATGTCGCGCGTGTGGGTGGCGGGCGCGCTGGCTGCGTACGTGGCGCTGAGCGCCGTGTGCTTCGGGCTGCACCTCTCCATCATGCACCACCACCTGCAGCGCCAGGCCAAGACGCCCGCCCGCCAATGGCAGGCCCGCCTTGACTCCGCCCCGCAACCGCCCGACGAATCTCCCGCGCAAGTGCAGGCGCATCCCCCGGCGGCAGCAGCTCCCGCGGTACTAGCTACAGTGCAGAGTTCCTTGGCGGCGCAAGAGCCGCCCGCTGTGACGGTGGCGCCCGCAGCAGCGGCGGAGAGTGCTGCTGCGGGTGAGGTGGGCGGGGGCACGGAGTTGGAACCGCCTCAGAAGACCGTTAGTGCGGGGTGGGAGGGAGCGCGGACGGTGACAGGTGGGGAGGGGAAGCAGGCGGAGCACGCGGTGGCGGCGACGGCGGCGGAGGGCCCGGTGGACGCGTCGGCGCTGTGGCTGGCGTCGTTCCGCCACATGTCGGAGTCCGTGGAGTCCGCCGCCGCCCTCTACAACCTGCTCCTCGCCGCGCTGCTGGTCGGCGTCGTCGGCGCCAAGGTGAGAGCTGGGGAGGGGGAGGGGGAGTTGGGGGGGGGGGGGTAAGGGGGAGGTGGGGGGGGGGGGTGGTAAGGAAGAGGTGGGGGGAAGGGTGGGGGGGGAGGGGTAAGGGGGAGGTGGGGGGGGGGGGGGGGGGGGGTAAGGAAGAGTTGGGGGGGGACGAGAGGGAGGAAAGGAGAGAGGATGGGGAAGAGAGGGGAGAGGGGAGAGGGGAGCGGGAGTAAAGTAGGAATGAGCTTTTCGTCATCGAATCGCATCTGCCGTCTGCTCCCCTTCCTGTGGCTCATGTCGGCCGTGGTTCGCGTCTCGGTGCTGTGGGGTGTGCAGGAGTTGTTCCTGGGCGAGCTGTCGCTGCTGGAGATGCACAAGCTGGCGGAGCGGCTGATCGGCCACTTCTCCTTCAAGGTACAACACCTCCCCCTCCCCTTCTTTCCAGAATCGCCCCAATGTGCCTTCTGCTGTCTTTCCCTCCCGTTGCCTTCTCGTTCAAGGCGAGACGCGTCAGCCTCTTCTCGTTCAATGGGCATCTCCTCTTCTTCCAGTATTCCCCCAGTGCCGCGCCTCGCTCCATCCCACGCGCACCCACTACCCATCGCCGCTTCCGCCCTTGCCAGTGCCGCCACTCTCGTTAGCCCGTCCGGTGCTCTCCCCTCCCCCCCACTCCTTGTGCCCTCTTCTTCCGCCCTTCTCCTCGTGCTCTCCCCCTCCACACCCCCCGCAGCTGCTGCTGCTGCTGTCGCTGGTGGGCGTGCTGGTGGTGCAGCCGGTGGGAGCCTCAACGCCCGTCTGCCTTTTTCTCTGCCCGTTTGTCTCCTCTCTCCTTGTCCCATCCCCCCCCCCGCAGCTGCTGCTGCTGCTGTCGCTGGTGGACGTGCTGGTGGTGCAGCCCGTGTGGCTGCTGTGGTTCGCCGCCGTCACCGCCATCAAGGTCAGCCCATCTTACAGCCCTTCAGGTGAGTTTTGAGGCGCCTCAAAAACAGCCCTTCAGGTGAGTTTTGAGGCGCCTCAAAAACAGCCCTTCAGGTGAGTTTTGAGGCGCCTCAAAAACAGCCCTTCAGGTGAGTCCAACTGCCCTCCCCCCTCGCTCTTCTGCCCCCTTTTCTCGCCTTCTTTCCTCCCCATGTCTTTTTCCCACTCCCTCTCCTCCCTCGCACTCCCCCCTCCGCTCTCCTGCCTGCGTCTCAACACCTCATCCGTTAATCCCGACCGCCATCCTCTTTGACTCTTGTCTCCCCCAATCCCCACCCGGCCATATCTCACCCATTCCCCCATCCTCCACACTCTCCCCCACTTCCCCCCAGATGTTCGGCGTGGTGGGCAAGGAGCGGTCGCAGCGGCTGAGCGCGTCGCCCTCGGCGCTGCTCTCCTCGCACCTGCGCACGCTCGCGCTGCTGCTCGTCGTGCTGCTCTCCAACTTCCTCCTGTGAGCCGTGCAGACTCCTTCGTTTTGTCTGCTCACACGCCTGCGCCCATTCTCCTCTGCTCGTGCTCCATGCAGCATCTCTGTTGCCTTGTCTCTTATTGCCATCTCGTGCCACCCGTCTCTTCTTCCTCACTTCCTCCCCCCCCACTCTCCCCCCATCCCCCCCATCCCCCCCATCCCCTCCATCCCCCCCATCCCCCCCATCCCCCCCATCCCCCCCATCCCGCCCAGCGCCGTGTGTCTACTACCGTTCTTCGCACCCTGGTCGTCCGCCTCGTCGCCCTCGGCGTCACGCAACGTGATGTCGCTGTGGCCGCGCCTCTCCGTGGGGCTGCTCTTTGCGTACGAGCCCCTCGTCATCGCCATCGACACCACGCAGGTCACACCAACCCCTCCCGCTCAGGAGCCACTGCCCCTCCATGCCCATCCGTGGTTAAATAATTTAGATTTGAAACGTCTCAAAACTACCCTCCATGCCCATCCGCCCATGTCTCTGTCTATTCCAACCTCCATTCTCGCATCCCATCCCTCAAGCAGTGCTGGCCCTGTGCCTTAGAGGATGTTTGTGAGAATTCTCAATAACCAGAGGAATTCTCACCCTGCTGGCCCTGTGCCTTATATAACGGAGCAGTCTATATTTGAGGCGCCTCGAAAATAGATCCCTCGGGCAGTGCTGGCCCTTTGCCTTGTATACCAGAGGCCCGTTCTTAGGCCCCCCAAATCCCACACGCTTCTACCCCCCACGGCTCGCGCATCCCTTCATGCCCCCGCCCCGACCTGCTGCGCTTCTGCCCGCATCTCCCGGTGGCCCATTCTGCCGCGCCTCATTGCCGCCCTGATTTCCTCATGCCCCCCCATGGCTCCCTGCGCATGCCACCTCCTCTCCTCTTCCCGAGCCAATCCTTCCCCACACAACCCTAGACGCTGCTGCGCTACTGCCTGCAACTGCTCGAAGCATGTTGTGAGGCCCCTTTTCCCCTGTTCGTTCCTCACCCCCTACTTCCCCACCCCCCATCTCACCCCCGTTCCCCAGACGCTGCTGCACTACTGCCTGCACCTGCTGGAGGCCCACTCCGACCTCCTCTCCGCACACCTGCCGCCAGCTCTGCCGCTCACCTGTGAGTCCCGTGCTCTTCCCCTCAGATTTTTGAGTCGACTCAAAGATCGCTCTGCCGCTCACCTGTGAGTCCCGTGCTCACAGGTGTTCCCCTCCTCCCACTTGTCGACTCCCTTGCTTGGAAGTTCCTTCCTCATCCGCGCGCCTCGCACATACACCTCCCGCCTCTGCCCCCCCCTGCCAGCCATTCTGGCCTCAAGCGAGCGGGCGGATCCCCGTCCTGGCTGCTCCATACACTCCAGATCACTTCTCTTCATTCACCCCCCCCCCCTCCCCCCCGCGCATACTCCCCTCTCCTATTTTTGAGTCGACTCAAAAGCCATTCCGCCCTCCCCCCACATACTCCCCTCCCCTCCTACCCCCCCCACCAGCCATGCTGGCATCATGCGAGTGGGCGGAGCTGCGCTCCTGGCTGCTTTTCAACGTGTCCTTCACAGCGGACGCCTCCTCCACGCTGCTCACCCTCGCTCACTGCGCCCTCGTGTGGCTGATCCGCGGCTTCTCCTTCTCGGTGATCGACCTCGTCCTCTTCTTCAACATCCGCACGCTGCTCGCCGCCCTCTCCACGCGCGTCGCCGGCTTCCTCCGCTGGCACGCCGCGCTGCGCCTCCTGCGCTCCACCTTCCCCGACGCCTCCCCCGCGCAGATCACTGCCTTCGCCGATGACTGCGCCATCTGCCGCGAGCCCTTGTCCTCCGCCAAGCGGCTGCCCTGCGGGCACCTGTTCCACCTGTCTTGCCTGCGCAGCTGGCTGGAGCACGGGTCGCAGGCGCCCTACTCCTGCCCCACCTGTCGCCGCCCCTTAGACAGCCTTCCCCCTCATGTGCTCTCGTCGCTCTCCCCTCCCCCCCAGCCCCCCTCCGCTGCTGCTGCTGCTCCTGCTGTGGGCGCTATCCGCCCCCCCCAGGAGCCTGCTTGGGAGGCTGGGTGGAATCAGGGAGGTGGGGGGGATGGGGTGGGAGGAGTGACTCGGGGGTGGGATGAGGGGCAGAGGGGCGGGGCAGGGGGGAGTGATATGGGCGCAGGGCAGGGGGGGGAGGGGCAGCCTGGGGGGGGCAGCGGTGGTGGAATGGGGGGAGGGGAGCGGCAGGAAGAGGGGGAGAGGGTGGTTGGGGGAGGTCGATTCTTTTCTTCTTCTATCTCCCTAAGGGGGATGCGGTTCAGAGGCGGGGGGAGTGGCAGGCAGAGACATGGGGGGGAAGTGGGGGCAGGGGGAGGGGCAGAAGGGGGGACAGCGGGAGGGGGAGCAGGAGGGGAAAGGGGGGCTGTGGATCGGGGTGTGGGGGGGGCGGCAGGGGCAGGGAGAGGAGCAGGAGACGGGGGGGAGGGAGTGAGGGGAGGGGGGAGTGCAGGGGAAGAGGGGAGTGGCAGGCGGAGAGGATGGGGGCTGTGGGGAGGGGGGGAGGGGGCACGGGTGGGAGGGTCGGGATGGGGAGCGATGGGAGGGGGGATGAGGGGGATGGGGATGGTGATGGATGAGGATAGGATGGCAGCGATGGTGGCGCAGGTGGAAGAGGTGCTGCCGCATGTGCCCCTGCATGCCATCCGACAGGTGTGTGCCCCTGCATGCCATCCGACAGGTGTGTGCCCCTGCATGCCATCCGACAGGTGTGTGCCCCTGCATGCCATCCGACATGTCTGTGCCCATCAGATCACATCATGTGTGTCATGTGTCGCTTGCCAGGGGACTGTGGCGCTGGTAGTCCACCGGTGCACCGCTAGGTCTGTCCGGCTCATTCTCCTCCCTGCTCTCTGCAATTCTCTTTGCCTGCTGAATGTGGCCATGGGTGCATGGGTGCATGGGTGCATGGGTGCGTGGGTGCATGGGTACATGGGTGCGTGGGTGCATGGGTACATGGCTTGATGCATGTATACAGGAGTTGTTGAGAAGGCCCAATGTGTTGCTGGCAGTCAATGCTTTAATGGATGCATGGTGACGTGCCGCTATGCACTGCCTCCCATGCCACCGTGCATCAATACAGTACCAGCTATTAAGGCACATGGTTAGTTTAGCCTAACCTGGTGGTCATAGCAGTTCTTCTGATGTCACCATGCTGCTGCCCTCTGCTACCCTCTGCTGCTGGTGTCTGACCCTCACTCACACAACGTGCACACATGCTGCGCCCTGCTCCTGACTGCCGCTTTTTGGCGATAAGCTTTGTTATACCCAGTGTCTACTGTACAGTATTGATGGAGAATGTTGGTTGAGCGAACAGAATCCTTTCTATGGCATGCTGTGAATCCTGCTTTGTGTCTTGAATCTTGATTTTAAAAAGGATGGTCATTCGCTCCAGCTGCAGACGGTATTCAGTACATCACATGTGTTGGGCTGAGAAAAGCCCTTAGGATCTTTTCAGAGACTAAGTCCCAGTTGTACAAGATACTTGAGTAGTGCAGCGGAAGTTTGAATAGTTGAACCCTTGCACTAGTATGTGAGAGCAAGTGATTGATTAAAAGAAACAAGCATACAGCAATATATAGAGAGTAGGAAATAGAGCAGTTGTAGAATACAGTTGAACGGTTATCGAGTCGCACAATGACTCGATCGTCGGTTCGGTTACCATCCCTGCAGTCATAACGGTCAGTCGCAACCTCCAGTTGCGACCCTTCAAGTCCCTTCGTCCTTTCGTATTCTTTCGTCCAACCTCCTCGTGTAACCTCCGTTGACTCGCGTACTCAATAAGACTTTCCTCGAGTGTAGTGTTACACTTCATAAACGCAAGTCCTCGAGGTATTTCCAACACTCCCCTTCGTTTCTGGAGTGCTTACGTGTCCAGATTCGGTGACGTTTATCTGCCCGGTCAGCAGCATGCAGTAATCGAACTTTGCCTTCGCCAGTTTCTTCGTCAGGTAGTCTGCGGCCATTTCTGTCGTGGGGCAGTAACTGAGTTGAAGTCTCCCCTTCGCGATCTCATCCTTGACGAAGAAATACCGCAGGGCGATGTGCTTGGTTCGATTGGCGAACCCATCTTTGTTCGCGATTTTGATTGCGGATTGGTTGTCGCAGAGTAGCGAGAAGGCGGGCATGGTCGCTATTTTCGCTTCCTCGAGCAGCTCCAGCAGGTAAAGTCCTTCTTTGGTTGCGGTGCAGAGGGCGATATATTCCGCTTCGGCCGAAGATAGTGCAATTTATTCCTGCTTGCTCGATTGCCAGGAGATAGTACCGATGGGTTATAGTCGGTAGATGTAGCCCGTTCTGGAGCGTCGATTTTCCTTATCTCCCGCATGGTCGGCGTCGACATAGCCAAGTAATCGTACGGACGACGGTGTTACTTTGCTGTAGGTAAGTCCGGTCATCGGCGTAGAGACGAAGTAGAGTAGTGACCGATTTAACTCTTCGAGATCCTCTTGCTCCGGTTGCTTCAGGTGTGTCGCCAGTTGGCTCACGCTGTAGGACAGCTCCGGTCGGCAGGTTATTGCTGCGAACAGTAGACAGCCGAGTTTCTGTTGATATTCCTGGATCTGCTTTGCGGGGAGTTTTGCGGAGGTTCCGCTGTTGTCGTTCTTGTAGCAATAAGGAGTCGCAACTACGATTGGCGTTAGTCCGAATTTCTTCGCGACGACGCCTGCGTACTTTCCGGCGTGTAGGTAGAACGCCGAGTTGTCTTCGACGACGTTCAGGCCCAGAAACTGGATCACGGTGTTGGACACCGTGAGTGTCAAGTCACTCTTCAGCTCCCCTTTGAACCAGGTGGCGATGTCGGCAGTGGAGCCGATGTAGAGCAGGTCGTCGACGTAGACGATCAGTAGGACAAAACCCCCCTCCTTCTGTAGTCAGTACATGCCTTGGTCGTGCGGCAGCTGTAGGAAGCCGATCTTGACGAGGCGGCCGTGAAGATGCTGCTGCCAGAGTCGCGGGGCTTGTTTGATCCCGTAGAGGGATTTTATCAGCTGGCACACTTTTGTGGGGTCGTCGATGAATCCGTGGGGCTGCTCGACGAAGATCTCGGCGTCCACAGGTGCGTACAGGAAGGCGTTTGCGACGTCGATCTGGTGCAGTGGTAGCTTCTTCGTGGCCGCGACGGCGAGTAAAATGCGTAAAGAGGTGTGACGGGAGATTGGGGCGAATGTCTCTGTGTAGTCGGTTCCGTATCGCTGATCGAATCCTCGTACGACCGACTAACGCGGACAGTTCCGTATCGCCGATCGAACGAATGTGGTCGTACGAGGATTCGATCGCTGATGTACGATCAGCGAGACATACGTTCGTTCCGTATCGCAGATCAAGACTAATGCGGACGGCTCCATCGAACGGTTCCGTATCGCTGATCGAGTCCTCGAATCCTCATGGAGCCGTCCGCATTAGTCTTAATGCGGTACACCCACTTTCCCGAGAGCACGTTTTTCCCGTTGGTTTTTGTTGCAGGTACCAGCTTCCACGTGTTTCGGTATTGCAGGGCCTTCAGCTCTTTTTCCATTGCTTCCTTCCATTTCGCCTTGTGTTCCCCTCCTAGAGCCTGCGACAGAGTTGCTGGCTCGCGCGGAGACGGCGACGGCGGGCTCAGGATGGCAACCCATAGTCCAAGGATCTGCAGGCCCGTGGGTGTGTGTCGAGGGGAATTTTCATTCCTGGGATAGGCTGCTTCGTCACCATCTTCTGGGTCAGGTAAGAAATTTGGTCCGATGCGTTCTGAGACATTCGTGTCGACTGGTTGACGTGTAACGTAACCCTGGTAAGCGAAGTGGTAATAGGTGTCGAGGTTGTTACTATCGAGAGGATTGTCGTCGTCGAGGGGAACAGGCACGGAGCAGTAAGGGAGTGGTCCGGCAGTTTCCGAGGCTTCAGGTACGTTTTCTTCTGCTGCGTCAGCTTCGGCAGCACGATCGGCCAAGGACCGAAGGCCCTCGAAACCATCGATGGGGTCTTCTGTGTTGGCGACATTGTCCAGGTAATGCTGCTGTGTTAGTCGCTCGTAGAAAATCACATCACGTGAGGCCACGGTAGTTTTGTCCTGTATGTCGAGGAGTTTCCATGCGTGGAAATGTTTTGCGATGCCGAGGTGTAGTCCCCACCGTGCTCGTTGAGTGAAGCGTCCGGCTCGAGCTGTGTGGGGTCTGTACTGTACCATGCACCCGAAGACTCGAAGTAATTTTGTGCTGCCTCTTTTTCGTGTCCACAGCAGGTGCGGTGATGCGTTGTTGGGAAGTGATGACGAGGACAGCAAATTGTGCAGGTGGACTGCATGCGTCATTGCGTCTGGCCACAGTGTGTTGGGCAGTCTCATCCCCAGGAGCAGCTTTCGCATCGTCGTCTGCAAGGTCCGGTTCATCCTCTCTACGACCCCTTGTTGTTGGTGAGCATAGGGCAGAGACACCAGGCGTCTGATGCCTCTTTCTGCCAAGTAGTTCCTGAATCGTTGTGATTGGTACTCCAGTGCTCCGTCTGACTGGAAGCTCTTGAGTTGCGAGCCCGATTCTCGTTCAGCGATGGGCAGCCATGCCGTGAAGGCTTCGAATGCTTGATCTCGTGTCTTGAGGTTGTAGTGCCAGACGTATTGTGTTGCCGCGTCGATGAACGTTATAACGTACTTGTATTCTGCTTTGTTGTCGTTTCGAGGCATATTTAAGATGTCGCTGTAGACTTTTTCCATCCGTATGCAGGTGCGCTTGGATTGTAGTGCGACGTAAAAGGTTGGTGGGGAAGATCGGCTTCGGGGCACGTGAAGCATCATGCGTGGGGTCGTCGAAGTTCTTGGCCGCTCGTGAGAAGGGCATTTATTTCTGACACTTCGGCTTGTATGGTTTGTAGCACTGTGCTGTTTGCAGGATGCCCGAGGCGTTGATGCCAGATGTCGTCGGGAGCGCGATGGCCGGGTGAGCGTTGATACATGTCGGCGTTGGAGAAGAACGCGACGACCGTGGCGGGACTTCGGCAGACTTCTCGGGTGATGGGCATGAGTTGATCTGCTTCGGTTGGCGGTCCTCGGATTGCTGGTGATGGTACACGGCTGGGTCCTGCTGCTGCTACTGCAGGTGATGACGAGGAAGAGACGCTTGCTCGTACTTGTCTTTCTTGTCGGATGACTGCTAACGCTTGCGTTCTTTCTGCTGCAGGTATGGTGTTGGAGTACCAGAATCCATCTGGTGTGAAGTCGGGATCAAGATCCAGCGGGTGCGTCCAGGCGGCAAACGACACGATGCCATCGTTGTCGGCAGTACCGCGGTCGGCGATGAAATCCAACACGAAGACACCCGACTTCAGGAGAGCGCGACCGATGAAGAGGCCGCCCTTCCCGTGGTAAAGACGAAATTCGTTGGCGTTCGAGTCGCATTCCAGGTGAATCCCCTTTTCCATTAGCTGACTGACGCTTAGCAGATTGTATCCCAAGTTGTCGACTATTAGAACCTTGTTGAGTTGCAGTATGACATTTTTCTCCATGGACTGCAACTGAACCACTCCTTGTCTGTTTGTTTTCAGGTTCTCGTTGTTGGCGACGGTGATGATGACATCACGATTGAGACGTCGTTCTCGTTGCACGAAGCGTCCGGAAGAACACATATGTTGACCGCAATAGTTGTCCAGGAACCAGGTGTTTCGCCCGGTGGGTTCGGCGTTAGCGACTGCAGCGTACGTCGGGTTGACCTGAAGACCTTGTGGGCGCGGCGGCGGCAGTTCTTCTTCGTCTGGAGCGTAAGTGGGTGGTGATCCGGGTGCGCAGTTGTCGATGCGTACCACACAATTGATGATGTTCGTTGTGCCCTGTGCATATATGGAGGAACGCCTTGGCGGACTTTCTTGAGTGGAAGCGACTTGTGTGTTTACTGGACGATAAACTCGGGGGCGTGTGCAGTTAACTTTAGAGTGTCCGGATGTCTGACAGTTGTGGCAGAACGGCGGCACGATGGTTAGTCCTTTGGTGTCGTGTCGATTCTGCCTGTCACGTCGATTGTAGTTGTCGTTTCTTTGTTGAGCATAGAAGACTAACGGTTGCTGCTTGTTTCTTGGTTGTCTGTCTTCAAACAGGTCCATCTCCTGTTGTTCAGCATGAAGCTCGGCGCAGAGGTGCATGTCCGAAATTCGTCCGTGGGCGCGAAGAAGCGAGCGGGTGGTTCTCCATTCTAACCCAAGCCCGGCGAGGACAAGTGTCAAGAAGCTTTCTTCAGTTATTGTACCTCCGCACAAAAGCAGGCGGTCGCGGAGTGTCTGGCAGCGACTCATATACTGCATCGCCTTTTCCCCATTTTTCATTTGTATTGTTGTCAACTGCTGCATGAGTCTGCTTTGTGTCACGCTGTCTTTTGCTTGGTAGAGACACTCGAGGTGATGCCATGCGAGCTCCGCGGAGTTTCCGTAGCTCCGATACGTTTTGATGCTTTGTTGTTCTTGTGGTGACAGGTTCCGCAGGAGAACTGTGTATGCCAGCAGCGACTGATAAGTGAAGATTTCCTGCTCCTTTGTAGTGCCATTGCTTGGAAATGGCAGGGACCTGTTGAAGTATCCCAAGAGATGCGCAGCCTCCATCAGTAGTTCGAACTCGAAGCTCCAGGTAAAAAAGTCGTGTCCGTTGAACGGTGAGGATGTCTGTAGTTTGATCACGTGTGAAAACTGCGCCTGGAGACTCAATAGCTCATTTGGTGTCTGTTGTGATGCAGCTGCTGTTGGTTGAGCACGAGGCGGCATGAACTCGAACGTCCCCAGTAAAGAGTGATAAGGCGCAAAGGTAGGCGCTTGATTGTGTCGACCGAACGATGAGGTGTCGAGGCTCATTGGCGCTAATCCCATGTGTCCCCCGTTGCTCTGTGTTGAATGTGCAGGTGTCCTTGTCTGCTACTGCTGGTCGAAGTGTGACATGAAGCTGAAGAACCTTTCCGTAAGGTTCGGGTCCACGCTTGAAGAGGGTGATGGGGTCACTATTTCTTGTGCCCTTCCTGTTGTTTCTTGAGCAGCGCCGGTCTCGGCTTGCAGTCCTGAAGTGTCAGTCCAGAATTGCCGGGTTGAATGTCTTGGGCGCTTGGTGAACCCGTAGAGATCTTCTTGCCCTTGTTGTCCATGACTCATGTAGTACTTGGTAGAATTACTGATGTTGGCTGATGGCCATGTACTGATGGATATGTACACTGTCGCTACACTCATTCACACACAAGCACACTCACTATCACGTGTATGTACACATGCCCCAATATTGAATATTCACAATAATCACAGCAGACCCACGTATTCCTCACCACCCACACTCCCTCTCCACCATCCCCTTCCTCCACCACCACCATTCCCTTCACACCACCACTCCCTCGCCATCACCCCCTTCCTCCACTTCCTCCCCCACCTTCCTCTTCCTCCTCTTCCGTCCCCCCTCCCCCCCAACCAGCCCCACTGCAGTGGCGGCCTGCTGCAACTGCGCCCAGCGCTGCTCCTCGCTGCCCGTGTATCCCACGGACATGCGCACGAGACCAGGGGAGATGCCCACCGCCTGGCGCTGCTCCGCACGCATCTCACTGCTCGTGCTCGCGCCGCTGCACGACACCAGCGAGTCGTGGAAGCCCAGGGAGACAGCCTGGGGGCGAGGCAGAGGGGGGAGGGATGAGAGAGTGAAAGGTGCAAGTGTGTGAGGGCAGAGCAGCCTCCTCAAGAGTCATTTGCTAGCAGTGATGTGCAGGCAAGGGAGTGCATGGTGCAGCATGCAGCATGCAGCATGCGGAGCAGTCGTGCAGCACGAGTTGGTTAAAGCATGCAGACGGCCCACCCACCATGTATCCAAACTCGGCGTTGTTCTGCAGGTGCCGCATGAAGTCATACGCCATGGCGGTACTCCCAAGGTCCAAGCTCAGCATGCCACCCCCCGCATACGGCCCCAGCCACTCAGCCCCAGCCACTGCACTGCCACCGGCTGGCGAGGCAGACCCGGAGGGGGGAAGGAGGTGAGGAAGAGAGCCGTTGGAGATGCGGGCGAGAACCGGTGCCTGGGGGTGTGAGGGCAGGCCCGGGTAGGAGACGGGTAGACCGAGGGCGTGCAGGCGTGAGGCGAAGAGCAGCGCGCGGCGGCCGTGCTCGCGCATGCGCAGCGGCAGGTGGGGCAGGCGCGCGGAGAGGTTGAACGCCACCTGGGGGTTCATGGTCGCGCCCTGGGGGTGGGAGGTGCGGCGGGCGGAGGAGGGAGGGAAAGATGCATGTGGTTTTGAGCTAGGGTGGAAACTGAGAGGGGGGGCGTATTGGTTGGAGATGCAGGAGACGTGAAAAGGGTTGCTCGGAAACAGCGACAGGGACATGAATACGAGCGAGTGAAATGGCATAGAGACCCACGAGCAGCATGAGCGAGCCCGATGTGAGGCTCATGAGCGACGCGATGAACGCCGCAGAGCCGCACACGCACCCCGCTATCACGTCCGATGCGCCTGATGGCCGCGGGGTTGTGGGGGTTGGAATTGTGGGGGGCAGGGGGGGTATAATACCAGGGTGAGAAACTGAAGCACAACAGAATGAGGTACGCCAAACAAGTACACCGGTACACCAAAATGAGCATTTGTAGATTCGCCAGAACGTGAGAAGCAGCTCCCGATCTCCCCACCCCCCCTCCCTTCCCCTCCCCCTCCCTCCCCCTCCTTTCCCCCGCGCACCGCTGATGAACTTGCTGAGGCTGTGCACCACCACGTCCGCGCCGTGCTTGGCGGGCGACACCAGCACGGGCGCGAACGTGTTGTCCACCACCACCGCCGCGCCGTGTCGGTGCGCCGCCGCCGCCAGCGCCGGCACGTCCGCCACCACCAGAGTGGGGTTCGAAATCGTCTCGAAGAACAGCACCCGCGCCGCCCCCACGCGCCCCCCGCGGGGCCCTGCCGGCTGGTCGCCATCGCTGTTACTACCATCCAAGATGTCATCTGCCGGCAGTGCAGTGGTGCAGACGCGGCCAGCGGCAGCAGATGGTGGAGTGCTGGTAGTGGTAGCAGGAGTGGCGCCAGGGGAGTCGGCGAGTGGGCGCACGGTGGCGGCTGCGCCGGGTGCGGTGCTGCCCATGAGCTCGCATGCTGTAGAGCCGACGTCGTCCCCGCAAAGAGCGGCTTCGACTGCGGCGAGGTCCGTGATGTCTACGAAGGTGGTGCGGATGCCCGCCATGCGCGGGAGAAAGCAGTCGAGAAACGCGAAGGTGCCGCCGTACAGCCTGAAAAGGAGGAATCGGCGGTGTGAAAACAACAAAGTCAGGAGGGGACGGGGTGACGCAACGACGAAAATCTGCGACAAAAACTCAGGGACGCGTCGGACGGGGCGTTCTGAAGGAGGACGCGTACCTGTTGGACGCGACGATGCGGTCGCCGTGCTTGCACAGCTGCAGAATCGCAGCGGAGATCGCCGCCATGCCGCTCGCCGTGCAGTATGCCGACTCCGTGCCCTCCAGCGCCGCGAGCTGGCGGCCCAGCGCCATGACGGTGGGGTTGAAGTGGCGGCTGTACACGAAGAAGTCGTTGTCCGGGCCAAGCTGCCCCGTGAAGATCTTGGCCATGCTTTCGGGCTCCATCACCGTGAACGTCGCGCTGTTCTCGATCGACATGTTCACGCCGCCATGCTCGCCGAACTCGTGCCGGATACTAGCGAGCGACGTCACCGGGTCCCACGACCCCTCGTTATAGTCACCCGCTGTGTTTCCGGTGGCTTTAGCCCACGCCGCGCCGGATTCGATGAGCTTTCGCTTGCCTCCCGCCGCCGTCCGCGCGGCCTGCTCCTCGAAATTGCTGTCGCAGGCGTCGTGTGCGACGCACGTGGTCGCAGGCGGCATTCCAGGAGCAGAGGTCGGATTCTTGGAATTCTCTATGACGCATGAGCCGCCGCCACTCGCGGAGCAGGAATTGAGCTTCTTAGTAGTGGGAGATGACAGACGCTCGTCACCGCTCGTCGCCGCAGCATCTTGGCTATCCATGAGAACTGCCGTACTTCTTTTCGTGACTGCCAGATCGGGACTCATGGTTGCGTTTATCCGCCCTCGGCCTGTCCACGGCAATCGTCGGGCGGAGATGCGCTAGGGATTCCTGGACGAGCACCGTACTGCTGGTGTGTGCGCCTGGGTCAATCCGAAGCAGTAACGTCACGCCACAGCAAACAAAAGCTTTCAGGTAAAACCAAGGTGAGAAACGTCAGTGTGCGTAGGAGTGGCGCGTCAAGTGACTGAGGCGTTGCTGGCTGTCAGGCCACGCATGCAAATGCGAAGTCAAGGGAGGGGCTGGTGAGACGGACTGGCGTGGATATTGCAACGAGCCACGCCAATTTCTATGCGAGTCAAATGCGCGAATCGAAGCGCGCCACACACGCGGCTCGCTGCCAAAGGGATCTCGAGGGCTGCTTCTTTTCGTTATGTTACGGATTAGGGTGTGTCGGTTCGGCAGCTGGGCGGTTAGCCGTCAATGAAGGTGGACTGTGCCAATCGGAATGTGCGAAATTTCTGGGAGTAGATGTCCCGTCCACATACTTGGATGGATTCACCGCATGCAGTCATCCAAGACGTTCGCGAGGTGTCTCGATACGGACACCAACAGCAATAACCAGCCTAGCATTTGATGCACTTTAGGCCCACATTCAGACAAAAACTCAACCACAATGAAGTAAACAACTTGCTAAATACCACGCATGAAGCACCATTTCCCTTTCCTTTAAAGCGAGAGGTCAAAATAGTGAAGGCGAGTCCAACTTGAAAAGGCCCAGACTGTTCAAATTATATTATATATAATTATAGGCTTGGTAGTTGTGCTACTTTATCATACAGTAGAAGGGATAACTCTCCTTCTTGTACCTGTTTCTCTTCTAGTTGATGCACATTTTCTCTCGACATTCTCCTCGCCTTCCTCCTAGCTAAACCCCGCCGCCATAGTCATGACGTCCTAGCTATCTTACCTTCACGACATGGTTTCAGAGCAGGCCGCCCGTCCCGGGCCTGCTCACTACTCTTCCGCTGCGTATTCTCTGTTACTTCGCCGCCTTCGCAACCTTCAGATTGCCTGCCGCCGTGGCACCTTCTCTGAGATGCCGCGGCGGCCTCATGCTGGTGACGCCGTCGACGTCGGGCCGTCGCGGCGTGACGGCGCCGCCGTACTGACGTCGCGGCGTCGACGTCATGCCGCATCGACGTCACGTCGTGCAGCATCAACGCCGCTCGTTGACGGCGCCGTCGGGCTGCAGCCGACCGTGTGACGTCGGTGACGCTGCCGCCGCCCACACGCCAGCCAGCGCCCTCTCCTCTACACCACCCTTTCTCCTTGCGTCCCCTCTCCCTCCTGCCGCAGCTGCTGTCTTCGGCTCGGTCATCGCCAGGTCGTGCCACACCGCCGAGAGCCCTCAGCCGCCGCAGTCGCCACCTATCCTCATCACCGCAGCCGCCTTGAGCACGAGCTCCGCCGCTGTCGTCATTGAGGCCGCCCAGATGCGGCCAGCTGCCTCTCGTCAAGGGGTGTCATCGTCTAGCATGAGGGGTCGATACCCAGCTGCTCACGAGAATGAGGGGGTCCGGGGTTAGGGGGTGTGTGTGTGGGTTAAGTGGGCTTGCTACTACCAAGCCTAGGGGGTGTGTTCAAATTATATTCTATATAATTATAGGCTTGGTAGTTGTACGACTGCATCCTACTGTAGAGGGGATCACTCCTTTTCTTGTACCTGTTTCTCTTCTAGTTGATGCACATTTTCTCTCGACATTCTCCTCGCCTTCCTCCGAGCTAAAGCCCGCCACCATAGTCATGACGTCCTAGCTATCATACCTTCACGACACAGACGTCCGTTTTTGCGTCTAAGGGACAAAACTGCGATGGGGCAGAGGGTACACTGTCGAGAAATGCAAGCAGAGGAAACTGGGCGAGAAGATGCAGTTACCTGATTGGTTGGCGGGGAAAACATGTCGTACGGTATGGAAAATGGTCCGGGCAAAATCGCAAGCAGCGCGCCACTTGTCGCCCAGCCCCCACTGCTTGTAAGTTGCACCAAGTGGGTCCAACTTGAAATTCAAGTTGGACCCAGGTTCACTACTCCAGCAAAACTGAGGCTGGGCCCTGATTGGTCGAAATGCTAACCACGCAAATCTATGGTCGTAAAATTTATCGTCAGTGCGAAATGTCGCAAGCGCAATTCGATTTCGTGGCCTACGGCTTGGTAAAAAACGGGGGCTGCTGCCCGCCCCTCCAAAAACATATTCACTGTTGGGTCGTTTCTAGTTGGGCCCAACTTGAAAAAGGGGGTCACTATTATAGTCTCTCGCTTTAAGTGAACTTTTTATGTATTTCTAAAAACAGCAACATTGATTGTAAAAAAAATGAATTTATGCGAGCAAGAAAATTCATTTTAGTCTTAAATCAACAAGGGCCACGGTCAAAACGATTTTTACAGTTTAACTGAAATACTCACACAATGTAATCAGCTATGTTACCACTGTGCCGAAATCTGTGCAAATGTCGATTATAAGAACCAGGAGACACTTCCGTAACGGGTATCGCCTTGCCCTTCAAAGCCTCACTCACACAATTCACAGATTGCCCCTCTTCGCTGATACCTGACACCAGAACCAGGGATTCTAGGACTGAAGCTGTTGTTGGACTCGACGGACCAAGGTAGAAATTAAAGAGTAGCACAGGCGTCTGAAAGTTCTAACAGCGTTTCGAAAGGTTTTTGTTTTACGCATACTTCAGCGAGAATGCAGAAAGGGGACATTCGCCGCTGGTTCGCGAAAAAGCCGTCAACTCAATCATCAGATGCTGATAAGTCGAAGAAGGTAAGCTTTGGCTGTCAGTTCCAACGTCTTCTGAATAACCTACTTCGACAAAACCTGATTTCCGCCTTTCTTTTCAGGAAGCGGATGTCGTTCCTGCAACTTCGCCATCCCCGTTAATGTCCCCTTCAAGTTCTATCTTGCGTAAAGGATCTCACAATCCGGCTCCTACAAAACCGAAAGAGTCTCCTAAGAAGCCAGTACCTGTAAGCGCTGCACAAAAGGCCCCAGCTGCTAAGGACGAGCCACGACGAGGGGTGAAGGCAGGCAAGGTCTCGTCAACGCCTGCCAAAAAGCCAAGAAAAAGGACCATGGTTATAGATGATGACGACGATGAGGAAGAGGACAATGAAGATGATGCGGATTTCGTTGTTGGTAAAGATTTGGACAATGATGATGACGGAGAGGATGAGGACGAAGCAGATGAGGAGGAGGAAGACGATGAGAAACCTGCTGGGAAGAGGAAGCGGGGGAAGGCCGGGCCTACCACGAAGAAGGCTACGCCGTCAACGGCTCAGCCTGCACCTGCTGCTGCAGCGGCTAAGGATTCCGGTGGGCGAGGCAGGGGAGGTGGAGGTGGGGGTCGAGGTGGTGGTGATGCTGGAGGGGGTCGAGGGGGTGGTGGAGGCCGAGGAAGAGGTTGGGGAGGCAGAGGTGGCTTTTTCGGTGACAGAGCAGCTCCCCCACACAAAGGAGAAAAAGTACGGTCCATTTTTGGCAGTGCTGATTGAATAATAACTTATGATGTGTGATTCTCCTTTGCTGACACATGTGCTGCCTTCTTGCTGCCTGTGCAGGAAGTACCAGAGGGACCCGAGAATGCTTTGACTGGCATCACTTTTGTTATCAGTGGCACTCTGGATAGGTCAGATTTGCTGCCTTCAGGAAAAAGTGTTTTCGTTCAACATTTCTCACCTTATTGATGCATGAACATGCAGCTTGGAGAGGGAGGAGGCCGAGGACTTGATCAAGAGGCATGGTGGCCGGATCACAGGCTCTGTCAGTGGGAAAACCGTGAGTATGCTTCTCATAAGTGCTGTTTTGGAGGTTCAGGCCAGGCTGGCAGATTTTGAGTTAACAGTTGTTTCAGCAGAGTCCTCTGTGCTGCAATGACGCCAGTGTTATGCTGCCAACCTTAGACTCTGGAATGAACACATCGTTGCTAAATGCCTTTAGAGAGCATGCTGCTGAGACTGCAGAGAAATGCTGGGGATTGCGTGCCTGCTCTGGCCAGCAGCCGCTGATGGTGAAGCCATGGATCATGCCTTCAGTATCCAAGTACTGGAGTGGTCACGGACAGGTCAGCTGTTTCCGATACATGGTGGAGCAACATCGACACAATCTTGAGTCAGGAAAAGGGGTGTAACAGGAGTGAGATTTGAACCAGAATTATTGACAGTCTTGCAACCTGATTATTTTTTCATGCTTTTGGATGCCAGACCTACCTTCTAGCTGATGAAGACATTGGAGGCAGAAAGTCCACCAAGGCAAAAGAGCTCGGGTAATCTGTCTATTAACGGAGTCTCACAAATTTGTGTCCTCCATTCCATCTATAATGCAGGTCTCGTAAAGCCTCATTGTGCTGCATCTGTGTACTACTAATGGTGCTGCTGCTGCAGGGTCAAATTTCTCACAGAGGACGGCCTCTTTGACCTCATCCGTGCTGCTGCAAAGAAGCAGCCCCCTGCACCAGCGAAATCACCCCCGGCTAAACAGCCACTCAGTGCAGGTTCTTCCATACCGAAAGTTGTAGCATTTTCCAATGTATGAGGTATCTCAGGATCGGCAGGGAGACTAACCTGTTTGTGCTGCTGTGTTGATGCCTACAGATAAGGGTCGTCCAGCTGATGACAACAAGCCTGATGCAGACCGACTCTCTAAGAAGCTCAAGGCGGATGCACCAGTTAGTGCAGCAGCCCCAGCAAGCAAGGCGGGTGCTGGGCCAGCGAGGCCAGTGGTACCTTCTGCTGCAGGGAGAACGGGGCCAGTGGAGGTGGAGTCATGGCCGCAGAAGTACGCTCCCAAGAGCACAGCAGAAATCATCGCCAACCAAGGCCTGGTGCGTGACGTTGTGACAGTTTGTGCCTTCACGTTCTGATTGCTCTCCCTGCTGCTGCCTCACACACACCCCGTGTCTCCGTTCCTCCCTCTCGTGCTATATCATGCTGCTTCCTGCAGGTGAAACAGCTGCATGACTGGCTGGCGGGATGGGAGGCGAGGCATCTGGGGCAAGGAGGGGGCAAGAAGGGCAAGAAAGGGGGGAAGGGAGGGGCAGGCGGAGGGGGGGCAGGGGGGGACATGAACAAGAAGGCAGTGCTGCTCAGTGGTGGGCCCGGCATTGGCAAGACGACTACAGCTCGCCTTGTCTGTGCTGAGCTCGGCTTCTCACCTCTCGAGGTTTGTTCTCATCAGCGTTGGGTGCATTGGAACAGAGCTTTCTGTCTCGCTAGTGTGGCCTGGTGCAATGTCCTCTGTATCCAGGCAACATATTAGCCAACGTTTTCACTGGAGTTTCTTGAGGGTCTTGCTGTGCACTCGGAGGCTTCACCCTTCTGTGGAACATGTCATGGTGTCACCGTTGTGCCACCATGCCACCCCGCTCTTGTCTGCCACCAGGTGAACGCGAGTGACTCCCGAGGCAAGTCGGACTCTAAGATCCGCAATGGCATGGGCGGCACCACGTCTAACACCATCAAGGAGATGATCTCCAACACCACTCTGCACTTCTCACCCGTCTCCACCACCAAGTAACTTCCCTCTGATTCCTGGAATTCCCTTGCCTACCCATTCTCCACAGTTTAGGGTTACCATCAGCACATGCACTCTCTCTCCATGTTATGACAGGCAACGCTGTTGACTAAGCTGTGTGTGTGGCGTGTGTGCTGGTGGCAGGGGCAAGCAGCAGCAGACACAGCAGCAGGAGCGAGCAGCGCTGATCATGGATGAGGTGGACGGCATGTCGGGGGGGGACAGGGGGGGCGTGGCAGACCTGATAGCGAGCATCAAGGAGAGCCGCGTGCCCATCATCTGCATCTGCAACGACCGCTACAGCCAGAAGCTCAAGAGCCTCACCAACCACTGCCTGGCCCTCAACTACAGGAAGCCCACCAGGCAGCAGGTGAGCAGGCTCTGGCTGCTTAGCTTGGGTGAGGCTAAAAGGGTTGCGCTCGCAAGTGGATTGAGCGTGCATCTTTGTGTGGGGCCTGATTCACAGTGTTGATTGTGCTGCAGATGGCCAAGAGATTGCGGCAGGTGGCGAATGCTGAGAAGATTCAGATCGCCGATGTGAGTGCTCCAACCTTGGGACCGACATTATTTCCTCTTTGCATTGTTCTTCCTGTGCACTTCCAAGCGCCACTGACTCCTTCAGCACCCCATGTATTTCTGCTTAGCGCATGCATGCACCTTCAACAGCTTCCCCCACCAGCCAGCCAAACTCCTCAACCACCTTCCCCTTGGTCGCCAGAACGCCCTGGAGGAGCTGGCAGAGCGCACGAGCGGGGACATGCGGCTGGCGCTGAACCAGCTGCAGTACATGGCACTGAGCTGCCGCCAGCTGTCGTACCAGGAGGTGAAGGCGCGCATGCAGGCCAACGCCAAGGACGAGGACATCCGCCCCATGGCCGCCGCTGACACGTGTGTCCGTGGAGGAAATTTGCTTTGTTGTATGGGGATTACGAGGGTTGAAAGTTTTTTTTGAGCCCAATTGAAAGCATTTATGTGACATGGCATTGAATCTCCGGTTCCGCTGCAAGGGTGCTGGTGTTGCATTGCTCTGAGCATTGACTTCTTTTTTCTGGCTGCTGCAGGCTGATGGGGTATGGCGCACGCGGCAAGAAGATGGACGTTCTCATTGATGCCGCGATGTCAGACATCGATCTCATGCCGCTCTTCATCCAGGTGCCCCCACCTCCCACACACACCATCACACACCATCCAGTCGGACCTCACCATGTATGGAAGTGATTTTGTTTTGAGGTGTCTCAAAACGAAATTACTATCACACTCACCATAGGACAGAATAAGCTCCCACTGTAAAGCCTCCTTTCAAATCATGCTGCAGGGTAATTTCCAGCCCTTCCCCTCCAGTTTGTTTTGAGTTGAATGCGTTAACTGGACGCCCACCTCACCCCACTTCCATGTGACGCAGGAGAACTACCTGAACCATGTGCCTGGCAACGACCCCTCGTCGCCCCACCTGCTCTCTCGCCTCTCACAAGCGGCAGATGCCATCTCCAGTGGGGACCTGGTCAACGTGCAAGTGCGCAGATACCAGCAGTGGCAGCACCTGCAGTTCGCTGCGGTCATCTCCTGCATCACACCGTGAGTCCCCTCATCCCAAACTGACACGTCTGTTCTTTCCTCCTCTGCTTCTTCATTGTCTTTGACCCTCTGACCTTGTTCCAACATTATTTTCCCTTTTATGTGATCAGGGGCTTGCTTGTCTCTGGACGGAGGGTCACTTTTCAAGAGGTAAACCCTCGTAATCATGCAGCAACTTTTCAGTTTCCTTACAATGTATTTCGTGCAAGGTTCCCTGCATTATTCACCTTACCCTCCACTAATACCTATGCAGGGCGAGCGGAACTTTGATCGTTTCCCTGGCTGGTTGGGCAAGAACTCTTCTGTGGGCAAGAACTACCGCCTGCTGGATGACCTGCACGTGCACCTCCTCTCCTCGCATGTGCTCCCCAACCCATCGAGGTATCAATCTGTCCCTGTACTCGTCCCCTTTTGCCCCCTCCTCTTCCCCATTCTTCCCTGTTTCTGAAAACCCAGCCGTGCGTCATTGCCGTTTGACCCTTTTCCTTGTCTTTCCCTGTGCTCCAGGCAAGTTGTTCGCCTTGACTACATGGAACCTCTGGTCTCCTCTCTCACACAGCCTCTGCACAAGCATGCACAGGTGTGCATCTCGCTTTAAGCCTCAAGCACTTGAATTTTACCATCCTTCATGTCTACATCAGGTTCCCTTATTGAACCTTCTGCCCCCCATCCTCCCCCGCCCCTCCCCCCTTTTCCTCTTCACCCTTCCAATTTCACATCCCTTCCCTTTCCCCCCTTCCCCTACGTCCCTCCCTGCCACTCTCTTTCCCCCTCATGCCCTACACATATCACCCAAATCTGCCTTGCAGGATGGAGTGGAAACCGTGGTAGAGGAGATGCTGGAGTATGGCCTCACACTTGACGACCTTGACACGGCCGTGGAGCTCTCACACTTTAAGGCAAGTATTTTTTTCTCAACCTTGGTTTGTGTCCACTTCTCAAGTCTCGTCCATCCCCTTATCAGCTCTGTTTCCTCTGTCAGTTTGCGCTCCATCCATCCTTGAACCTTTTTTTTTTCCCACCCTTCCCTGCTACCAGGGCCGGTCTGGTGCTATGGAGGGTGTGGCAGCGCCAGTGAAGGCTCGTCTGACGCGGGAGTATAAGAAGGAGCAGCAGGCGCACAAGGCCAAGTCTGCTGCCACCCTACCGCCTCTCCAGCTGCCAGGGGGCCGTGGGAAGGCAGGTGGTCGAGGCAAGGCAGCTAAGCCAGCTGGTGGAGCGGGCGTGGAGGCATCTCTTTTGCAGGCTGACACTGATCTTCCTGTGGCTGTTGATGAAGGTGAGCTGCTAAAAATATCTGCTTTCTGTTTGCTCTTCGCAAAATTTGCCGGCAACACGGATACGTCGTCCTCGGTGGTAAGGCTACTTCGTGGTTGCTCACCCATTGAAGCTTTGTGTACTTCTATTGATGATGCTTCCGATGTTGGTCAGACGGAACAGCTCAAGAGGACGATGGTGACGATGCAGCCATTGAGGACAATGCAAGCAGTGACCAAGATGAGGATGATGAAGGTACTTGCTACTATGCAATGCAGTTAAGTGTGAAATTATCCCTGCCGTTCTCCGCGTTCTGGCTGAAAAAAAGGTTTTTTCTTGTGTGTGTGTGTGTGTGTGTGTGTGTGTGTGTGTGTGTGTGTGTGTGTGTGTGTGTGTGTGTTTTTTTTTTTTTTTTTTTTTTTTTTTGTGTGTGTGTGTGTGTGTGTGTGTGTGTGTGTTGTGTGTGTGTGTGTGTGTGTGTGTGTGTGTGTGTGTGTGTGTGTGTGTGTGTGTGTGTGTGTGTGTGTGTGTGTGTGTGTGTGTGTGTGTGTGTGTGTGTGTGTGTGTGTGTGTGTGTGTGTGTGTGTGTGTGTGTGTGTGTGTGTGTGTGTGTGTGTGTGTGTGTGTGTGTGTGTGTGTGTGTGTGTGTGTGTGTGTGTGTGTGTGTGTGTGTGTGTGTGTGTGTGTGTGTGTGTGTGTGTGTGTGTGTGTGTGTGTGTGTGTGTGTGTGTGTGTGTGTGTGTGTGTGTGTGTGTGTGTGTGTGTGTGTGTGTGTGTGTGTGTGTGTGTGTGTGTGTGTGTGTGTGTGTGTTCTGCAGCTGTGCGCTTGCGACTTGTAGGGAAATCTGCCGACAACTCAAGCAAGACAATTGCGAAGGGTGGAAAAGGCCGAGGAAACAGGGGAAGGGCGAGAAAGGGTGCTTCTTAGGAAGAGACTTTTGTAGTGCTTTTTTAATGCTTAGATGTAGAGATGGTCTTGGCGTTTTTGAAATCCATAGATTTAGGTGTCACCTATGCCCAAATAGCAAACTCATGTTGTACTTCGACGGAATTAGCTGGATTACTTGGTTAAAAGCAACCATACCCATCAGAATGCACTGCGAAACGCCTCCTTCCAACAGCGAGGATTGATCCACTCCAGGTGGTCATGGCAAGGAACAATCGATCGCCAACCGAGTTGATGCTAGTACCAGCAGTCACAACGTAGTGTCGGTGTTTGGTGTGTCACCTCTGCTGCTTTCCAAATCTTCCCTGCTCCACACAACCATCTCCTAGGTCCTCCAGACGCAAGCCAGACATTGGCTTGCATTTAGATTCGGGACCTATTTTCCTTGTCATCCCCGGCAGGTTTATGAGGTTCGTCTCGTTTTACGCGTTTAGCCTTGAATATATTCCCGTTCCTTGCCCCGCACTGACGTTTTTATTACCCCAACCGGTTCCTTTTTTTTGTCACATTTATGTCTTTCCAGCTCCAAGGAGAAGCCCACTCTCGGGTAAGCATGCTGTTATGTTGTTTTCCTCCCCCTTTTGTTTTCCAAGATTTCGAGCTGATGTGGTGTTTTCGCTTCCCAGTGGCACGCGGATCAAGACCCGCAAAAGGAATATTGCGGTTCCTTTAGATCCGACCAGCTTTGCAGATGCGATCGTCCACATCTACAAGGATCATCAAGGGGACTTGGTGAGCTGCATAGCTGTTTCGGCCCAGCTGGTCCTAAACAAAGGTTTTGGAGCTCAAATATTATCTTCGTGTATTGCAGGAGCTTATAGCGAAGGATATCGACTCTTCCGAACTTGATTTTTCTCGATATGGGGAGACCTTCTTCGAGGTATTGTCTCTTAAACCCCTGCATCCCGTCTACGTCCCCTCCATCCCGTCCAAGTCCCGTGCATCCTGTCTACATCCCCTGCATCCCGTCTATCGTCAACGCTGCCTTGGCCGCAATTTTAGTCCTATCGTCTGTTGATGTTATCCTCAGGTGGTCCTTAGCGGCGGTCGTATGCAGCCTGGCACAACCAAGCCGGAGGAAGGGGCAGAGCGGCAGCCCTGGAATGTTCTCAACTCTTCTCCGACGAAGGAGGGGGTTCTCACCCATGTCCTTTTCATCCAGAAGATTCTGCGACGCCGTCCGTTCATGATCAAATCTTTGGAGAATGTGCTGCGCCGATGGGTGCAGTCTCTGGTACGTGACTCGTCAAGTGGTGTTGATTGCTCGGTGTAGTGATTTAGAGTCTGATGGCCATGCTGCTGCTGGTTGCAGGAAATGTATGAGCCTGAAGAGAGAAAGCGCCTTGCAGTCTTGACTGCTCTCTGCTTCTCACAGCGCTTTACCGGACTGGCACCTGATGTCATTTTTATAGCCCTCCTTAATGACGCGCTCGTTACTAAGGGCACCTCCCTTGGCTTTATCACGGACTTTTTCCGTGTCTACATGGCGGAGACGAACATGGATGACCTTGTGGGCCTGCTAAAGAAGGGCAAGGTCGATCAGCGGCTGATCGAGTTCCTGCCCTCTCAGAAGCGGACTCCGGAGGCCTTCGCACAACACTTCAGGTATGGCTTAAGTTCAGGGCTATGAAGGAGTGAGGCTTGCCCTGCAAACACAATAATTTGTTTGAGAGACATCTGAAACGGCTGAGGCTCTATGGAAGAACGTCAGTGAAGGGTTGATGTTCTTCCATCGATGATCACTGCTCTTTATGTATCTCGACGCAACCATCTGATATTGTTTTTGCAGCAACGAGGGCTTGAAGGCTTTGGCGGATTACCAGAAGAAGGTGGTGTTTGATGTGAAGCTGAAGGAGCTGCACACAGCCCTCGCTGACATGATTGAGGAAGAGCACACAGATGTGGGCGACGTGATCGACATGGTTAAGCAGAGAAAGAAGGAGGGCGGCCTGGCTGATGGTGATGTTGTCCGCACAGTTTGGGATGCAGTCATGGGCGCCGTGCAGTGGTCAGGCAAGAATGTGCAACAGAACTCAAATACAGCATTGCGACAGGTATGGCTCTTGCTTTTTGCAAGTTTGAAGCTGGCTTTGCTCATGTTTGCACTGCTCTAATGTGCATCGTGTGGTGCCTCTGGCAGCTCAAATCCTGGGCGAAGCTATTGGAGGCGGTGTGCTCATCTGCCAAGATGGAGCTGGAGCTGCTTTACCACATTCAGATGCAATGTTACGAGGATGCCAAGATCCAGCGCCTCTTCCCCGAGTTCGTTAGAACTCTATACGACTGTGATGTGCTAGCGGAGGACACCATCATGCTGTGGTTCCGTAAGGGTTCCAACCCGAAAGGAAGGTACGCACAATGTTTGCAGTCACTACGTAAGCTTGAGGTTACGTTGCAGAGTCTGACTTGAGTCAAGTGGTGCTGTGCAGGCAATTGTTTGTCAAGGCTCTTGAGCCTTTCATTAAGTGGCTGGAAGAAGCAGATGAGGAGGAAGATTAAGTCCTCGAGGTGTTATGGTACCTGTCAAATGCACATTCAATCATTGCATATGGACCAACTCTGCAGCAGAGTTTGTTGACTTTTGCTTAATGTTTTTGAAGCAAGTCTCTGGGTGCATCAAAATTTTAACGTTCATAGGCAATCCAGCGTATATACTGACTACCCTAAGGTGTAGACAAGCATTGCATATGTAGACAAGCTCTACCTTCATGCTTCCTATTAAAGCTGAGATTCATTGTGGCAGCCCAAACACGCTCATTAGCAATCCTACCATGTCGACTGCATCCTGAAGGTGTAGACAAAGCAACGCATGTGACAGAAGCTCCACCTTGTGCTTCCTCTTGAATCTGATCTACTTGAGGCATCTACCATACTACTTAAATACTCTTACTGCCCCTATTCAGCAGCTTACTGTTGCCAAGATCACATCAGACCTCATAACTGCCACCTGCACTTTTTTGAGCGACGCGTGGAAACTCTTCCACCTGCTCTTCCTCCTTGTCCTTGTCTTCAAAAGGAGATCCCATTTCAAAATGACACAGCAGCCGCGGCCCCACAACCTCCTCCCCACCAACCTCCACCAGAGGGTGCCCCTTCCGATCATACAGCGACACACAGCGGAAACCTGGCTTGAGTGATGCCACTGGCAGCACCGCCTGCCCTCCAAAATCGTCTTGAAACTGGTCTTTCTCTAGCACCTGCACAAGGAAGGGTACATTAACAAGCCGAATGGGTTCAAAACAAATCTGTCAGACCAAACAGACACATCACGCCAAAATCTGGTTGTCCGAATACTGCAGAGCAAACTACACTGCTTATAGCCAAGAGAGAGAGCAAGAGAGAGAGAGAGAGAGAGAGAGAGAGAGAGAGAGAGAGAGAGAGAGAGAGAGAGAGAGAGAGAGAGAGAGAGAGAGAGAGAGCATACCTCAATGCAGAGCAAGGCGAGTTCGGGCAGTATGAGGGGGAACTCCAAGGTGACGCTGTCCCATGAGGGGCACCAAGTGTCGTTGCACACATCCAGCTTCTTCTCTGTTGCGTCCGATGGTGCACCCTCAATGCTCACCTGGGCATGGGAGGTGAGGAAGCAGGAAAATTGACGAAACAAAAGGGTGAGAAGGCATGCTGGTGAAGGGTGAATGGCAAGGAAGGGCAAGTGAGAGATGGCAATCTCTCATGGCAAAGCAGGGCAAGTGAGAGACGGCAATCTCTAATGGCAAAGCAGGGCAAGTGAGAGACGGCAATCTCTAATGGCGTCGCTCGCTGACTCCTGTGGAGCATAGAGCATGGAGCATGAAGCATGGAGCATGAAGAATGGAGCATGAAGCATGGAGCATGAAGAATGGAGCATGAAGCATGGAGCATGAAGAATGGAGCATGAAGCATGGAGCATGAAGCATGGAGCATGAAGCATGGAGCATGAAGCATGGAGCCATGTTATGCTGATGCCTGCAGGCTTCACATAACATGCGGCTTGTTCTTGGGAAGGGAGCACATACCTTGCAGTAGAAATCTGGCTTGGAGTAGGTGTCAAAGTGACCCTTCCCAAACCGCTCCAGCCACCCCGTGCCAACAACTATGCGCACCTGCACCCAGGGTGAAGGCAAAGGGCAGGCAGCTTTAAACAATGGCGGGTAGGCAGGGTGGCCCACATTATGCTGTGCCATATGGACAATACCAACAGACACCAAGAACCCTTCAAAATAGTCACATTGGCGCACCTGCACCCAGGGTGAAGGCAAAGGGCAGGAAGCTTTAAACAATGGCGGGTAGGCAGGGAGGCCCACATTATGCTGTGCCATAGGGACAATACCAACGGACACCAATACCCTTCAAAATAGTCACATTACCCGGAGGAACATCTGGATGGGTCGAGGAACAGAGGGGTCAAAGGCCCCCTCTGTGCTTCCAGCCGCGCTCTCGTCGCCCTCCTGAATGCCCTCCAACCTATTGCCGGGCTTGAGGTAGAAATCGGGCTTCTTGACAAAACCACAGCCGCCATTGGCGCTGAAAAAGCCGTGCACGATCCACAGAGGCCGGCCGTAGCCCTGGGAAGAGGGAGGGAGAAGGATGGGAGGGACAGGGGGCATGGGAGGACAAGAGGCATGGGAGGGAGAGGGGGCATGGGAGGGAGAGGGGGCATGGGAGGGAGAGGGGGCATGGGAGGGAGAGGGGGCATGGGAGGGAGAGGGGGCATGGGAGGGAGAGGGGGCAAGTGGGTGCAAGGACAAGAGAGAATGTGAGGGGAAGGAAGAGAAGAGAAGGGGCCTGCAAGTGAAGGAGGGGAGGGGGAAGGGTAGAGGCGGAAATCTGAAGGAGCCTAGACTAGAGCACGTTGTTGCTCAATTGACCTTAGTTCTGGCATCCCTTCATTCATTGCACCCACCATGCCATGCCCTCCCATACCATGCCATGCCATGCCCTCCCATACCATGCATTACCATCACCATCACCATGCATCTCATGTATGGATGGATACTCACCTGCCCATGCCTCACCTGCATGTTCATGCCTCACCTGCATGTTCATGCCTCACCTGCATGTTCATGCCTCACCTGCATGTTCATGCCTCACCTGCGTCTTCATGCCTCACCTGCATGTTCATGCCTCACCTGCATGTTCATGCCTCACCTGCATGTTCATGCCTCGCATGCATGTCGATGTCTCACCTGCATGTTCATTGCCACCATCTGCGCGCCATGCAGCCATGCGGGCATGGGCTCATAGTTTGATGACGTCACCCTCAGCCCAAAGGGGTAGATGCGCAGCAAGTTGCGCTGAGTGAAGCTGGGGGGGGAAGGAGGGGGGGAGGAGGGGAAGGGGGAGGGGGAGGAGGGAGGGGAATGGTGGGGAGATGGGTTGAGGGCAGCAGGGGGGGGCTAATAAGCTTCCTTGCCTATCCCCCGCATGTCACGAGCCCCTTGGGGCACCGTTTTGGCTGTGTTGACGAGCTACGTTTCACCGAGCTGCACTCGATTGGGCCTGTTTGTTGACTTAACTATACACCAACCAACCACCCTCTCCCCCCCCCCCACCTCACGAGCCCCTTGGGGCACGTCTTGGCCGTGTTGAGCAGCTGCGACTCGCTGAAGCTCACTCGCTTGGGCGGCCCCTCCCCGGTGTCCCGCAGCCCGTCCTCCACCGTCTGCCCGCCCGTCAGCTTGCCGCCCGGAATGGCGATCAGCCGCCGGTACTCGGGGGCCAGCTGCTCCGGCTCCACTGCTGCTGCGTCCTCCTGCTCCCAGGCGCCCGCCTCCTGACAGAGAGGCGGAGGGGAATTGGAGGAACCGACAGGTGAGGCATCAAAAGAGATTACCAGGGCAGGGCATAGATACTCGCGTGCTAGCTGCTCCGAGGAGAATCTCGGGTTACTCGGGTGAATCTCCGGTTACCCAGGCGAGCAGCTAGCTCCCCGCCCCTGCGTCTGCTCCCACGCCCCCCACTCCTGGGGGGGGTGGGGGGGGGGGGGGAGAGAGGAGAGGGGAGTGGCGGGCAGAAGGACGGGTGCCCGGAGGGTGGGAAGGGAAGAGCATGAGGCGGAGCAGCAGGGTGCGGAAATACTCGGGTTCAGGTGTTCTGTGACTTTGTAACGAGGTGACTTTTTAGTCGACTCAGAAGCGCATGAAGCGCAGCAGCAGGGTGCGGAAATGCTCGGGGTCAGGTGTTCTGTGTCTGCTGCCGCCCTGCCTCGTCCTCCTGCTCCGGCACTAGTGCTGCCCCCTGGTTGAATGGAGGTGCCGGGAAATCCAGGGGGGTTACCACTGGCATGACCAAGCACCACACAACCATGCCCCCCCACACACCCACACACCCCCCCACCCCCCGCGCACTCACCTCCAGCAGCTCCGCCTTGTTGACCTCGTGCAGCCCCTCCTTCACAGCCGCGCTCGCCGCCTCGCGTTCCTTCTCCTCCTCCCACCAGCCCCAGCACCTTCGCCTTCTATCCTCCCCTCCCCACCCCCAACCCGCTCACCTCCAATAACTCTGACTCGTTGACCTCGTGCAGTCTCCCTTCCTTCACAGCAGCGTTCGCCGCCTCGCGTTCCTTCTCCACCTTGGCGCGGACCTTCTCCACCTCCCCCAGCCCCAGCACCTTCGCCTTCGCCCGCCGCTCCTCACTCCCCACCGCCGTCACCCCATCCCCTCCCGCTCCCGCGCCCGCTACCGCTTCCCCCTCCGCGGGCCGCGCGTCCAGCTTCTCCTCGGCCGGGTCCTCTGTGGCGACGACGGTGGAGAGTTCCTTGGGGCCCTTGGGCGGCTGCGTGGAGATTAATATCTTGCCGCGCAGCGAGAAGGGCGACGGGAACTCCTTGGCGTCGTCGCCGTCCTTGGGGCAGTAGAGCGTGTCGCCCAGGATGGCCGTCAGGGACTGGAGCGGGGGAGAGAGAGGGAGGAGGGACGGAGGGAGGCGTGGGTAGAGGGGGGGAAGGGGGGGGACGGGGACGGGGGCGCGGGGGTGTGGGAAGCAAATGAGTGGGAAGGGGGAGGGGGGAAGGCGGAATCCTTGGCGTCGTCGCCGTCCTTGGGGCAGTAGAGCGTGTCGCCCAGGATGGACGTGAGGGCCTGGGAGGGCAAGGGGGAGAGAGGGGGAGGGAGGCGCGGGACAGGTGGGAACAGTGGTCGTGCTTATGCGACAGAGTGTGGTCAAGATAGACGCCCCCGCGGCAGTAGAGCGTGCCGCCCAGGATGGACGTGAGGGCCTGAGAGGGCAGGGGGGAGACGCCGAGAATCCGATGATGCATGATGCATGATGCATGCGCGAGGAGTCTATTTTTGAGGCGCCTCAAAAATAGACATGATGCATGATGCATGTGGAAGCATGTTGCACACATCGCTCTGCTTCGCTTCCAAAGGCAGCACAGCACTGCAGCCGTCTCGCCTAAACCCTACAGCCATGGCACTGGCCTTCCTTCCCCTCGCTTCGCTCACCTGGGCCGCTTTGGCTTGAAGCGGCGCGGTGAGGTGGTCCTCGAGTGTGATAATAACGGGGTACTCGGAGGCGACGAACGCGTGCTCCTTAATGGCCTTGATGCAGTCGTCGAAGCCCACCGGCTTCGTCAGCGTGCTGCGCGCAGGGGACGGGACGATAGGGGCGGGGGGGGACGATAAGGCCGGGACGGGACGATAAGGGCCGGGGGGACGATAAGGGCGGGGGGGACGATAGAGGGTGGGGGGGGACGATAAGGGCGGGGGGGACGATAAGGGCGGGGGGGACGATAGAGGGTGGGGGGGGACGATAAGGGCGGGGGGGACGATAGAGGGTGGGGGGGGACGATACAGGGGGGGTGGGGGGGAGGACGGATAACGGTTGGGGCAATAAGGGGCGAGACAGGGGAGGGGACAATGTAAGGGGAAGGTAGGGGAGGGAGCGAGAGGAATGCGAAGGCAGGGGAGGGAGAGTGAGGTAGGATGGTATGGAGGACGCAGGGAGAGGGCATTAGGAGGGAAAGGGAAAGGTCAGCCGGGGTGGGAAAGGGGGTGGGAAAGGGGGTGGGAAGGGGGAGAGTAGCGGGGGGGAGGGGGAAGGAGGGAGGGGGGAATGTGGGGAGCGCGACGCCCAGTTGAGGATTTTCTTACCCGCCGTGCATGACGACGATGTCCGTCTTCTCGTTGTTTGGCCACAGATCCAGCTCTATAACGCGTACGCCGCGTTGTAGCGCCTTGATGATGGGCTTGACACTGCTGTCGCTGGTGAGCTGGTTACCACTCAGGTACGAGTTGTGCCCCGTGAAGATGAAGTAGTGCGACATGGGCTGCTTCATGTCATGCGACACCTGCGACGTCGCAAGCAAGCAAGCGACACGCGCACCAGTCACGAAGGGTCGATGTAAGAGGGGATCGCATGTCAACTAAGCGCGCCAACGAATTGCGGAAAGCAATCGCGTGACGAGAGGAACTTGCCGTCACCACTGGGCGAAGAACGATCACCTAATTAACTAGTAGTTTCTCAAATACTGAAATTGCTAGCTTTGTCTTCTCTAAATGCCTATCTGAACGCTTTCATTTCCAGCTCTCAGGGTCCCCGTTCCACATTGCTAGAACAAGTTTTGTTTTTATCTCCGAGCGATGATAGCGGCCTTACACGAGCGATGATAGGCGCCGTCGCAGTGGGGTTCATGAGCAGGTGAAAGAAGCGGTCCTCGTTGGGCCCCCCTGCGACGACCTTGGCCTTGCTGCCGACGGTGTGCGACACTTTCCCCATCGCCTGCGACAGCTTGCTGCCCTGTCCCTTGAACGTCATACTCCGGTACATCCGCTCCTTGGGCGCCGGCGCCACTGCCGCCTCGTCATTGCCGCCCGTGCTCGGGAAGGAGAGGAGAAGGTTCGCGATGGGTCCATGGAGCACTCCCTGCGATACAAGGCCAAGGAGGAGGCATAATGCCGACCGCGGAAGTAGGAGGCATAATGCCGACCACGGAAGGAGGAGAGCGCTGATCAAGTTATAGCCGATCAGGGAGCGATGAAGCGCTGAAGTCGCGAAAATGTCACTATTTTCTCGCGATACGTAAGCAGTTTTGAGGCGCCTCAAAACTAGAAGCGCTGAAGACGCGAAAATGTCACTATTTTCTCGCGATACGTAAGCAGACACTGGAATGTCACCACAGGCGAGCGACGCTAAACCTTGTCCTGCTGATATTGAGTCGACTCAAAAGCACGAGAACGTCACCACAGGCGAGCGAGCGACGATATCTTGTCCCTAAATGAGTGAAGGGAAAATGCCTTGCCCCTACATGGGAGAAGGCAAAATACCTTGTCCTGCTGGTACTCCTGGAAGAACTTGAGCAGCGCCTTGCTCGTGATGACGCCATTTTCATCCGCAAACTCTTTAAAAACGTGCTTTACCGACTCGGGGACGTCAGGGAACTCCACTTCCCCGCCTTTCCCTTGCGAGCAGCAGTTTCCCATGTCTGTCTATTCAGAGCACCTAGGTAACAGGTCCAGAGTTCTGCTTGAGGACAGGAGATTACCTAGCCATGAGCAGCCCAACAAGAGTGCTTCGGTTGTAGAAACAACTGTGCTCTCAAGCTAGATCAGCAGCAGCAGGGGTCTGGAGTGACTAACGATTGAAGTGCTCTCGGACCTGCGTTGAAGGATATTCTGTGACTACAGATATGTGTGCTTTGCTGACTCAGTCAGTCAGTCACCGATACAGCATCCAGTCCAGTCTCGCTCGCCTTGGCTTCAACAGTTGCACCTTCCAGCAGCGTCCATTGGTGAAGGACCACCGATGACAAACCAAGCAGCCTCGGACCCAGCCATGGCAGGCAGGGGGAAGCCTTGAGCTTGTCGCACGGGAAAGGGGGAAACCCAGCAGGGCCGCGGACAGCCTCGATTCCCTCGAGGTCCCGCAAGCAGTCAGCAGGGCTGGCAGACGGATCTGCGCAGTGCAGAAGAACCAGCTTCGGGGCCCAAGGCAGTGCAGCATAGCTCGGCGGAACCTTGAGGAGGTTTAGGTACGCTCGGGCGCGTTAGCAGGGGCAAATGGGAGCGCGACTCGGTTCGGATGGGCAAAAAAAACAAAAACCCTGGGCTGTCCCGATGAGTTTTTAGTTTTGACCTGCCCGAAGGGCAGGCGTGGAGGCCACCTCCACGCACGACCTCCCCGCTGGGGGCAAACGGACCTCCACTCCACACCTCGAACCTGCTACCTAAACTGGCGGAAACAAGAAATGTTGTCCAGTGGGCAGCTGAATTTTGCCGAACCACCCAGTTTTGGTCGCACATTGCGCCACGCTGCTTTGCCCTGGTGCTTACTGGGCCCCCAAACTGCCGTGCTAAAGGCTCGAACCTGGGAGTGACGGAAGTTAGGCTGAAGTGGTTCGGGTGCATACTGTTGTGCGCAAGTGGTTGCTTTTCGTTGTGGGGGACGCCTAGTGCAATCACATGGGTGCTATGAAGCGCCTTCAATAGAAGAACAAATCAGCGAAAGCCTGGCTCTAAGCACATTCTTCTGTTCAGAATAATACATAAACAGATGAGTCTGAACAATAGCGAGGAATTTAGGAGATTCCCGGGGTCCATCAGTGTTGGTGCAGTGTTCGTGGAATGGGCGTGTTGGCACTACACATTCGACGCCGAGTACATTTGGTTCGTGAGTCAACTCCTCCGAACGCCAGCCCTTCGTCCATATGTCAAATCCTCAATGGCTGAAAAGATACTTTCAAATCCTCGCTGGGCGCTCCCGCGATATGGTCCCACTGGCTGGGAGCGCAGCACACTAGATTGGTCCAGCAGAGCACCACTTCCTCATGATACTAAGGCTCTCGCTAAGGCCTAGGGTATTCCGTTAGGTGACGGAATCGGCCCAGAATTACCCGTTAGCGGACGTAATTGTCGGAGATCTACTCTGTGCTAGAAACTAACATCTTCACAAACGAACGGCCTTCGCCACGGCTAAGGAATAGCCTTGGAATCCCTAAGGACAAACTGTGCCTGAGGCAGTTAGGGAGAGATTCCGCTAACCACCTTTGAAACTGTCAGGGTAGAAACTGCTCCCTTTGCTTAGTAGAGTAGTGGGGAGAAGCAGAGGAGAGTGGGGAGGAGTGATATACCAGTATGGACAGATCTCGTCAGGAATCAAAGAAAAGTAACCCATAAGCTCAAGGAATCACACGAAAAGTAATCCGTTAGGTGGACGGAATTAGGAAAACTTTACTTTGAAAAATAACGGAATCAGGTGAGGGACAACTCTTAATTTCTCGATATTAAGGGTAATTGCCCTATTAACCAGAGCTCATGATGATGCAGAAGAATTCCGTGACAGGTCACACGGAACCAAACCCAGGCAACTTCCCTCCTGTGTTGTCGGTTCACAAATCCTTGCCAGAGCAGGCAAGAGGAGGCCTATTTGGAGTTCTGGTCATATTAATCGAAAATCCCAATCCATTTCTTATCTCTCATCCTGAACCATTCCCACGTGACTCAGTTGCATTCGCTCCCGTCCCAGCTTAGTAGGCTTATATACTTGCGCCGGAATTTCATCTCCGCACCCATGTTGGCCTCCGTGCGCGTCGCATCCGCTCATGCGCTGTCCGTGGTGTGCAGAATACCCGACCCTAAGAACCAGCATGCGCACTCCCAGGTCTCGATGCTCCAAGGTTAGTTCTTGCGACAGTGCGATCCAGGTCGGTTGCAGGATCTAAAACGAGCAGTAGTTACGACGACGGTAGTCAAGGCCTTTTAACGAGTGGATTTAAACCAAGGCTGACGCTTCCTTCTGTGACAGGATTACATTCATCGCTCTCCCGCACCTCTCTCTTCTATCCCCGGCATTCGATGCGCAGGGGGTCGCAAGAAGCGCGTGACGAGACCTGTCTGCCACGCCAGCCACCCCAACAAGGTGGGAGCCATGCCAGAAAATTGTTCGTGCCAGTTTATCTCGCTGACGACCCTACAAAGTCCTGGTGTCCCGCGCTTAGGACCCGCTTACGGACCTCGAAAGACGAACTAGTGGCTTGATTTTTAAGCAAAAGGAAGTCCCCTTTGTGTCCAAACATAGAGCCGATTTCCTGCGCTCGTCACGATGCTGGAAGGCCGCTCGACCATCATGACAACCATCTCGCCGTGTTATTTTCGCCTCATCCCGTGCTCGCGCTGCGTTCTCCCTCCTAAAACCCGCGTCTTCTTCCTCCCCGTTCACTCCAGGACCGACGCTCAAGCCCTAAGACCCAAACCTGCACCTCAACCATCACAGAAGCAGCAGCAGCGGCAGCAGCAGGTGGTGGTCTCTGGACTCTTCTCGCGGCGCTCCCTCTCCCACCCGCCCTTGCGGAGACTGCAGCGGATGCAGACGCGGCAGCTGCGGCTGCGGCGGCTTTGGCGGACGCCTGCTCGCAGGAGCTGGGGGGAGCGGACCTGAACACGGTGATCGCGGTGGCGTGCGTCGTGCAGCTCATCGCACTCATCGGCGCGGGCGTGGGAGGTGAGTGGGTCGTGTTGGGCAGAGGGGCGTGGGAGGTGAGTGGGTCGTGTTGGGCATAGGGGCGTGGGAGGTGAGTGGGTCGTGTTGGGCATAGGGGCGTGGGAGGTGAGTGGGTCGTGTTGGGCATAGGGGCGTGGGAGGTGAGTGGGTCGTGTTGGGCAGAGGGGCGTGGGAGGTGAGTGGCAGCAGCGAATCGGTGGGACGTGGTTGGCAGTGAGCGGGTCACGGCTGGTGACTGGTCGTTTCACGCTGGAGAACGGGGGAGTCGAGTCAAGACCTGGTGACAGCGATCGCGGTGGCGTGCGTCGTGCAGCTCATCGCGCTCATCAGCGATGGCGTGTTAGGTGAGCACGGTGCTGCGGGCGGTGGGGCGCGCGAGGTGAGTGGGGTGTGCGAGGTGAGTTGTATTTGAGCGGGGCGTGGGAGGTGAATGGTACCGTTGGGAGCTGGGGGAGCGGACCTAAGCACGCTCGTTGTGGTGGCGTGCGCCGTGCACACGTCGCATAAAACCCTGAACCGGGCACAACAAAATTTGTTGGAGACCTTTCGAAGGGCATCATTATAGCAACCATGTAACCCGTCACCCTCGACTGGGGCTACCCCCTCCTTCCCTCCCACCTTCTCCCTGTTGTGGCGACTCATCTATTTGGGCTTGGAGGCCTCAATAATTCCCACCCATAGCCTCCATTTGATCCCCCCCGTCGCCGGTACCCCATCCACGGCCCCCAGTTCTAATCCCCATTCCCCCATTCCCCCACCCCCTATCACCTTCCCCCAGGGTGGATAGCGCGCGTGCGCAAGGCGGAGGTGGAGCGCATCAACGCGCAGCTGCGCCAGATCAACATCAGCCTGCGCAAGCAGGCGCGCGTCGAGTCCTACGCGCCCTCCCTCTCCTACGCCCCCGTCGGCCAGCCCGCCGCCGCCGCCGCTGTCGCTGCCGCCGCGGCTGCTGTAGCTGCTGCCAGCACGCCGACAGAGGCAGCGGAGGCAGTGGTAAAGGAACCGGAAGTGGTGATATCTGAGGAGAAGCGGGCGGTGCTGCGGCTGCTGAAGGAGGGGAAGCGGTACCTGAGGGAGGGGAACAACGCGGCGGCGTTTGTGGGGTTCCAGAAGGCGCTGGTGCAGGCGCAGGCCATGGGCGACTGCCTGGAGGAGAAGAAGGCCGCCCGTGGCTGCGGTGAGTGCGGAGGCACGGTGGCTTGGGGAAAGGGGGAAGGGTTTATGTATCTTGATGCATGTCTTCTTCATGCCTTGATGAATGGGTACCGTGTTTGATGCATGGATGTCATGGCGGGATGCGTGGGTGCCATGGTCTGACGCGTGGGTGTCATGGCTAGATGCATGGGTGTCATGGCTGGTTGCATGGGTGTCATGGCTGGTTGCATGGGTGTCATGGCTGGTTGCATGGGTGTCATGGCTGGTTGCATGGGTGTCATGGCTGGTTGCATGGGTGTCATGGCTGGTTGCATGAGTGTCATGGCTGGTTGCATGGGTGTCATGGCTGGTTGCATGGGTGTCATGGCTGGTTGCATGGGTGTCATGGCGGGATGCGTGGGTGTCATGGCTGGTTGCATGGGTGTCATGGCTGGATGCATGGGTGTCATGGCTGGATGCATGGGTGTCCCGTGATGGTCTGATGCATGCATGTCATAGCCTGTTGCATGGGGAAGCACAGCTTCATCCTTGACGCCAGTCACCCTTACAATGGTTACCTCTCACTTAAGCCATGGCATGTGCTGCAGCAGGTCCCTTGGTGTTCACTCTCTGGGTCCTCCCACCAGGCTCTCATTCTCACACACATTCTCCCACTTACCTTCCTCTCCTCTGCCATTCCCCCACTTGCCTTCATTTCCATTCCCCAGGAGCATCTCTCCAGCGGCAGCGCAAGTACCGGGAGGCCATAGCGTACCACCAGAGGGTGCTGGACAAGTCCTGCAGCACAGGCGAGCACTCGGGGGACACCGAGGCATACGGCGCCATTGCCGACTGCTACACTGAGATTGGGGACCTGGAAAACGCTGCCCTGTACTACGATAGGTATATTTCTAGGATGGAGTCTGATGATGACAATTAGGCGTGGTGTGAAAAATGCTATACTGTACCTGTTGACAGGGTTGTTGCGGCTCCCTGTATGACTTGCACCTTAGGCAGGATGAAGGCCACGATGGTCATCTAAGACCTCCACTCTTGGTGAGTTAAGCGGAAGGTGGATGGTCTTGACAACCTTCCTTGTCTGATGGTCAGAGGTGTGGAACAGACTAGATGAAACAACTTAGGTAGGAATAAGTGTATGCAACTTATGTACAGAACTCCTTTCTAAAATGTCATTTCGCATGCAAAGTCGAATGTAGCTACATCTCGCCCAGTCAGCCACACATGTCAATAACAGGTACAGCACAAATTTTCCCACTGCACTGTAGCACAATTTTGGCGCCCAATTTCCCCCAGCCCGCGTAGCGCAAGTTCCTTGGTGCCTAGCAAGCAAGGCACCTTCTCCCCTACCTCCAAAATCCTCGCCTACCAGCCGAGTCCTTAGCAGCCGCATTCTCGCCGCAAAATGCGCGCACTCGTGACTCCGTCCCGTCTCTCTCCGGTATCCCCTGCGGTGTTATCTTTCTCCGCACCTCCTCGTGTTCTCTCCGCGCAGCTTTCTCCTTATTGCTTCCGCCAACCCGCCCCGCCAAAGCTGCCCAATTTATTCCGTGGCGGCGATCCCCGCCGCTCTGCGCACGCGCGGAAGCGCAAGGCCGCCTTTCCCGGATTCTCAGCAGCGCACGCCGCGCAGAGCGCATCTAGTGCGGAATTCGGCGACGATTCGATCGTGTCGCTGTCAGGAGGCGACGATGTTTCCGCCGCGGCGATTGCATTGGGGGAGCGGCGGGTAGCGCCTGACGAGTCAGCCGCGGCGGCGGAGTCTGAGGAGCGGCGGCTTGCGCTCGACGCCGCGGCGCGGGAGGCGATGAGGGCGCGATCTGAGGTGGAGCTCGCGGCAATGGCGGAAAGCTCCCCCGCAGCGGCGGCGACCGCGGGAGATGCGGCGGGGAATGGCGGCGAAAGTGGCGGCGCGTGGAAGTGGGCGATTCGGAAGCGCGTGTGGGACGCGCTGGAGGAGCGCGACGTGGCGAGACCCCCCAGACCCGTGCACCACCGCATCCCCAACTTCGAAGGGGCGGACGCCGCTGCTGCCATGGTGGGTGCGAATAGGGGTGCATGGATGGGTGACAGGGGGAGATGGATGGGTGACAGGGAGAGATGGATGGGTGACAGGGAGAGATGGATGGGTGACAGGGGGAGATGGATGGGTGACAGGGAGAGATGGATGGGTGACAGGGGGAGATGGATGGATGATGGGGGGAGATGGATGGATGATGGGGGGAGATGGATGGATGATGGGGGGAGATGGATGGATGATGGGGGGAGATGGATGGATGATGGGGGGAGATGGATGGATGATGGGGGGAGATGGATGGATGATGGGGGGAGATGGATGGATGATGGGGGGAGATGGATGGATGATGGGGGGAGATGGATGGATGATGGGGGGAGATGGATGGATGATGGGGGGAGATGGATGGATGATGGGGGGAGATGGATGGATGATGGGGGGAGATGGATGGATGATGGGGGGAGATGGATGGATGATGGGGGGAGATGGATGGATGATGGGGGGAGATGGATGGATGATGGGGGGAGATGGATGGATGATGGGGGGAGATGGATGGATGATGGGGGGAGATGGATGGATGATGGGGGGAGATGGATGGATGATGGGGGGAGATGGATGGATGATGGGGGGAGATGGATGGATGATGGGGGGAGATGGATGGATGATGGGGGGAGATGGATGGATGATGGGGGGAGATGGATGGATGATGGGGGAAGATGGACAGGAATGAGGGGGGCACCACCGCAAGGGCCCCCAAGGCCCGCGCGCCACCGCATTTCTAACTTCGAGGGGGCAGAGGTCGCTGCTGCTAGGGTGGGTGGGTGGGTGGGTGGGTGGGTGGGTAGGTGGGGGAGGGTGAGATCTGGGGGACATAGGGGCGGATGGGGTGGCGGAAGGTGCCTCTTTCCCTCTTTAAACCCCTCGGCTGGGATGTATGATCCTCCAAACCCCCTTTCCCTCTTCGTCTGGCATCCCTCCCAGGGATCACAGCAGCAGAGCGCGTGATAGTGCCGCCACACCACACATTAGCCTTGAGTCTCCCTGCCTCCACGCGCCCAACGCCCAACCCTTCGCTGCGGCATCCCTCCGGGATCAAAGCAGCAGTCTGCGTGCGAGGGACCGCCAGAGGCTGGCTCTGACCGCCAGAGGCTGGCTCTGACCGCCAGAGGCTGGCTCTGACCGCCAGAGGCTGGCTCTGACCGCCAGAGGCTGGCTCTGACCGCCAGAGGCTGGCTCTGACCGCCAGAGGCGGGCTCTGACCGCCAGAGGCGGGCTCTGACCGCCAGAGGCGGGCTCTGACCGCCAGAGGCTGGCTCTGACCGCCAGAGGCTGGCTCTGACCGCCAGAGGCTCGCTCTGACCGCCAGAGGCTGGCTCTGACCGCCAGAGGCTGGCTCTGACCGCCAGAGGCTGCATCTCTCTCCTGAGTTCAGAGCAGCAGAGTGCGTCAAGGTCAACCCCGACACACAAACGGCTTGAGTTCCCATTCCTCCCGTCACACCCCCAACCCCAAACCCCTGGCAGCTGGCATCTCTGCCCGAGTTCCACGCAGCAGAGTGCGTCAAGGTCAACCCCGACACGCCGCAGAAGGCAGTGCGGCTCGCCACCCTGCAAGGTGGGGATGCAGCCTTGCTGATGATGGAGGTACCGTGTTCTCCACATGCGCTCCACATAGCCACGCATAGTACATGCATGCACCATAGAAACTCACGACCTCTGAGTGTTACCCGCCAAACTGGAACATTTCTGTGGCAATTCGTCTCCAACTCCCTTCCTGCTGCCCCTGTCGTCCCTCTGCTCTCCCATGCGCTCTGCTATGCCTCTCTGCCGTCTCTCCCTCCCTCCCGCACCCATCCGTCAGCCAGCAAGCTCCTGCTGACGCCTCAGCCGCGCCTGAGAACGGGCTTCTTCTTCTGCCTCTCATGTCTTGATGACCTCACCTCGTGCCTTAATTCTCCTCCATCCCTCCACACCCCCCCGGTGCCCTTCCCCAGCCAGCAAGCTCCTGCTGACCCCGCAGCCGCGCCTGAGAACCGGCTTCTTCTCCCGCCTCTCCGCCGCCCACCTGCCGCCCGACCAGCTGCTCGCCGCGTGCACGGCGGCCGGCGTGGCTCGTCACGGAGTGCCGGTGGCGCTAGAGGAGAAGATACGGGTGGATATGGTGGTGCTGGGGTCCGTTGCCGTTGACCCCACCACTGGCGCCCGGCTGGGGAAGGGCGAGGTGAGAGGTGCGAGCGAAGGGGTGGAGAGAGGTGTGAGGTTACGAGGGGATCAGTGAGGACTGTGAACAATCATAGGGCATGGACATTTACTGGGGTCCGTTGCCACGCTGTGGACCGCACTGCTGGCGCCACGCTGGGGAGGGGCGAGGTGAGAGGTGAGAGGGACGGGGGAGTTAAGGACTTGAAATGAAGATGGTGCGTATGTCGCGCCACATCCGCTCGTACGCGCACCCCGTGCTCTGTCCTGTGTGCTGTGATGTCTCATGGCGCAGGGCTTTGCGGAGCTGGAGTATGGCATTCTGAGGTGGATGGGGGCAGTCACTGACGACACTCCTGTCGTCACCACTGGTAAGTTCCGCGCACTCGCACAGTGCTTGCTGTGTGGACATGGGGAGGGGAAGAGGGGGGAGAGGGGGGGGGGGGGGTATGGACGCAGTTGGAATGATTCCTGACGCGGCTCGCAGAATGGTATGAGGAGGTGGAGAGTGGTATGGAGGCAGTTGGAAATACGGCATGTTTGAATGGGTAATTTTAATCGTGCGGTGTGTGGCTCGTGGCATCGTTGTTGAGCCCCAGCAAGTAACCCCCCCACTCCTCATGCAACCCCCCCCCCCTTGCATCCCCTTGCGCAGTGCACGACTCGCAGCTGGTGAAAGGCGCCATCCCCAGCAGCAAGCTGCGGCAGCACGACCTGCCGGTGGACATCATCTGCACGCCCACGCAGATCATCCGAGTCACCGACAAGATCCCAAAACCAACAGGTGGGCTGTGAGTCGACTCAAAAGGCACCACCTGCCCGTTAATAGCATCTGTGTGAAACAGTCACCTGCCCGTTAATAGCATCTGCGTGAAAGTCACCTGCCCAGTGCCCAGTCAGATCATCCGAGTCAACATCAAGACCCCTCAACCCTCAGGTGAGGAATGGTGAGGATGGCAGGTTAAGGATGGCAGGTTAAGGATGGCAGGTTAAGGATGGCAGGTTAAGGATGGCAGGTTAAGGATGGCAGGTTAAGGATGGCAGGTTAAGGATGGCAGGTCAAGGATGGCAGGTCAAGGATGGCAGGTCAAGGATGGCAGGTTAAGGATGGCAGGTGAAGGATGGCAGGTTAAGGATGGCAGGTTAAGGATGGCAGGTTAAGGATGGCAGGTTAAGGATGGCAGGTTAAGGATGGCAGGTTAAGGATGGCAGGTTAAGGATGGCAGGTTAAGGATGGCAGGTTAAGGATGGCAGGTTAAGGATGGCAGGTTAAGGATGGCAGGTTAAGGATGGCAGGTTAAGGATGGCAGGTTAAGGATGGCAGGTTAAGGATGGCAGGTTAAGGATGGCAGGTCAAGGATGGCAGGTTAAGGATGGCAGGTTAAGGATGGCAGGTTAAGGATGGCAGGTTAAGGATGGCAGGTTAAGGATGGCAGGTTAAGGATGGCAGGTTAAGGATGGCAGGTTAAGGATGGCAGGTTAAGGATGGCAGGTTAAGGATGGCAGGTTAAGGATGGCAGGTTAAGGATGGCAGGTGACTGTTTCACTCAGGTTACAGTAGCACAACCTGCCGGTGGACAACATCTGCACGCCCACGCAGACCATCCGAGTCAACATCAAGATCCCTCAACCCTCAGGTGAGGGGGCTGTCACTAGCCGTCCCTAGCCGTCACTAGCCTTGACTAACCCCTTTCTCCTTGCCCCCTCCCCTCCACCCCCCTGCCCCTAAAACTCCCCAGGCATCGACTGGCACCTGCTGCCCGCCAGAAGCTCGCTCTGATGCGTTCTGCAGCAGCTCAGCGCACCTTCCGTCCTCCCATACACATCCACGTCATCACCCCTTTCCTCTCCACACCCCACGCCTCCCCCTCCCCCACCCCCCCCCCCCCCTTTCCCTTTGCCGCCAGGCATCTACTGGCACCTGCTGTCGCCCCAGAAGCTAGCTCAGATCCGCATTCTGCAGCAACTCAAGGATCAAATCGAGGTGCAGACCGGCGCCGCCCTGCCGCTGGGCCCAGACGAGGTGCTGCCGCCCGTTGCCGCCCTGCACGGCAAGGGGAGGAGGGGAAAGGAGGGGCAAGGGGGAGGAGAGAGGAGGGGGGAGAGGGGAGAGGGGAGGGGAAGGAGTGGGGAGGTGAGGGGTGGGGAGGAGAGGCGAAGTGAGACGAGGGTGTGGAGGAGGGGAGGTGGAGGGGGGGGTGGTGGGAGGAAGGGGGAGGAGGGAAGCGAGTGAGCAGTGGTTGAAGCCTCATAGTACTGTGTCCTCTTGTCACGGTTTATCCATCCATCCCATGATGTGCCAGGGACGAGTGCAGCTGGTTCATTAGCATCGTGCAAGCAAACCCATTCCCTAGTCAAGGGTATCAGATTCAAGCTGAGTCCAACTTAGTTTACATCTAGAACAAAAGGCAGAGGTGGGTGGGTAGATAGAGACCTCCAGGCGACCACTGTTGCAAGCTCAGCCTACATGCGAGTGTGATGGGCTGAGAAAAGCCCTTAGGAACTTTCCAGAGACTAAGTCCCACACAAGATGCTTGAGTAGTGCAGCGGAAGTGTTGAGTAGTTGAACCCTTGCACTAGTATGTGAGAGCAAGTGATTGATTAGAAGGAACAAGCATACAGCAATATATAGAAAATAAGTAATGAAGCAGTTGTAGAATGCAGTTGAATTAACAGTTATCGAGTCGCACAGCGACTCGATTGTCTGTTCGGTTACCATCCTTGCAGTCGCAACGGTCAATTGCAACCTCCGGTTGCGATCCTTCGAGTCCCTTCGTCCTTTCATGTTCTTTCGTTCAACCTCCTCGTGTAACCTCCGTTGACTCGCGTACCCGATACGACTTTTCTCGAGTGTAGTGTTACACTTCAGAAACGCTTAAGTCTTCGAGGTATTTCCAACAGAGTGGCATACTGCAGCATGTGAGTGTCAAACATGTGTATCTCCTATGTTTGCATAGACTGTATAGGGCCATCTCTTAGAGGGTACAACACTTAGGTATATTCACCTGTACTCTCTCTCTCTACTTTTTTCATTCAGTTCTCATTCTAACATGGTATCAGAGGCAGGCTGAGCAGCTAGGTGTAACAGAAGACGCCGCAGCTAGGTGTAACAGAAGACGCCGCAGCAGCCGCCGCAGACGAGGCAGGCGAGTGTCCCCCCGCCCGGGTGGCCTGGTGCAGGAGGTGGTCGGGCGCGTGGTGGTGTGCCGAGTGGTGGTTCGGGAGGCGTGCGTTGTCAGTACCAGATCCAGACCGGTCCTCGCCGCGGCTTCGTTTGCGGTAAGCTCGGTCATACCACTCCCTGCTGTTTTCGTCGCCTGGACGACCTGTTTCGTCAGCGCTTCGGCCCGTCGCCAGACCTCCCGGACTGGCACAGTTTCCTTAGTACTGGTCACTCGCCCAGATCTCGCATACCCTCTCAGCATCCTGGCTCGCTTTGTGGCCACATGCAGACACCGATCGCAGCACTGGTCTGCCGCTAAGAGGGTCTTGCGTTATCTTGCTAGTACATCGGGCATGGGGTTAGTGCTAGGAGGACGTGGGCCAGTGGTCCTTACTGGACACACAGACGCTTCGTGGGCAGACGACGCCGAGACACTCAGGTCTACCCAGGGCTACTGCTTCAGCCTCATGGAGAGCTACCCGCTCGTCGTCTGTTGCCCAGTCCAGCTGTGAGGCCGAGATCTACGCTGGTGCCATGGCAGCACAGGAGCTCCGCTGGCTGACCTTCTTGCTCACTGACTTAGGTGAGCGGCCTAGCTCTGCCCCGGTCCTGTTCGTTGACAACAGTGCCATGTCTCAAAACTAGAATTGAATAATGATAGAGTTAGAGAGTACATGCACATATACCTAAATGTTGTACCCTCTAGGAGGTTACCCTATACAGTCTATACAAACATGATCAATAAACATGTTTGACACACCCCCTGGACTGCATAGGGGAATGTCCTAAACAAGCAGCTCAGGGCGGCACTACTAGTCCAGCCTCTGAGACAAGGGTCTAAAAGACCAGTCAGAAGGAGTACAAACAAGACAAGAACAAGTACAGGGCGGCACTACTAGTCCAACCACTGTGAGAGGACACAAGTCCAGTCTGAGTGTACACATATATATAGGACAGTACAAAGTCAAGGCCCGAGTAAGTGAGGGACTACAGGAACCAGACCAAGCTGTACACAGTGCCGCTGATGATCTTTAGGCGCAAGCGCCTTCGTAAAGATATCAGTTGTGTTGGCACCGGAGGCCAAGTGTACTACGCGAGCCTGGCGACGCTGCTGGAGCTCGCGCAGGAGGAAGTACCGCAGCTGGATGTGCTTCGCTCTACCCTCGAGTCGAGGCTCCTGACACAGGAGGATCATGGCCCTGTTGTCAGCGTACAAGACCGGGGCAGAGCTAGGCCGCTCACCTAAGTCAGTGAGCAAGAAGGTCAGCCAGCGGAGCTCCTGTGCCGCCATGGCACCGGCGTAGATCTCAGCCTCACAGCTGGACTGGGCAACAGACGAGGAGCGGGTAGCTCTCCACGAGACAGCACCTGAGCCAAGGCTAAAGCAGTAGCCCTGGGAAGACCTGAGCGTCTCGGCGTCGTCTGCCCAAGAAGCGTCTGTGTGTCCAGTAAGGACCACTGGCCTGCGTCCGCCTAGCACTAACCCCATGCCCGATGTACTTGCAAGATAACGCAAAACCCTCTTAGCGGCAGACCAGTGCTGAGGTCGGTGTCTGCCTGTGGCCACGAAACGAGCCAGGATGCTGAGAGGGTATGCGAGATCTGGGCGAGTGCAAGTCATCAGGTACATGAGGCAACCCACTAGCTCAGCGTAAGGACCACTGGGATCTACCGACTCCTCAGGAACTGGAGCGGAGAGTCTGTGGTCCAGAGGAAGAGGGGTGGGCTGTGCGGAGGAGAACTGAAGGCCGAACCTCTGAAGAACCTGGCGCACCAAGTGTGACTGAGTCAGGGTGATGGTGCGCGCGGCTCTGTCCCTGGAGATCTGCAAGCCAAGGTAACGGCGCAGCTCTCCAAGGTCAGTGCAGGTGTGTCTCTTCAGCAGCTCTGCCTTCACGGAGGCCAGTGCGTCCCTGTCAGCTGTGGCAAAGACCAGGTCGTCTACGTAGACAAGGATGTAGAACGGAGTCGGGCCAGCACGAACGAAGAGCGAGGGGTCTGCAGAGGACGGAAAGAACTGCAGGTCAGCAAGGGTAGCACGCAGCGTGTCGTGCCACTCACGAGGCGCCTGGCGCAGGCCGTAGACTGGACGCCGCAGAAGCCACTGGGTCCCAGGGGGGAAAGTGCCAGTAAAGCCCTGAGGACGACGCAGGTAGACCTGCTCGTGAAGGCTGCCCTGAAGGAAGGCAGTGGAGAAGTCGAGGGAGTGAAGCTCGTAGTCACGCTGAGCCGCTACGTGTAACAGAACCCGAAGAGTAGTCATCTTCGGCGTAGGAGCGAAAGTCTGAAAGAAGTCCACCCCCTCGCGCTGACTGAAGCCTCTAGCCACGTAGCGCGCCTTGAACACAGGCGGCTCTCCAGGAGGGCGCTTCACCTTGAAGAGCCAACGGCCATCGACCACGTTCACCCCAGGTGGGGGAACTGCGTCGACGAAGGTGCCGGTGGATCTCCAAGATGCCATCTCCTGTTCCATGGCAGCTATCCACTGAGAGGCCCATGGTCCCGAAACCGCCTCAGCGTAAGTACGAGGGGTCGGGATGTCGAAAGCGTCTGGGTCACCCTCAGGGACTAGCAGCATGGAACAGAGATGGGGAGCAGCCTCGGACAGGAAAGCAAGCTCAAACTGGCGGTCCTCTAGGTCGTCACTGCCGAGGGCAGGAGCATCCCCGACAGACGGAGGACAGGCAGGGTCGGAGACCAGAGCGGTAGCGTAGTCAAGGCGGCGGGTAGAGGCGAAGTCAGCGACCGCAGCGACAAGGGCGTCAAGACTCGACACTGGAACAGACGGGTCTGTAACCAGAGAGGCAAGGACCCGAGGAACAAGAGGACGAGCGGCACGAAAGGAGTCAGACAGAGGAGGAGACGCAACGACAAGAGAGGACGGAGGAGGAGACGGGAGGAGGGGAGGACGAGACACGTGGGACCGGAGCAACATAGGGTGAGAGCGCGGGACGGGGGAGACAGGACGAGCATGGGAGGGGCGGCGAGACCAGACGTGAGAGGGAGGCGTCGGGTCAGGAGACAGAGGAGGGGACACTGGTGGGGAACGAGGGGGAAAACGAGCCGGGGACGAGTCCGGCGGAGGGAACACGGGGCCGTAGATGGGAAGAGGAGGAGACGGCAGGTGAGGAACAGGCGCAGGGTCAGGGGACGGAAGGCCGAGCAGACGGAGGGCGGACACCGGCGGGGACTGCTGCTGCGGCGACACAACACCAATGCTAGGGCCACAAGCTGCGCGACTGCTACCTCCCGAACCCTCCACACCGGCACCCCCAGAAGGGACACCCCCAGAGCACGAAACCCCGCCAGCACCGGTACCACCCCCAGGCCCGCCGGGACAAGCCACGACAGGAGCCCCGGGACTAGTACCCACCTCAACGCCAGCACCCCCAGAGTCCACAAACAGCGGCAGCGACGACTGCGGCGGCGGCGGCGGCGGCTGCAGCGACGGCCGCGACGGCGGTGGCGGCGAAGACGACGGCTGCAACGGCGGCGGCGGTGGAGACGACGGCTGCAGCAGCTGCGGCGACGGCGGCTGCGGAGGCGGTGGAGGAGGAGACACCGGGGGAGGGACAGACGGCGAGGACTGCGCCGGAGGACTACCAGAGTCAGAAGACTCGTCGACCGGGACGACCGACGGGAGGGGGGTGACGTGAGACACACCAGAGGGGGCCGGACGGGGGGGCGGGTGGGGGGGAGGGGCAGGGACCACCGGGGAAGGAGGGACCAGGAACAGGGGGGGAGTAACTGGGGGACCACGGTGGGGGAAGCGGCGGTAGAAGGAGACGGACTCGTCAAAGGTGACGTCGCGAGAGTGAAAGAAGCGGTGAGACGGCGGGTGGTACCATCTCAAAACTAGAATTGAATAATGATAGAGTTAGAGAGTACATGCACATATACCTAAATGTTGTACCCTTTAGGAGGTTACCCTATACAGTCTATACAAACATGATCAATAAACATGTTTGACACCATGATCCTCCTGTGTCAGGAGCCTCGACTCGAGGGCAGGGCGAAGCATATTCAGCTGCGGTACTTTCTCCTGCGCGAGCTACAGCAGCGACGCCAGGCTCGCGTAGTACACTTGGCCTCAGGTGCCAATACAGTTGATATCTTTACGAAGGCGCTTGCGCCTAAAGATCATCAGCGGCACTTTGTACAGTTTGGTCTAGTTCCTGTAGCCTCTCACTTGCTAGGGCCTTGACTTTGTACTGTCCTTTATATGTGTACTCAGACTGGACTTGTGTCCTCTCCCAGTGGCTGGACTAGTAGTGCCGCCCTAGCCTTGTTCGTGCCTTGTCTGTACTCCTTTTGACTGGTCTTTTAGACCCTTGTCTCAGAGGCTGGACTAGTAGTGCCGCCCTGAGCTGCTTGTTCAGGACATGCCCCTATGTTTACAGTCCTGAACAAGCAGCTATCTAGACAGTTTGCTTGTCTAGGGGGTGTGTCAAACGTGTGTATCTCCTATGTTTGCATAGACTGTATAGGGCCACCTCTTAGAGGGTACAACACTTAGGTATATTCACCTGTACTCTCTCTCTACTCAATCATTCAGTTCTCATTCTAACAGTGAGGACTAAGATTAAGCAATTTCACACGGATATTCGTTGGATGCAGAGCAGAGCAGAGAGAGGCATCAGCTGAGGAGGGAGCCTTCCAGCAGCAGACGATTTTTGAGTCGACTCAAAAAAAGACTTCCAGCAGCAGCACCAGCGGAAACACTGGGCATTGGGCACAGGCCCTAAGATCTGGGGGGCTGACTGGGCAGCTTGGTATGATCATCGCTGGAGCATGGCGGAGGTGAGGTGCGCTTTGATTCGACTCAAGATACATCATCGCTGGAGCACGGCTGAGGTGAGGTGCGCCCTGGCAGCTTGAGGGCCTCTTGAGGCGTTGACACTTCAATTCTCAGTCTTGCCGCTCCTCTCAAGCCTGGGCCTTCGCTTTCAACCCTCCATCCACCCCCTAGTGCGGCCACAGCTTGGAGCCCCTGATGCCTCGCTTCCAGTCGCCCCCCACCGCCTCTAGGATGTCATCTGAGTCGCGCCACGTGAACTCCAGCTGTGATTGAGAGGACAGGGGGGAGGGGAGAGGCGGGCAAGCGGAGGGGAGCAGCTGTTATGGAGAGGAAAAGAGGGGGCATCGAGTGCTTCCAGTCACCCCCCACCGCCTCTAGGATGTCATCTGAGTCGCGCCACGTGAACTCCAGCTGCGAGGGGGGAAGGGAGGGTGAAGGACAGGTGGAAAAGAGCGGAGGAGAGAATAGAAAAGGGAGACGACACCTGAGTGCTATCAGTTGACCCCCACCGCCTCCATGATGACATCGGAGTCGCGCCACGTGAGCTCCAGCTGTGGTGTGACAAGGACATGGAGCGAGGGAGGGGCGGGAAGGCAGAGGTGGGAAGGGAGAGGTGGGAAGGCAGGGGGGAGTTGAAAGACGGTGAGTGGCTCCATCACCCCGTCTGCCTCGATGCTGCCCTCTGAGCCACACATGTGACCTCGAGCTTCTGAGCCACACATGTGACCTCGAGCTTCTGAGTCGACTCAAAAGTCGAGCTGCGAAGGGAGGAGAAAGGAAGGCGTGACAGGATCGATGGGGACACAGGAGGTGGAGAGAGGCGAGGCGATGAGAGGAGAGGCGAGGAGAGGAGAGGCGAGGAGAGACGAGGAGAGGAGAGGAGAGGAGAGGAGAGGAGAGGAGAGGCGAGGAGAGGAGAGGAGAGGAGAGGAGAGGAGATGAGAGAAAACGACGACCTGCTCCCATCTCATGTCATCTCACACCTCCACTTTAACATGGGATGCCGTACTGTAACCATCACCACCAATAAACAGCCATGGATGAAACAAGCACCTGCCCAAGGACCACCTGCCGAATGACCACAGTGTCGCCCCCCCTCACTCCCCTCGCCCTCCCTGCGTTGTTATCCACAGTTACCGTCCCAAGGCTCAACGTCCAACAACCAAGAGCCTCCCATCCCCACCCCCCACGAGCGATCCCCCAGGAGCCGCCCATCCCCACCCATCCCCACCTGCCCGATGACCACAGTGTCGCCCTCCCGCACTCCCCTCGCCCTGAGAGCCTCATTGATGCCACTCGCCTCCAACACGTGGGCAAACCGCCGCACCGCCTCAAAGTACCTGTGCAAGGTGGGGGGGAGAGGTGAGAGGCCAGGGGCAAAGCAGCGGAAGGGAAAAGGGAGGGGGGGGGACGAGAGAGAGTGGTGATGCCAGGATTCCCGCCTTTTGAGAATTCTCAAAAACACCCTGCAAAATCAAGGGAAAAGGGAGGGGGGACGAGAGAGAGTGGTGATGCCACTCGCACCCAGCACACGGATTTAGAAACAGGGTATTTTTAAGAATACCCTGCAATCTCATTTGTCACACCCCACTCACCCTCCACCCTCCACCCTCCACCCTCCACCCTCCACCCTCCACCCTCCACCCTCTCCCACCCCCCACCCACTCCCCGTAAGTCATCTCCACAAATCCCTTCCCAGTCCGAGCGAGTGTGTTCGTTCCTCACTGCACTTACTCCCATTGCCCCGCAATCCATTCCTCATGCCTTCCCACTCCCCTTCCCACTCCCCTTCCCACTCCCCTTCCCACTCCCACTTGGTCATCTGCACGAATCCCTTGTGCGTAATGAGTCGACTTTTGGGTCGACTCAACAATCGACTCATTACACACGGCTCATACCTTCGCACTCTCCTTCCCCTCCCCCCCTCTCACCCCCACTTGGTCATCTGCACGAATCGCTCAATGCCTTCCCCCGACTAACAGCATGCACGTGTGGCGGTTCCGCCCGCCACACTCACCTCCCCCCATCCCCCCTCCTCTCCCCCGCCCACCCTTCCCCCCCGTCCCCTCCCCCCCACTCACTCCCAGTTGGTCATCTGCACAAATCGCTCTATGCCTTCCCCCGTCACTTCAAACATGCGAGTGTGGCTGTCGCATGCCACCCGGAACTCGTTTACTGCCGCCCGCCGCGCGCGCTGCACCTCCGCTGCTAAGCCCAGGCGCTGGCGAGTGGCGTTAGGGGCTGGTGGGGGGGAAGGGGGAGGAGAGGGGAGAAGGAGACACGGAGAAATCAGAATTCGTTCAAAGCTGCCCGCCGCGCGCGCTGCATCTCCGCTGCTAAGCCCAGGCGCTGGCGAGTAGGGGCTGGGGGAGTCAGGGCGTGGGGGGGTGTGGGGTAGGGGGAAGAGGGGGAAAGGTGAGAGGGGGAAGAGGGGGGAAGGGGAGAGGGGGAAGAGGGGGGAAGGTGACAGGGGGAAGAGGGGGAAGAAGGAAGCTCGTTCACTGCCGGCTGCTTAACTTGCAGTACTTCCGCATCCCAGGCGCTGTCGAGTAGTGTTGGGGGCTGGGAGGGAAGGCGGGCGGGGGGGGGGGGGGGAGGGAGAGAGGGGGGGGGAAGGGAGAAGGAAGGAGAGAGAGGGAGAACCTCAAAATTCGTTTACTGCCGCCCACCGCACTCGCTGCGCCTCCGAAGCTGCACTGCACCTCCCACTGCTACCATAGCGAGCTTCATTCTAAGCTGAGCTTGAGCTCCATTCTCGCCCTTGCGAGTATCACTCCCACCTGCATGACCCGACAGCACGCAGCACCCTCTCTCACCTTCCTCCTCCTCCTCCCCCCATCCGTCCCGCTCCCCCTGCACCCGCTTCAGCAGAGCATAAGCCGCCCGCACCACCTCCTGCGTCCCCTGCCCCGTGACTGCGCTCATACTCAGCACCACCGGCCCTTTCCCGCCCTCCCCCTCCCCCCCGCTCTCCCCCTCCTCCCCTCCCCCCCACCACACGCCGTCCTCCTCCCCGTCCCCTCCGATCCCCAGCTCGCGCACTGCCTCCTGGAAGCTTGCCCACTGTTGCCTGGCGTCTGGCAGGTCCATCTTGTTGAAGACGATCACGCGCGGCTTGGCGGCCAGGGAGGGCGAGAAGAGGGCGAGCTCCCTGGTGACTGCTTGCAGCTCAAGGTACGGCTGAGGGCTGCTGCCGTCAACCACGTGGATCTGATGAGGCGGGGGGAGGAAATCGCATAAGAAGGAACGGATGATCAAGGCAGGTCCATCTTGTTGACGACCATCACGCGCGTCTTGGCGGCCAATGTGGGCGAGAGTAGAGATTAGCGTTGATTCCCTCGTGACTGCCTGGAGGTAGGGCTGCGGGCTGCTTCCGTCGAGGACGTGGATGATCTGGGGAGGGGGGAGGGCTGAGCAGAGGAGGGAAGGGGTGTTCAAGACAGGTCCAGCCCATCTTGTTGAGGCCTGGTGCCCCCCCCCGGCCCCCTCCCCACGTGTGCCCCATCCCATCCCAGCAATCCTGGCACGTCAGCAGCGCACACCACGGTGTCATAGCCGCCCGCCTGGCACCGCCAATGCCACGTGTATAACGCGCCCTGCACGTAGCTTCAGCAGACCCCTCCACTCACCAGCACTCGGCAGCGGTCGGTGAGCCTCAGAAACTGGTGGCCCAGCCCTCTTCCCACATGTGCCCCTTCCAGCAGCCCGCCACCCAGCACCGCCAATGCCACATGAGCACCAGGTGATTTTTGAGTCGACTCAAAAATCCCCAGCACCGCCAATGCCACATGAGCACCACTCACCAGCACTCGGCAGCGGTCGGTGTGCCTCAGAAACTGGTGCCCCAGCCCTCTTCCCACATGTGCCCCTTCCAGCAACCCCGGCACGTCAGCGCACACCATGCTGTCGAAGCCGCCCGGCACCGACACTACCCCAAGGTTGGGGACTAGTGTGGTGAAGGGGTAGTTGGCCACCTGGTGGGTTGACAGGAGAGGATAGATGAGGCATGCATGCAGTGGGTGCGAGAGAGAAGGAGAGAGGCGCGCATCCCTCCAATAACCCAGACACGTGCACATACACCATGCTGTCGAAGCCGCCTGGCACGGCAGAGCGGCGTTGAATTTCCAGTGTTGGGCGAGGAGTCTATTACGCGTTGGGCGTTGAATAGACTGTCAGAAGAGATAGTGAAATTCACGCGTTGAATTTCCAGTGTTGGTCGCGCCCACGGTGCCCACGGTGCCCACGGTGCCCACTATGCCCACTATGCCCACTATGCCCACTATGCCCACTATGCCCACTATGCCCATTATGCCCACTATGCCCACTATGCCCACTATGCCCACTATGCCCACTATGCCCACTATGCCCACTATGCCCACTATGCCCACTATGCCCACTATGCCCACTATGCCCACTATGCCCACTATGCCCACTATGCCCACTATGCCCACTATGCCCACTATGCCCACTATGCCCACTATGCCCACTATGCCCACTATGCCCACTATGCCCACTATGCCCACTATGCCCACTATGCCCACTATGCCCACTATGCCCACTATGCCCACTATGCCCACTATGCCCACTATGCCCACTATGCCCACTATGCCCACTATGCCCACTATGCCCACTATGCCCACTATGCCCACTATGCCCACTATGCCCACTATGCCCACTATGCCCACTATGCCCACGTCCGCCACCACCCGACCCTACCCCTTGGCCATGGCTGCTCTGTCTCTCACCTTGGGCCTACTCTCGGTGCATGAGTCCAAGGGTTCCCTCACCTTGAGTCCTAAGGTGCTCTCACCTTGGGCCGGGCTGCGGAGATAGCGGCGAGCAGCGTTGACTTGCCAGCGTTGGGTGCTCCTACTATGCCCACGTCCGCCACCACCCTTAATTCTAGCTGCACCCACCTGGCGAGTTTTAAGTTGGGGTGTGGGTATATGGGGGGGGAGGGGGGGGGAGTGGGGGGGAAGGGAGTGAGATTCAATCACCAACGTCCACGGCACTTGGCACGCCGGCTGTGCCAACGTCCGCCACCACCCGCAGCTCAAGCTGCACCCACCTGGTGAGTTGCGAGGTGAAAGGTTGGCAAGAGGAGGGAGGAATGGGAGGATGGGGAGGAAGGGGAGGAAGGGGAGGAAGGGGAGGAAGGGGAGGAAGGGGAGGAAGGGGAGGAGTCTAACCATCCAAGTGTTGGGAGCGCCCACTATGCTCACGTCTGCTGCCACCCTCCGCTCCAGCTAGACGTGTGCAGCACCCACCTGACGAGGCATAGGGAACAGAGAGAGGCATAGGGAACAGAGAGATGCATCGACATGTCTTCGGGGTCTTGGGCACGTCGATGCCTCTTTGGCCCCCTCTCTTCCTGAACATACCCCCTGTCCTCACCCCCCTTTATACTCACACATTCCAGCCCTTACTGCCCCCCGTTGCACTCACATCTCGGGCCCCTCCTCCCCCTTCTCTGCGATCTGCGGCGCGTTGGTCCTGCCAGTCTTGAACGCTGCGTTCCCCCGTCCGCCCCGCCCCCCCGCCAGCACCACCTCGCTCTGCCCCGGGCGCACCAGCTCCAGCAACACGCGCCCCTCCCCTTGCTCCCCCCCCTCCCCTGCCCCCTTCCCCCCCTCCTCCCCCTCATCCCACTCCTCCCCAGCGCCCTTCACCCCCCAATCCCGCACCGGACCCCTCCCCACCACCTCCCTAACAATCGTCCCAGGGGGCACTTTAATCTCCACGTCTCTACCCGCCTCTCCGTGCCTATTACTCCCCTTCCCATGCGCCCCCCGCGTGGCTCGAAAGTGCACGGAGCGGCGGAACGGCAGGAGGGAGTTCAGCGCCGGGTCGGCAGTCATGATTACGTTGCCGCCCCGCCCGCCGTTGCCGCCCGAGGGCCCGCCGTCCGGGACATACTTCTCGCGGCGGAAGGCGACGATGCCGTCCCCCCCATCTCCCGCTTTGATGAACACGCGCGCAGTGTCGAAGCACCGCATTATCGCCGGAATGCCCCTCTTCTCCGCGTCTGATGCTGCTGACGGCGGTGCTTCGTCGCCGTCCCATCCCTCCTCGCCCTTCCCTTCCAGCCACCGCATCTCCTCCCGCAGTCGCCTCTGCTCTTTCCTCCTCAAATGAGACAAATCGTCTTCATCCTCCTCTTCCTCTTCTTCCGCCTCCTCCCGCTCCTCCTCGCCCGCTCGTTCTTCAGACTTGCGCTCTCCTCTCACGTCCGCTGTTACCGTCTGCTTCTCGCCTACGAGTCCCGAGGGTTCCGGCGCAAACCCCGAGGGTTCAGGGTTTTCCTGTCCCCTGAGCCCTCCCCCCTCCCCTTCCTGCGCCCTCTCTCGCGCCTTGGCTTCCGTCAGCTCCCTCTCCATCTCCGCCAACTGCCGCCTCAGCGCCGCTATCTCCCCCTCCATCTCCGCCACTCCTCCCCCCCCCCCCTCCCCCGCGCCCCTCCCCTTATCCGCCTCCGCGCCGATCTCCCCTTCCCCCTGCAGCCAATCGCCGTCCACCATGCGTCCCGCGGGCGCGTCTCCCGCTGATCTCTCCGCCTCCAGCTGCGCGATCTCCCGCTCCGCCTCTAGAAGCAGCTCCCGCTCTTCCTCCTCTGACATTGGGGGTAAATCACCCTCCCATAACTCTACCCTCACATCTTCGTCCTCCCCCTCCCCTTCATCTTCCTCCCAATCCTCATCCCACTCTTCCTCCTCCTCCTCCTCCTCCTCCTCCTCCTCCTCCTCCTCCTCCTCCTCCTCCTCCTCCTCCTCCTCCTCCTCCTCCTCCTCCTCCTCCTCCTCCTCCTCCTCCTCCTCCTCCTCCTCCTCCTCCTCCTCCTCCTCCTCCTCCTCCTCCTCCTCCTCCTCCTCCTCCTCCTCCTCCTCCTCCTCCTCCTCCTCCTCCTCCTCCTCCTCCTCCTCCTCCTCCTCCTCCTCCTCCTCCTCCTCTTCCTCTTCTTCCTCCCCCTTCCGCTCCTGCTCTTCAGTCCCCCTCGCCACGTCAGCAGCGGGCTTACCTGCGCTTAACCCTGCGCGATCCTCCTCGCTAACGATTGCTGCAGCTTCAACAACGGCGGCTGACGCGGCGGCTGTCACGGCGGCTGCCCCGGCGACAGAAGCGGTAACTGCAAGCTCTTGCTTCTTGTCAACGGGTAAAACCCTTGATCTTCTGCTGCTTGCTGCCACGCCAGGCTTTTCCCCGTCCACGTCATCATCGTGCCGACCCAAGGCAGCTACCGTAGTGCCACTAGCCCACGAGAAATCCGGCTCGGGCGCGGCTGACGTGGCTTCCCATGATTCGCCACTCGTACGAGAAACGCGTTCTTGGGTCCTACGTGGCTGCTTAGTCCGCGTCGCTGAGTTCTTCTTCGCTTTAGACGTCTTCGCTATAACACTGAATGCTCTACGCCTGACGCAGCGCCGCTCACCAGTACTCGTCACAAACCGACCCGTTAGTGCTGTAGGGAGCGACGGCAGCAACAAAGGAACGCGGTTCGAGGAAGTTATCAAAGGCTCTAAAGCCACGTGGCGCGTGGGAAGCGCGGGATGCGGAGCAGCAACGAGTTGGCGACACAGCGCCATGTGTTATGAATGGAACTGCCGAGTAGCGCGGAGGGCAGTGCCGAAACTGTGAACGTGTGAATGACAAAATGAAAGACAATACAATATATAGGAAACCTAGGGTGATCCTGGACGTAGGTTCGGAAGGTACGGGAAAAGTATCGAAGGGCCTCGATGTGTCGAAGCGAGTTCCAGAAAGGCCCAGGAGGCTCGAACTGAAAGGTCTGGAACCCTATCGCTGGTTCGGGACTGTTCGAGTCGTACGCCTTGTAGCAAGCCTCAGTAAAGAAATACTAATTCCTTACACCATGACTCGACGCTTTCCTGATCACGCTGGTAACTACCAATGGAGGTAAAGTAAACCTTCGGAAGCTTTTCCCACGACAATACTTGGCACGTGAGCCAGGGGGGAGGGAGGGAGGTTTGTCTTCGAATTTCCGCAGCGGAGGCAAGCGCTGACTGTGCGCTGCTAAAAAAGGCAGGCTTTCTCACGTGGAGCTGATGTGGCATCTGACAGGAGCTGAGGTTTGCGAAAGAGAGGATCCTGGTAGCTCGCGACAGATGATTTGTGTTACAAGTGATGTGCACTGGAGTGGGAATAAGATTACAGTGGGTGGAAAAGACCAGTGCTATCTTATTCCACTTCCCGTCCTATTGCATCCGATTCTTCCCTTTGAGGCATTGTTTTCTCAAGTGGTGATCCGAGCCTATCTTTAGGAAAGTAACACATGGTATCGCTGGCATTCTTGCATTGGAATAAATATGCCTGGTCATAGTGGAACGACCTGCAAGAGAGTGGGATCATGGAAGACGGGATTAGTACAACATAATTGGGTAATGCTAAAAACTGTTCTAAGACACTTGCATATAGATAAATCGGCCAGGTTGGCCAACCCACTCAAACCTACCCTTCTTTTCCTGTAAACACAGGATCGTAGTTGTATATCAAGTAGCGATACAGCTCGCGCCGCGAGCGTGGTTTGTGGCTGGACTTGCGGGCCTCACTAAAGAATTCAGCAGGGCATAAGGGATGGGGAGAAGGATTTATGTGATCACAGAGAGAATGGAAATGAAGCATGAGCAGCATGGTTGGAATGCAGTCCCTTGTGAATGTGGGGTGTGGGATCTTGTCCGGCATTCCATCAGTGCATTGACAACACCCGTCTGACCGTGTGGGTGGGGTGCGTAGCAGCACTAAGGGAGTGAAGATTATTAGAAAAGAAGGAAGAGGCTCACTTGGCGAAGAACGTGCCGGCTGCGTGCGTGATTTGAACGGCGTCGGAGGAGTGTGGGAAGATGGGGTTGCCCCACTCGTACGCATTCTTCTGCAATTGTCGTGGGGAGGAGCGAGGGGAGTCCGAGGAGGGAAGTATATTGTGCTTGTGTGTGCATACATGATACATGATGCATGATACATGCACATGTAAGGAAGCCCGGAAGCGAGCAACCGAAATCGCCACAGAATCACAGCAGCACTGGGGTTGTGACCAGAGGCTGAAGCCCGTCTCCTTGTGACTGCATGAGTAGCAGGGCGCACGTGGGTGCATCACAACCGTACCTCGGGGTGCCACTGCAGGGCAGTGAAGGGGTATCTCTTGGCCTCCACCGTTGATATGTACTCCTGGTGGTAGCACGAAATGAGGAGGGGGGAGAGGAGCATAGGAACAGGGCAGTGGAGCACCGTGGAGGGACAGAGCAGCAGGGTGAATGCCCAGTAACGAGGTATCTCTTGCCTCCACTGTTGACATGTACTCCTGGTGTTACCACGGTAGGAGGTGAGTGCATGGGAGCGCGGTGAATGCACAGTAAGGGGGTATGGCTTGGCCTCCACCCTTGAGATGTACTGCTGGTTGGTGCGACGATCCCATGAGAAGGGTGCATGCTGAATGGCGTGCGCACCATGTCGCCATGGGAGGGAGCAAGGTGAGTGGACATGGAAGAAGGAGCGCTGCTGTCACGGAAGCACCGCTGTGACGTGAGCAACGCCGCCACATAGGCAACGCCGCCCAAATGCCTTCACCAGCACACCCACCTTGATTTTGCAGGGTGTTTTTGAGAATTCTCAAAAACACTCTTCACCAGCACACCCACCTTGCCATCGTCATCCACAGTGGTGGTGAGGATATTGAAGAAGGACGCGAGGCCCTCATCCGCGTTGAATGTCTCCGGAGTCAGCCCATACTGCCGTAGAGGAGGGGAGGGGAGAGGAGGAGAGGAGTCAAGGACACAAGGCGTGAGCGTTCAGTGCGGTTGCGGGCCTCGTTCAGTGGGCCTGTACTGCTAGTGATGGATAGATTAGATTCACAGCCTTACGCACCCTGTGGTTTCAATCTCACATGCCTCTCCTCTCACATGCCTCTCCTCTCACATGCCTCCACTCTCACATGCCTCCACTCTCACATGCCTCCTCTCTCATATGCCTCCTCTCTCACATGCCTCCTCTCTCATATGCCTCCTCTCTCACATGCCTCCTCTCTCATATGCCTCTACTCTCATATGCCTCCACTCTCATATGCCTCCACTCTCACATGCCTCCACTCTCACATGCCTCCACTCTCACATGCCTCCACTCCCACATGCCTCCACTCTCACATGCCTCCACTCCCACATGCTTCCACTCTCACATGCCTCCAATCTCACATGCCTCCACTCTCACATGCCTCCACTCTCACATGCCTCCACTCTCACATGCCTCCACTCTCACATGCCTCCACTCTCACATGCCTCCACTCTCACGTGCCTCCACTCTCATATGCCTCCACTCTCACATGCCTCCACTCTCACGTGCCTCCACTCTCAGGTGCCTCCACTCTCACATACCTCCACTCTCACATGCCTCCACTCTCACATGCCTCCACTCTCACATGCCTCCACTCTCACGTGCCTCCACTCTCACATGCCTCCACTCTCACATGCCTCCACTCCCACATGCCTCCACTCTCACATGCCTCCACTCTCACATGCCTCCACTCTCACATGCCTCCACTCTCACGTGCATCCATGCAGCACCTTGTGGTTATCCACGGACAACCAACCATGACCGCATGCCATCAGTACCTTGTGGTTCTCCATGGTCAGATTCTCCCTCTCCAGCCGATCCACCAGCCTCCGCTGCATCCTGTCACAACAGAAGCACGTGTGAGAAGATGAGAGGGCGTGAAGGCGAGCGGATGTGATGGTGAGAGGGCGTCAAGGCGAGAGGATGTGATGGTGTGGGGACTGACAGAGGAGCAGAGGAAGAGATGAGAACAAGTGACAGATTTCGGGTTTAGCAACTCAAGTGAAACGACGCCTCAAGTATGCATGTCAGCATGCAGGCAGGCAACTCACCACCCGAACATGTTTCTGTCTTTGGCCCACTCCCCCACAAACTGCAGCGTGCTCGGCCTCTTGGCGTTGGTGGGCTCCAACACCTTGCGACCTCCCTGCACCGCATTGCGCCCATGCAAGCACCCAACGGCACGCAAGAATGCACCCTTAAACCCACGCATGTGCACCACCAATGGCTTCGTGAATAACACCTCATTGCATTGTATACAGGACAAATGGAAGTGCTGGCTTGTGAATGGGCACAGGGACTGACGACAAGCATCACAAGAATGTTAATCACCCTGTGCAGTGGGGGCGATGACCCGTAACACCCACTGTACCCAGGGTAAAGTTCAGAATCACCCACCGAGCTGAGAATGATGGTGAGCATCTCGAAGCTGAGGCACTCGGCATAGATGGGGAAGTAGTCGCCCTTGTCGTTCATAGCCATGGCCATCTGCATGTAGGCATACATGTCATTCATAAACGGACACACAAACGGACTCATTAACCCTGCACAAAGGAATTGGATCGTGCTGCACTTAACTTCGTTCAACTCTCACATGCCATGCTGCCACGTCATCCCATCCCACGCCACGCCCCGTCTCTTGAAATCTTCCCACGACATGCCATGCCATGCCATGCCATCCCATGCCATCCCATGCCATCGCTTCCACCTCGCCTTCCCAAGCCCACCTTCAGCAATCGCCGCACTGTCCGGAGGAACTTTCCTCGTTTGTTCGCGTCGCCCCCTGGGAGAACCAGGCCGTTCACCAGCCGGAGCTTCTTAATCGTCTCGCGGCGCGGCTCGTTGTAGATGATCGGCACGACTCTCGCACCGCCTGCCTCGATGAACTTCACATAAGACGCTGCGATATAAGACAGGTTCGCGAAGCTATTTTCCTCTGTCGCGTTAAACACGCGCGCAATCTCGCGGCTATCCGCGATTCCCGGCTGCGAGAGCACGCCGATCAATGGCTGAAATGTCACCGGCTCCACATCGCCATTGAAAATATCTCTGGGCGGGCGATTATCCCTACCGTTGCTCTCGAATTCGCCAAGTCGATGAGAGTTCGTCTGTGCTACGCCGGTCTTGTGATGACGATTTTTCGGAAGACGGTTACTCGGAAGCCGATCATCCTCACTGCTTCTGTCCGCAATTCGTGGACTTGTCTGCCGGTGATAACTACCATGGGGGTTCGCGGGATGGACTACAGGTGGTGATACGACGAGGAGACAAGCTATCAAAAGCACGGCCTCGCGGGCTCTCCAAGCCATGGCTATGAGCTAATTGCAATCGGTGCAGCTGGGTCTGGATTTGTTCAACTCGGCTCGAGTCGGTTACCCGGAGAGTAGTATCTGGCGACCGAGAGCAACAGAGACAGAGCTCACGCTCTGAATAAAACCTCTAATCAGGAGCAAGCCCGAGCACGTCGCAACGCAATGCTACCTAACCAGCTGGAATGAAAGAGAAAGGAGGCGGAGGCAACGAACAAGCTGCTCTTCGCACCTTGAGAATGGAAACGTGGGAGGCCATGGCAACGGTTCCGCTCGCTGTTGGGCTCAGGGAGAATTGTTTGCGGGGACGAAGCCGTTGGCGGGAGTTGGGGAATGCTGGGGCGGAAAATCTTCGACGCCGAGCCACACAGAAAGGAACCCAGCCCTTGGTTGTGTCGACCGTTTCGAGGCCGGATTGGTTGAAAATGTGGCGGCGCAGAGCCGTTCCAGTAACCAGACGTCTGCGCGCGGCAAGTCCCCAGTAACCAGAGCCCCAGGCTCCGCGGGGAATATGCGCATGTCAGCTTCGCCCAGAGGCACTGGGGATAGGTTTTTCAGCTCGCAAACCTCATGCCGCGTGCCCCACGACTTCCCATCCCGTGAGCCATCAGATCGGTTCGGGTGCTTGCTTGCTTCACCTCCGCGCCGTTGTGCCCCTGAGACTTTCGTTCACTCAAGAAGCGGGAAAGTGAAATTGAGAGAAGCGTGAGCCACTGTTGATAGGCCACGTGACTCATTTCTTCCTCAGGATAGGTCCAAAGCTTCCCATGTGACACGAGCTTTGAAAAAGGCTCCATGCGGCGACAAATATTCGATACAAGGTGCTTTGACACGAAAATATACTGCCATATAGAACAAGATTACAAACAAATATGACCCTATATACATTTGTCAAAATTGCCACACATCCAAACAAACCACCACCAATACCCATATCCAAGTAATCAATCCAATATTGTCCAGATTATGAATTCCAAACCACTAATTGTGCATAAGTCAAGATTATATGGCCATGTTATTGAATATAGGCTCCATGCGGATATGCCATTGGAAGGGTTGGGTTGGCCGCAAGTGGTGTTTAAACAAAAAGCAGATGAATTGCCCCGATTTACTGAAAGTGGTTATAGAACACCAGCAACCTTCATATCGTGCAGTACCCTGGTGGTCCATTCATGCGGAATACAAGGCAACTACACTCGCTCTGCAAATGAAAGGGTCAAAAGGGTCATTTCGTTGAGGAGTTTGAATATGGGGCTGTGAGTACATCTTCAAGTGGTGCTTGTGGGGTGGGGTCCGGCATGAGGCAAGTATCAAAGAGACCGACGATGAGCAGAGTGGTAGGAAGAGGATGGGCTCAATGGCTCTGCCTCTCCTCCGCCCTTCCAAGCATCAATGCCATAGGGATCATTGGGCATCACTGCCGTAGGGATCACCATGTGCCACCAAAGAGGAGCATCATGCTATCATGTTGGCCCAGTGGTTTCAACCAACCCCCCCAAGGCAGGTATGTGGCACATGATAAAGGCCTTTGTCCCTTGCTCGGCCTAACTTGGGGGTTTCAATCCCCTTACCCACCGTCAGGCTCACCCTGAGGTTTCACATCCCGTCAACACCACCGTGCACCACCCATCGTCCGTCCCAGGCCAAGCCATCCCTGCTCATCGTGCCCTGCCACGGCCTACCACCCACTGCACGCCGCCGCCCACCACCGCCTACCACCCATCACTGCCCCTCACAATTCGTTACCGTCCCTCACCATCACCCGTCACCGCCTCTCACCATCCGCCACTGCCCGCCACCTCCACCACCGCTCGTCATCACCCATCACTATCCGCCACCACCCATCACCACCCGTTACTGCCAACCCTCAGCACCCCTACTGATTGCCAATGCGCCTGTCTGGTCTCACTTCTCTGGTCTTACTCCCCTGGGTCCCAATGCCGTGAGCCTTATCCCCTTGGATCTCACCCTATTAAATCTCACCCCCTTGGGTCCCATCCCCGTGGGTCTAACCCCCGTGGGTCTCACCCCTTTGAGTCTCATACCCTTGGGCCTCACCTATATGGGACTCAACCTCTTGGATTTCAGCCCATTGGATCTCACCCCCTTGGGTCACTCATGCGGGTCTCACTCCCCCGGGAAAGAGTATGAATTCTTGTCACTCAAATGACATATTTTACACATGGGCTGCTAGCTAAACTTCGTGCGAACAAGTACGACCTTATACGAGCACATCAAAATGAGAATTTTGTTTTGTCTATTATGCCAAGTTTTTGGATTCAATACCTTTTTGAGATGACGTTCTACTTCCCAAGTTTGTTGTTACAGGCGGTTCATTGATGTACAGAAAATTTGTACCTGCTAGTTTGCTGTACAATGGCCTCCTATTCAGAATAATGAAAGGCAACCACCTTGCAGCAAATCCCAAGATGACCAAACCAGATCCCAGACCCGCTAGGTAAAGTGGTCTGCCAGGAACACCTTCAGATAGCCATCTCAAGTTTTAGTGTTATGTTGGAGAATCCTGTGTGAAGATCTTAGGAGTCATGGAGGCCGAGCCGCAGGCAGGAAAGGAGGAGGTCCCAGGTAAGATGGGTACCGGCGACGACGCGTGCGAGGTGCAGCAGGAAGCGGGTATCGAAGAAACCGGCGACGATGACGGGGGGGGTGGCGGCAAGAAGACGGGCTCGCTGGCTCCGTCTCTCCTCGCGCTTCACCCTTCCGGCTCGCCTGTCTTCACCACCGCCGGTGCCGCTATCCGAGGCTTCGATCTTAGGTACTTGATTTCAACCTTCAGCACGAGATCGTCTAGGCTCTGATGACACAAATTTGAAACAGTAGGGGTTTCCGGGTCGCTAAATCTGAGAAATATATTTCCGTTCTCGTTGCAGTTCGGGTTCGGCGGTCGCGTTCAAGAGCGGAGACGGTGCGGAGCGAGCAGTGGCTCATGCGGACGCCATCCGAGCCGTCTGCGTGGACCCCACCGGCCGTGTCGTGGCGACGGCCGGCGACGATAAGATCGTCAACCTCTGGGTCAGGGAGAATGCGTCGACGTTAAACAGCTGGATCTGCTGCCATAAGGAGTAAGTAGAGATTAACTCTTTTCGGAGGGTGTTTTACCCTACCATTTCCTTTTCTTATTCTCCTCAGTCAGGGCGTACTGGAGTTTTCAGGTGTATGACAAACTCCCCAGGTTCCGATGGTTGTTCACCGATCGCCTGACACCTACTCTTGGCGCGTGGTTTTTTTTTCCCCTTCCGACTTCCAGGAAGGTGCCAAAGCGGGTGAGCGCTATGGGGTTCAACAGCGACGGCCGCTATCTGCTCTTCGCTGACAAGTTCGGCGTCGTGCACGCCCTCGCCGTGCCTCCCTTCGCCAACGAATCAGCGTCGACCATCCCTTCGTCGAGCAACCAATTAGCGATGGAGACTGCGAAGCAGCTGCTGGGGCACTGCTGCAGCATTATCACGTGCCTCGTGCGTTTCTTCCCTCTCGCATAAGGCCCTCACCTTCAGTGTGCAACATGCTTGCACCCCCGAGATTCCCTAACTCCCACTGTTTTTAAACGCTCGTTCGAAGTCGTTTCGGATAATTGTCTTCTCAGATAACGAGAGGTTTTCGTCGACAGAATAGAATTTCCATCTCCACTCCTTCGCTTCCTGGCTTACATTTGCAGGCGGTTTCGCACGGCAGTCGCTTCATCGCGACCGGCGATCGGGACGGAAAGATTCGTGTAGGTGCGTTGAGCTACGTGGTTTGGCTGCAGGGCTTGTGTGCTGCTGCAATTGGCCCATCTGATGAAAACTACCCATTACTTGTATTATCGTACACGCTCTATCAGACCTTCTAGTGTAAGCCTCACTTTATTATTTCCTGCCTTGCTCTTGTTTCGCAGGTGTCCGTGTTTCCCGACCATCCGCTGGAAGGCGCGCATGAGATTCAGAGCTTCTGTCTCGGACACACAGGGTACGCTGCTGCCATAATTTGAAGGTTGGGTAGCCGAGCATAGCTCAATCGACACGTCGTTTGAAAGGCTATTTTCCTGCTTCGCCTGTCTACACACATTACCATGCGCTCCCTGTTCTGCATTTTCCTTACTCCCTAACGTATATTCTCTCTCCTATGTGTGTATCCGTACTCGAAAACCAACCCTTCACCAGTTTCCTGACAGCGCTAGCCTTCGTCGGCGAGCCCGCATCAGCCAAGCGCTGCGAGACCGATGGCACAGTCGCCGCAAGCGATGGGTCGCAGCCGCTGCTTCTATCCGCTGCCGCTGATGCCACGGTCAGTGCTCACTCGCTCTCTCTTGCTCTTCCTGCGCTTCTCCCAAAGTCTCTGCCTTGTTTCTGGTTGCTGCTTATCTGTTTCTCGAACCCCGTCTTTGTTCCGCGGTCGCAGGTTCGTCTGTGGGATCCCCAAGACGGCCGCTGCCTGCAGGTGCTGCGCATGCCCCCTCCGCCCGCGCCCGCACTGGGGGAAGGCCCCTCCCCCATGGCTGTCGATCCCGCGGATGGGCGCGGAGAACTCGCGGAAGCTGAGGGGAAAGGCTCGGTGGAAACTGAGGGCGTAGCTAACTCTGAAGGAGAGGCAGGCGGGAGCAGAGGTGGAAGGACAGGGGGGGCAGCCGACGGCTTATCGCTGGTAGCAGTGGCGGTCGACTCGAGTGGCTGCTTGGTCGCAGGCGCTGTTGCCGGGTAGGTGCCATGCCAGGCGAGCCTGCCAGCATCGGGTGTTTTAGGAGTAGAGGTGGTCGGGACAGCCCGCCAGCACTCAGGCGATGGAGACTGTTCTGCAGCGCAGTGTGTCGTGTGACTGGTGAGGGTGCTGTGTGGGTGTCGGTTACGCGTGTGCTTCCAGCGTCTCGTGGAGCCCTTCTCTCCAGTTCCTTCGCTGATTCAACCATATCCTTCCGCTCCCCCTTCCCCCCCCTCCCCTCTCTCTTCCCTTCCGTGTCCTCGTCACGCTTCCCCCTTTCTTTTTACAGCTCACCGCACGTTTGTCTGCTGCGCTTCGACCCTGCAGCACGCGCTCTGCAACTCGTTCAGGTGTGCCCTCCGTCCCTGCTGCAGCGTGCTGTTTCGCACTGTTACACATGTTACCCCAATCGAGTTGCCGAGCCCATCAGGCGTCTGTCTGTCTGTCTGTCCCCCGCGCAGTCCTTGAGAGCGCCTATCCGTGCTGCCTGCGCCTCTCCCCCTCGGGGGCAGGGCCAGGAGCACCCATGGAAGGATTTCGAGTCATAACTGCGCCAAACCAACCCCTCAGGTTCGGTGGCAGGTCCGGGTGGCTCCTTCGAAAGAAAGGGCTCCGGACCTGTTGCTGAGGTCCAGAGGGAGGCTCGTGCAGATAGAAGCAGACGCGGCTTGCCGCCCACCTGCCCATGGCCAGCCTGGCACACTGGTCACTCTCACTCCCCTCCTCCCACTACCTTTTCATGAAGGCTGGTGTGTGTCTGGAGGGGAGTGAGTGTGCAGGTGTACCTGTGTGCTGCTGTGGTGCTGTAGTGGGTTGCGCATCCTTCCCGCTCTGCTTCTCACTTCACGATCCACATGCTGCCTTCAGCAATCTCATCCCACCGCTCTGGCTGCTTGCAGTCGGTGCAGTGTTTCGTTTCTTATTTACAATCTACACTCTCCTGACACCCACTCCTTACCCCCTCACCCTGTCCCACCGAACATACCCCCCCCCCCCCTCCTCCCTCCCCGCCCCCCCCCGCCCCCCCCTTCTTGGCTCCTCTTTCCCTGATGCAGTGGATCACCCTCAATGATGGAGTGCCACCCACCAGCCTCGCCTTTTCTCCAGATGGCAAGATTTGGACGGTAGCTGGAGCTGCCGAGTCCCTTCCCAGCGAGGACAGCGTTGTGACGCCGGAAGCAGAGGCTGCAGCTGCTGCCACTGCGGCTCGCATTGCCCTCGCTGCTGTTGCTCGGATTCTTGTCCTGAGCCCTGCCCCGGCTGCTGCTGCTGCTGCCACTGAAGGTGCTACTGCTGGTGCTGCAGGTGCTGCTGCTGATGCCGCTGGAGATACCACTGGAGCATTGAGGAGTTTAAACCAAGAGGATTCAGGGAGTGAGAAGTATCAAGTGTTGCCTGATGGGGAAGTGCCAGGTGGCAATGATCTACTGGTTGCTCTGCAGGGGTCTGTGTTGGAAGATGTGGCAGATGCGGCTAGGGAGGCAGCCAAGGGGGCGGTGGATGGGTTGTGGGGAGCGATGAGGAAGAAAGACTATGGGGAGGATGAGAGGGAGAGCAGAAAGCGCCGGCGCAATGACAAGAAGTCGAAGGCTGCGAATTGATTTGGGTTGGCTGAAGTGCAGGCTTCAGTTCAGACTGATGTATTTAGATTACTATTGTTGAGTTCTTTGACCCGTCAATGTTACATCAAGCTCGTACCTGCTTATCAATGAGCAATTTGGGTACAGCTAGAGGAACCCTGCTACCATCAATTATAAATAACGCCAGCGTCTTGCCCCTGCTCGGAAAATGTTACTGGTAACAGCGTCACTGACTAGGCACCCAGCGACAGAGCCGACACTCCCAAGGTCGTCCAGTCGTTGGAGCCAAACAGAGTGTTTTTTTGTGCCTCTATTGGGGAGCTGTTGATCACTGTTCCAGTCTGACCTTTTTCCACCTTTTGTCTCCACCACCGCCCTGCAGTGTTTGTTCCTCTCTTTCTGTTTCTCTCCGTCCTTCACTCCCTCAACCGCACTGACGGCCTGCTTGCGACAGTAGCCATGCGTGGAGCCGTTGTTCAAGCGTGAACAATGGCGGTCACGGGAACCCTAGTTCGATGACATATCGACGGAGAAAGCGTCGCTGTGATTCTGTCTCTCGCAGTTGTCGAGCACGCGATTTCGCCTTCTAATTAAACCAGTCACGAGGTGCCTTTTGAGTCGACTCAAAAGTCTCTCGCCGTTGTTGAGTACGCGATTTCGCCCTTATATAGCAGTCACGGATCGTATAGTTGTTCGTTCAGTAGCATTCCCCGCCTGATAGGAACCCGTGCAAGCTGGTATCAGTAGTGTTGTCGACATTAAGTCAAGCCGCGAAGTTAGGTCGTAGCCTATTACTATTTAGCGTTCTCAGCGTGATTATCGGCGTTTCACGTTTCGCGTCGCGGATAGCTTCCCAGGATATAAATCAGAATTTTAATATTTCATTATCGACTCCTCTGGTATACGGCATTTATTATAATTCCGAAAAAAAACACCCAGCGAAATCGTAGACTACTGTAGTACACGGCACTATAATATTTCTCCGGTCCATGCAGCGTGGATGTCGCGTAACTCGTGGTAGCGCGATTGCCGGTCGCTTTGTGGCTTAGGTGCGCGTTCGGTAGGAGGTAGAAGCGGAGGCATGGGGGGATGCTTGAGCATAGAGGAACAGTCGGTCAAAATCACCAGCAAGAGCAGCAAGAGCAGCAAGAGCAGCAAGAACAGCAAGAGCAGTCAGCCATGGATGTCAGGTAAGCAATATCACTAAGAACACACAATATCGGGTTTGCAAGCGCTCGTTAATATTTTTAGCACTTGGTGAAGTATGCTTGTCAGGTAGGCAATGCTTCTACTAAGAACACGCAATGTCGCGTATGCATTCGAAGATATGTCTGAGCTCATTCGGATTTCAAGCACTTCGTGAACGTCGTATGTCAGACACAGCCGGATCTCCCCCCTCTCCTCCCATCCCGTCACAGCAATCCTCCTACCCAAATGGGTCCGAACAATCCATCCTAGCGTCCAACCACCGGCGCCTCACGTACAAGGAGCTGCAGTCGGCCTCGGAGTGGTTCAAGGACGAGAGCGTGCTGGGGCCGGGTCCACTGCCTTACACCCCCCCTCTCCTCCCACTCTTCCCCTCCAGAGCAATCCACCGACCCCAACAGGTCCAAGCAGTCAATTCTAGCGTCCAACCTGCGCCGCTTCACGCACAAGGAGCTGCAAGCAGCCACCAGCCGCTTCAAGGACGAGAGCGTGCCGAGGGGGAGTGTGCTTCCTCACACTTCCCCTCTCCCCGTTATCTCTCCCATCTCCCTTTCTCCTCCCGATCAAAGCGAGCCTTTGACCCCAACTGGTCAGAGCAGACAATCTTGGAGCTGCAACCGCACATTCCCCCCTCTCCCCTCTCGCCCAATCAGAGCAATCCTCCGACTCCAATGGGTCCAAGCAGTCAATCCTAGCGTCCAGCCTGGATCGCTTCACGTACAAGGAGCTCCAAGCGGCCACCAACCGCTTCCAGGACGAGAGCGTGCTGGGCCGACTGCACTGCCTCCCTTTTCCCCCTCTCTCTCCCCTCTCCCCTGTCCCCTCTCTTCCCCTCAGACCAATCCACCGACGCCAACGGCAGCGAGTCGATCCTGGCGTCCAACCTGCGGCGCTTCACGTACAAGGAGCTCCAAGCGGCCACCAACCGCTTCAAGGACGAGGGCGTGCTGGGCCGACTGCACTGCCTCCCTTTTCCCCCTCTCTCTCCCCTCTCCCCTGTCCCCTCTCTTCCCCTCAGACCAATCCACCGACGCCAACGGCAGCGAGTCGATCCTGGCGTCCAACCTGCGGCGCTTCACGTACAAGGAGCTCCAAGCGGCCACCAACCGCTTCAAGGACGAGGGCGTGCTGGGCCGACTGCACTGCCTCCCTTTTCCCCCTCTCTCTCCCCTCTCCCCTGTCCCCTCTCTTCCCCTCAGACCAATCCACCGACGCCAACGGCAGCGAGTCGATCCTGGCGTCCAACCTGCGGCGCTTCACGTACAAGGAGCTGCAAGTGGCCACCAACCGCTTCAAGGACGATAGCGTGCTAGGCGCGGGCAGCTTCGGCAAGGTGTACCGCGGAGCCATGGAGGAGTGGATGGGCGAGCTGCCCAAGGGGGAGAAGCGGCCGCTGGCTATTAAGATGCTGGATGAGGAGAGCTTCCAGGGGTTCGGGGAGTGGATGGTGAGTGGGTGGTGAGTGAGGGGGGGGGGAGAAGAGGGGAGAGGGGTGATGGGGTATGTGAGGTGCCTCAGGGCACTGGGGCGAGGTGTACCGCGGAGCCATGGAGGAGTGGATGGGCGAGCTGCCCAAGGTGGAGAAGCGCCCGCTGGCTATTAAGATGCTGGATGAGGAGAGCTTCCAGGGGTTCGGCGAGTGGATGGTGAGTGGGTGGTGAGTGGGGGGGGGGGGTGGGGGTAGAGGGGAGAGCACAGGAGGAAAAAACACAGGCGGGACGGAGGATGGTAGGTGGGTGCAGACGGGACGGGGGGTGGCATGCGATTCAGATTCTCGATGAGGAGGAGAGCATCCGGGGACAAGAACAAGGCCCCATGCCCCTCCCGCCCCGTCACCCTCTCTCCCCGTATTACTCCCCTTGCAGGCGGAGCGGAGGTATTGCTCTTGGGTCGCCTGCACTGCAGCACCCCAATCTGGTGCGGCTGCTGGAGTACGGTACAGCAGGGACCGGACGGGACGGCTCCTCCTGCAACTCCCTTATCCCCATTGCGCCCCCACCTACTCCTCCTCTCCTTGCTCCGCTCATTGCAGGCGGAGGTGCTCTTGTTAGGCAGGCTGCAGCATCCCAACCTGGTGCGCCTGCTGGGGTACAGCACAGACAAGGACAAGGCTCCTCCCGCAACTCCCTATCACCATGGCTCCCCTCCCGCTACCCTCTCACTGCAGGCGGAAGTGCTCTTGCTAGGCAGGCTGCAGCACCCCAACCTGGTGCGCCTGCTGGGGTACAGCACGGACAAGGACGAGGCAGTGCTCGTGTATGAGCTGCTCGAGAACGGCAGCCTCGACTCCTGGCTCTTCCCAGGTACCTCTCTGCACTCCTGGCTCTGTTCACAGGCCTGGGGCTGTTTTTGTAAAAAGTAAAGCACCCTTAGGATAGTATGTTCAGTGTACACCACGTTGTGGGTGTACGACGCTTGAAGTTGGGGTGGCTCCAAAAATCTTGATGGTTGTTACTGAACCACAGTTGTTAATTGACCAATCCAGTTGGCTAACCCAACCATTATTGGTCTATCCAACAATTGGCCCTCCTAACTAATTGGCCCAATTAATAATGTTGGGCTTTGCTTATTGGTCAAACCAATGGAGCGTCACTTTATTGAACGGCTCCCGTTCCATTCCCCCTCTCCCCCCCAGACGACCACTCGGGCGAGTACAAGCACCGGCCGCTGACGTGGGAGGAGCGCGTGCGGATAGCGTCGGACGCCACGCAGGGCCTGGCGTACCTGCACTCGGAGAACGTCATTCACCGCGACTTCAAGTCATGCAACGTGCTGCTGGACAAGGTGGGATGGGGTGGTGTGTGGTGGGGTGTGGTGGGGTGTGGTGTGGCTGGCACTACCTGGTTGCTTGTGGTGTGATGGGACATTTATCACCTGGCGCAACTGCACTCAGAGAACGTGATTCATGGAGACTTCAAGTCGTGCAACGCGCTGCTGGATAAGGTGAGGTGTGGTGGGGACTGCCTGGCTATGTGGGGTAAGGGCATGACGGACAAGGCTCTGCCTTTTGTATTTGCACTCGGAGAACGTAATACACAGGCACCTCTTGTCGATCAAGCCCCCATCCTCTATCCCCACCCCACCATCTTCTAGGACATCCGAGCCAAGCTGACGGCCTTCGGCATGGCAACCATGGGTGAGGAATCTATTTTTGAGGCGCCTAAAAAATCAACCCCCCTCCTCTAGCCCCACCCCACCCCCTTCCAGGACATGGGCGCCAAGCTGATGTGACAAGCAACAGTCGCCCCCACCTGGCCTTGGGCATGGCAACCATGGGCCCGGAGTCCGGGAAGACGCTCACACGCATGCTTCCCTCCCTCCCGCCATCGTCCTTCCCCTAGAACTGCGAGCACAGCCTTCTGAGACAAAGCAACCCCCCTCCTCTCCCTCCACCCCAACGCCTCCCGGGACATGCATGCGAAACTACCAGACTCGGCGTTTCGACCATTGGGCAGGATTCAGGGCAGATGCTCACACTCCATGTGCCTTCTCTTCTCCCCATCACACTCCTTCCGGGGACGTGTGGGGCCAAGCTTATAGACTTCGGCATCTTGACCATGGGGCTGAGGCGCTCATCTTCTCCCCCGCCCTTGCCCTCTCCCCGGTCCCAGCGAGCCAAACCCTTGTGAACCGAAGTACCTAATTCTGCCCCCCCCCTCTTCCCCCCCACCCCACCTCATAGGATATGCGCGCAAAGCTAACAGATTTCGGCATGGCGACCATGGGACCGGAGTCCGGGCAGACGCACATCTCCACGCGAGTTATGGGCACCATGGGGTACCTCGACCCCAAGTATCTCGAAACAGGTATGCATGGTGGCGAGGCATGTCATATGCGAGAGCCGATGTCCGCATTCCTGTCAAGTCCTCTGCACTGCAGCTCCCCAGACTGATGCCTGCCGGATTCATCCTCTCCGCTGCTCGCCCCACCCCACCCCCAGGACATGCGAGCGAGATGGATGGGGTGGGGTGGAGTGGGGTGGGGTGGGGTGGGGTGGGGTCCTCTCTGAGCTGCTCATGTGCAGTCCCTCTTTCTATGTCTCTTCCTGCCCCGCCTCCATTGCTTCGCCCAGGCCATCTCACCCCAAAGAATGACATCTACGCACTCCTCTGGGGGCGACAACGACGACTGCAAGCTCATCATTCTGTGTGTCTTTCCCCCTCCCCTGTCACTGATCTTCCCCAGGCCATCTCACCCCAAAGAGTGACATCTACGCTCTAGGAGTGGTTTACTTCGAGCTGCTCACCGGCCGTCCTCCCTCCTCTGGGGGCGACAACGACGAGTGCAAGCTCACCACGTGGGTGCGGTCCCACGTGGCGCAGCGCCGCCCGAACCTCGACGCAGTGATGGACGAGCGGCTAGAGGACAAATACTCGCGGGTCGGCGCGCAGAAACTACTCGTCCTCGCGAAGCACTGCATCAACGAGGATCCGGCCGGGCGGCCGCAGATGGAGAATCTAATCAAGACTCTGCAGCAGATCATGACGCAGCCGAGCGGGGACGAGGGGAATGGCGCTGGTTGGGGGAGAGGAGGGGGTGGGGGTGGGGGTGAGCCTGGTATGCTGACACCACCCAGGACACCCACCACACCACCAACACGTTAATCAGATGGATAATATAATCAAGACTCTGCAACAGATCATGACACAGATGACCCGGGACGAGGGGAATGGTGCTGGTGGGGCGAGAGGAGGGGGTGGGGGCGAGCCTGTTATGCCGAGGCCACCCAGGACACCCACCACGCCGACCCATCGTTGACCCCGGGAAGGAAGGCGATTGTTGAGGTGCCTATTACCTAACATATCGACACTTTGACCCAGGGATGGAAGGCGTGTTGTGCATAAAGTGATGGAGTGAGGTTGTGATTGCGGAGAGGGAGATGCAGGAGGGGTGGTTTGGCTGGAGGCAGCCAGCCACTCCCTCTGGTGGCTGATAGGTATTGCTGGTGTGAGCCTATCAGATTGTAGAATTTAAGCTCGAATGTGGGCAAAAAGCACACACTTGCGGGCGAGAGGTGGTTGTGATGTGAGACGTGTGCTAAGGGGCTCTATCTATCCCCCGCTTGTTGCTATTTTGAGACTTCATTGTAGCATGTGGTGGATGTTATTCTAGGATTTTGAGACTTCATTGTAGCTATAGGTATGTTTTTTGAATTCCTAGATATCTTGTGCGTGATAATAGCACTAGTACCTATGTCCATAGCTTCTCATTAGAACTTAAACGGGTACACTTTGTAACGGGTTCATGAACCGAGCAGAGCCTCCACACTCAAATGTTCTGTCGGGATTCATCCTGGCTAGATTCACCCGCGAAAGTCGTCCCATCCCAAGCCTCACAGTGCAACAGCATCCCTGTCATTGTCATGGATTAGCGCGTGGCCGGCCGTAGCCTTCGGTCTTCGAGAATTCTCAAGAATCTCTCACACAGTTTTCGTTCCGGGCCTCTCTTGAATCGACTCTAAAGCGCTTTTCCTTCCTGGCTTCCCCGCCCAGCCACCCTGCGTGGGCTCGAGTCGCCTGTCGCCGACTACGATTCCTTATTGTCTCATCGTTTGACTCGTCTTAGCGAGCCACGACTCAAGGCGACGGCGTCTGTACTGCGAACCGGTGACGTCAGCCGCACGGCCGGCAAGTCGTGACGCCATCCGCACGGCCAACAAGTCGTGACGCCATCCGCACGGCCAACAAGTCGTGACGTCATCCGCACGGCCGACAAGTCGTGACGGTCGCCGTCCATTGATTAACGTTTACATGTAGCTCGCCATGTCTCAGCTGCCTCTCCCCCCGCTCCACCACCCTGATTACCCCCCGCACCCGCCAATTCTCCCCCCTCACCAGCCGTCTCTCCCCCCGCTTCCGCTCCACCTCCCCCTCCCCCACTACCAGCTCCCGCATCTCCCCCCGCTCCCCCTTTCCGCGCCTCTCCCGCCTCACCTTGCGCACGCGGGAGGTATCTTCCCCCACCCCCACGCGCACTTGGTGCATCTCCCCTTCCCCCACTACCCGCACATCCCCGCCTTGCACCCCGCGGGCTATGCGGCGGAGGCGCATGGCAATCTCGGCGGAAGAGCCGGCGGGCATCCCGGCGCAATTCCCGGCGCAGTTCCCCGGGCAGTCCCGGCGCTTCACGGGGGAACGCCCTCGCTCCCCCCAGTGCACGAGGCCCCCCGTCTCGCCGCCCAGTTTTCGCGCGGAACGAGTGGCGGAGGCGGGGAAAGCGCGCAGGGCGGCGAAGCCGCGCTGGGCGAGGGAACCGGGGAAGCGGAGGGGAGGGCGGAGGAAGGGAGGGGAGCGGTGGAGCCGGGGGAAGAAAGGGGCGCGAGGGATCAATCAGAGGCGAACGGTGTCGACGCGCGAGAAGCGGCCGAGTGTGACAATAGCGGGGGAGAGGAAGGGGAGGAGGCAGTGGTGGTGGAGTTTCCAGAGGGCGAGGGCGAGGGGGAGGAGGGGGGAGAGGAAGGAGGGGAGGGAGGAGAGTGTGAGAGGGAGGAGGGTCATGGGGTCGTAGCAGGGGATACTGATGCGACGGCAGCAGCAGCAGCAGCAGCAGCAGCAGCAGCAGCAGCAGCAGCAGCAGCAGCAGCAGCAGGTGATGGGATGGGAGCGAGGGGTTATGAGGTAGCAGGGGGGGATGATGCTGCTACTGATGCTGATGTTGATGATGATGGTGATGGTGATGCTGATGTTGATGATGATGGTGATGGTGATGGTGATGACGAAATAACAGTGGAAGATCTTGGGATTGATGCGGAGGAGGCGCATGGAATGGGCGGTTCAGATGCGATTGCGGGAGAGCATGGGATGGACGATCCAGATGCGATGGCAGGGGAGCATGGGATGGACGATCCAGATGCGATGGCAGGGGAGCATGGGATGGGGGAGATGACAGACGCAGATTTGGATTATGCTGCCATGCTTTACGACGGGCAGAGCGACGACGAGGGGCATGAGACTCGCGAGCAGCAGCAGCAGCAGCGTCAAGAGCAACGGCAAGAGCAACGGCAAGAAGAATTCCAGCAAGGTCAAGAGCACGAGCGCTATGAGCATCATGAGCATCAGATGCCTGATCATGAGAACCAAGAGCAGCATGATGCACATCAGCCTTACCAAGCCGCTCAAGAGCACATGCCATGCCATACCCATACCCATACCCATGCCCATGCGCATACCCATTCCCATTCCCATGCCCATTCCCATGCCCCCCTGTCCGATGACCATCGAGGCTCTGGCGTCGTGGCTGTGCGACCTGTGGGAGTGAGGGCCACTGCCAGCACACCTCATGCCGCTATGCGTCCTCACGTCATGCCACTCATATCCCATGCTGTGGCACTGGGTGCTGGGACATCTCATGCCATGGCAGCAGTGCCAGGCGTCTTGCCCTTAGCCCTGGGGCAGCAGCTGCAGCAGCTGGCACAGGCAGAGGGGAGGACACAGACGAGAGGCGTGGAGAGGCACGAGGACCAGCAAGAGCAGCAGCAGCAGTTTCGGATGGGGGTTGTGAGGCAAACGAGGAGACTGCAAGTGGACGTTGATGTTGCTGGTGAGGAACCTTCTCTTTGTGGCAAGAGCATGGCACGTGGCGAAGAACAGCTGTACCCCGTGCTTGGTGCGCGCAATGCTTGGGACGGTTGACCTCAAGCCAAGTGTCTCCCGGGCCTCCACCCTGTCTGTCTGTCCCCACTGCCCATCCCCACGTTGCCTCTTTTTCCTTTTCATCTACTTTTGAAGTACGGGGCACGGGGCACGGGGTACGGGGCACGGGGCACGGGGTACGGGGTACGGGGTACGGGGTACGGGGTACGGGGCCAGTGTGCAGCAGGGCAGGTAAGCACAGCTAGCTCTTTTTCTGTTTCGTCCCCTCCCCTGGTGCGGTTGGGTGTCGGTTCTCGGGTGTCAGTTGTCGGTTGTCGGGTGTCGGTTGTCGTGTTGTCGGTTGTTGGGTTGTCGGGTGTCGGTTGTCAGGTGTCTGGTGCCGGGTATCGGTTGTCGGGTTGTCGGGTGCCGGTTGTTGGGTTGTCAGGTCTCGGTGGTCACTTGGCGCTTACTGCAGTAGGCAAAGGCCGCATCAAGTGTTTTTTCCCCCTGCCCCGCCCTCTGTCTCCCCTCGTCCGCCCCCCTTCACCAGTCTTCTCCCGACTCATGCTGCTGGTGCGCGAGCGGTACGGGGGCAGTGTGCAGCGGTGGCTGCATGCTGCTGTGGATGCATTGGAGCAGAGCACTGCAGCGGGGCGAGTGGATGGGGCGGGGCAGTGCCGTGGTGCAGGGCAGAGCAGTGGTGGGGGTCAAGTGGATGGAGCTGGACGGGCGATGGGTAGAGGCAGCACTGCTGCTGCTGCTGCTGCTGTTGACTCGTGGAACGGACGGAGGGGAGGCTTTGGGGAGAGGGCGAGTAGCGGCAGGGGAGGGGAGGGAGGTGGCGTGCAGAGGGGAGGTTGTTGCAGGGGTGATGGGGGAGAGGAGAGGGCGACAGGGGGGGAGGAGAGGGGGACGGGGAGAGAGGAGAGGCGGATGGGGGGAGGTGCGGGGGTGGCAGAAGAGGGTGTTAGTGGCGTTGTGAGGCAGAGGGGGAAGAGGAGGAGGTGTGAGGGGATGGAGGGGAGGGAGGTGGGGCGGGAGAGGGGCGATGGGTCAGGGCGGGAGGGAGGAGAGGAGGAAGAGGACGACGGGATGGTGTTGGGGGAGGGGGGTGGGGGTGCATGTGGTGAGATGGGAGAAGGTGACTGTATCGAGCTAGGCCAGCAAGGGGGGAGCATGAGGGGAGGGCAGGAGGGGGGTGCAGGGGGGAATAGCAGAGCCGACGTGGAAAATGAGCGCAGGAGAGATGGGAGGAGTCGGGGGGGTGGGGGAGGAGATAGGGCGGCGAGGGCAGGAGGGAGTGGGAGGGGGAGGACGGGGGGGGAGAAGGAAGGGGGGAAGGCGGAGGGGGAGAGGGCCGGCTTGAAGGGGAGAGGCGCATCTTTTGAGTCGACTCAGAAGGGGAGAGGCGCATCTCTCCCGCGCAGGCTGGCTCTTTCCAAGTGGAAGCGAATCCAGTGAGTGTGACAGTAAGCCGAGTGTGACAGTAAGCCAAGTGTGACAATGAGCCGAGTGTGACAGTAAGCCGAGTGTGACAATAAGCCGAGTGTGACAATGATCTGCAGAAGGGGTTCGGATGCATGTGAGCTGGCCGGGGCATGCTGCTTGTGTTGTGTTCATTCCAGCACCATCCGCTACCCCCACCTGCTCTCCCCCCACCCGCACCCCCCCACCCGCACTCCCCCCACCCGCACTCCCCCCACCCGCACTCCCCCCACCCGCACTCCCCCCACCCGACCCACCCCAATGTGTGGGGTTCGTACAGGCCCGAGCAGCTGGTTAGTGAGATCCAAAGGTTCGTCAAACTCTGGAGTCGACTCAAAAGTCACCTCGTTACAATGTCACACAAAAGCCACCTCGTTACAATGTCACACAAAAGCCACCTCGTTACAATGTCACACAAAAGCCACCTCGTTACAATGTCACACAAAAGCCACCTCGTTACAATGTCACACAAAAGCCACCTCGTTACAATGTCACACAAAAGCCACCTCGTTACAATGTCACACAAAAGCCACCTCGTTACAATGTCACACAAAAGCCACCTCGTTACAATGTCACACAAAAGCCACCTCGTTACAATGTCACACGATGCATTTTCATTGTGTGATGCTCCCCCCACAGCCCTGAGCAGCTTCGGGGGTCTGATGCCCATGAGCTGGCAGCGACATACCCCCACTCAAGTGTACCGCATGATTCAACTCAAGCACTGTTCCGTCCAACACTTCACCCCCACTCCTTCCTCCCACAGGCTAGATCAGCTTCGGGGTTAAGACACCTATGAGCTGGCAGCGACATACCCCCACTCAAGTGTACCGCATGGCTAAGTGGAGAAATGCGCTTGGGCAGCCTAGCGTATTGCGTGCATACGCTAGCGTATAATACGAATACGCTGTACGCTAGCTAAGTACGCAATACGCTAGCGTATTTCTTGGCGGGCAGCCCGGCAAGAAATACGCAAAAAACGATGCGACAAATTTGCGACATGACGAAACCCCACAGGGATTTCGCCATGTCGCAAACCGAAATTTGGCTTTTCAAATCGTCAACCCAACCCCTTCGCCCCTCCCAACCACACAGCATCCCACCCAATCTGTGACTTCCAAACAACACCCAAAGAAATCTCCTTCCTCTCCCTCTCTACTCTACTCCAGCAGGGTTCAGCGCAGTTCACTCCTACGACGAAATCAGGGTACAAGTAAACTGGCGCGCTAACTTCAGTCATTTCTTCTTCCAAGCTAGCGCGACTAGCTAGCTGGCTTTTTAGCGACTGTTGCTATGTCGAACCCTCCACCTAGTCCTGCTTCCCACGGAACCGACGCGGGAACCTCCTGTGCTGCGTCTTCCTCTGACGAGCTCCTGGAGAACTCCACCCACGCTATCTTTAAGCATTTCAAGTTTAAGCATAAGGAGCACGGCAAGCAGCAAAAGTATTGGTGCAAGTACTGCCCCGTATCCTTTACCGGGACGGCCTACCGCTGCGCACAGCACATCACTAGTTGGGATGGTATGCGTAGGCGCGAGGTTCGGAAATGCGAGGAAGTAGGGAAGGAGGAGCAGGCTGCCGTCCGCGCGTTCCAAACCGCCAAAGTGCTCGCGAGGGAGGAGGCGCATAGGGCGGAGGAGTCCGTCCTCGACGCCGTTAGTGGTCGGGGAAAGCGGAAGATCACCGATTACCTGTCCGATGACGCCCAAGCGGCCAAGGCGGCGGCGGACGAGGCTATTTGCCTCCTCTTTGCCGGCCTCCGCCTTCCCGAGCGCCATGCCGACCACCCGCTTTGGCGCAACGCCGTCCGGTCCATCGCGCGTGCGGGGGCCAGCTATGTGCCTCCAAAGCGTGACTACGTGGGTGGTGCCGGCTTGCAGCTATGCCGCAAGCGGATTGACGAGGGATTGACGGGCGTCATGTCGAGCTGGAAGCGCCACGGCGTGACGATTGCCAGCGACATGATGACCGACAAGTGTGGCAGGCCGCAGGCGAATGTGATGCTGGTCAATGACACCGGCGCAGTGTTCGTCGAGAGTATTGACTGCAAGATGGAGAAAAAGACCGGGGGATACATCGCCCGGCTCCTCCGGCCCATCCTGCAAAAGGTTGGGGTCGAGAACATCCTGGCATTCTGCACCGATGGCGGCAGCAACTACCACAGCGCCTGCCGGCTCCTCATTGCTGAGAATCCGCGCATCGAGCATGTGCCGTGTGCGACGCACGTGCTCGACCTCCTTATGGAGGATGTGGGACGGCAGGCTTAGGCCAAGGAGGTAGTGGGGCGGGCGAGCGAGCTCATCAACTACACCCGCAGCCACCATTGGACCCGACAGTATCTCAGGGATGTGGACGGAGGGAAGGGGCTGCAGATGCTGAGGCCGGCGGGGACCTGGTTTGGGACGCAGCACATTGCTGTGTCCCGCCTGGTGGAGTTGCGGTCAACGCTGGTGACCATGGTGCTCTGCGATGCATGGAAGGCGGAGTGGGCGGTGGGCCCAAAGAAGGCAGCTGCAGAGACATTCCACGACCAGATCATGGATAAGGACTGGTGGCCAGCGGCTGAGCTCTTCAAGAGGCTGCTCCTGCTCCCGTTCAAGGCCATGAGGGCGACGGATTCGGCAACGAAAGGGATGATGGGCCGCATCTATGAGCTGATGCTTGAGCTCACTGTGAATGTGGCAGAACTGCTGAAGGAGGAGGGGGGTGGGGTGCTGAGTGCGGGAGACAAGAAGGGCGTCAATGAGATTGTGAAGCGGCGTTGGGATGAGAGTATGGCTTGCCCACTGCACGTGGTCGGGCGGATTCTTAACCCGGTCAACCAGGAGGAGCGGATTTTTGGGCCGGACACGGAGTGCACCAATGTGTTCAAAGCTTTCATTGCCCGCCACTATGGCGGGGTGATGATTCCCCAGAGGGATGGCCTGCCCAAGCGTGCCACACTCCTCCTGCAGGAAGGGTTGGCCGCCTTTCTGAAGTTGAGGGGCAGCTTCGGCACGGCTGAGGCCATCAGTGACCGGAAGTTGGTGAAGGAAGGAAGTTATTCCATGGAGGCGTGGTGGGAGTGGCACGGCACTGACCACCCCTTGCTCATGGCCCTTGCTTGCCGAGTGCTAACTCAGCCGGTGTCTGCATCCAGCTGCGAGCGCAACTGGGCGGTGTGGGATACTGTCCATACCGCCCGACGCAACCGGCTGGGTTCAGAAAAGTGCAAGGATCTGGTTTACGTTGCGCACAACTGGAAGGTTGTGCACAACTGGCACATGGCCGACGAGGGGGCGGGGGTGGTGTCCGGTAACATCCCGGACGCCCCCGTCCCTGCGGGGTACAGGGTGGATCGGGAGGAGGAGGATGAGGAGGGCGAAGATGAGGAGCTGCTGGACGAGTACCTGTAGAGCAGAGCAGGAGAGGGTTAGGCGGGCGGTTTGGGGGAGGCTTACCTGAGATGGGTGGTTGGCTGGTTGTTGGAGTTTGGAACCCTTGACATGCCCTTGGTGGCTTGAACTATTTATTTATTACCATGCTAAATGATGCCACATTTGGTGGGGGGAATTTGGTGCTCTGAACCCCCCCTCTTCCCTCCCCAAACAGGTTTTTTTTACCCCTGCCCGAGTTGTTTTTATACCTGCCCGCCAGAGCGTATTTCCTAGCGTATCCAATCCCATAATGAAGCGTACAGCGTATATACGCTAGCGTATAATACGCTGGACGCGTATTTCTCCACTTAGCCGCATGGCTCAACCCTCGTATGGTGAAGTCAACCCTGTGTTTCAACCCCTCGCTTTCTCTATCCCCGTGCAGGCCTGAGCAGCTGCGGGGGTCGGACGCCTATGAGCTGGCAGCAACATACCGCATGGCGCTGGAAGCTGCCGGCGGCAGTAACGCTGCTGGTGCTGCTGGTGCTGCTGGTGCTGCGTGTGGTGGTCAGTCTGGTGTGAGCAGCAGCAGGGGTGAAGAGCACCAGACTGCACAAGTGGCTCAGGGAGCAGCAGGGGGAGCAGCAGGGGGAGCAGCAGGGGGGGCAGAGGCAGGTGGCGAGTTGCTGGAGACGCCGTGGGAGGAGCTGACTGTGGCACAGATGGAGCGAGTAAGCCACGAGGGGCACAGGGGAAGGAGAGAGTATAGAGGAGGGGGAGGGGGGGTAGGGGATGGGCGCTGTGCGGATGAGCAGAGGATGTGCGGATGAGCAGAGGATGTGCGCATATCCTATTTTCCTCTCTATTCTCTTCCTCTCTTCCACTCCTTCCCTCATCTTTCCTCCTCTCTTCCCCTCTCTCTTCTCCTCTCTCTTCCCCTTCTCTCTTCTCCTCTCTCTTCTCCTCTCTCTTCTCCTCTCTCTTCTCCTCTCTCTTCTCCTCTCTCTTCCCCTTCTCTCTTCTCCTCTCTCTTCTCCTCTCTCTTCTCCTCTCTCTTCTCCTCTCTCTTCTCCTCTCTCTTCTCCTCTCCCTTCTCCTCTCTCTTCTCCTCTCTCTTCTCCTCTCTCTTCTCCTCTCTCTTCTCCTCTCTCTTCTCCTCTCTCTTCTCCTCTCTCTTCTCCTCTCTCTTCTCCTCTCTCTTCTCCTCTCTCTTCTCCTCTCTCTTCTCCTCTCTCTTCTCCTCTCTCTTCTCCTCTCTCTTCTCCTCTCTCTTCTCCTCTCTCTTCTCCTCTCTCTTCTCCTCTCTCTTCTCCTCTCTCTTATCCTCTCTCTTCTCCTCTCTCTTCTCCTCTCACTTCTCCTCTCTCTTCTCCTCTCTCTTCTCCTCTCTCTTCTCCTCTCTCTTCTCCTCTCTCTTCTCCTCTCTCTTCTCCTCTCTCTTCCCCTCTCTCTTCCTCTCCTTTTCTTCCACTCTCCTCCTCTCGGCTCCTCCTATCCTCCGCCCCTCTGCACGAGTGTGCCTGCTGCCCCGCCTCCATCCAACACTTCCCTCCTCTTCCTCATTCTCCCCTCTGGGTGCCCTCTGTTCCTCTGTCACCTCCTCCATTCAGATGCTAGAGGAAACCAAGCGCCTCAGAGCAGCGAGCGAGCGAGTACTCCTATGCCCGCACACCGGCTGCCCTTCGCCCCTTCTGGCTCTCCGTCCTCTCCCCCCTGTCCGCCTCTCCATGCAGATGCTGGAGGAGACCAAGCGGCTGATAGCAGCCAGCGAGCAGGCCCACTTGTGTCCGCACACCGGCTGCCCGCGAAAGTTCCCCTGCGGCTCCCTTTACCCCTTCCGACTCTCCCCGCGCACCCCCCTGTCTGCCGTTCCTGTTGCAGATGCTGGAGGAGACCAAGCGGCTGATAGCAGCCAGCGAGCGGGCCCACCTGTGCCCGCACACGGGCTGCCCCAGAAAATTCGCCACGCCGGGCAGCCTGAAGGATCACCTGAACGAGCACAGCGGGCGGCGGCCGTACGAGTGCGCGGTGGCGGGGTGCGGCGAGCGCATGGCGACACGGCAGCTGCTGGGGCGGCATGTGAAGAAGCACGAGTGTGTGCACGCGTGTGCGGTGCCGGGGTGTGGGAAGCGGTTCGCCTTTAAGGAACGACTGGTGAGTGTGCGTCCAGCGAACGGCAGGTACTATCTCAGCTGCTGGGTCCGCATGTGAAGAAGCACGAGTGTGTGCACACGTGTACGGTGCCGGGGTGTGGGAAGGGAAGGGGGATGTGGTGGTCGGTGGGGCATGACTCGCTCGGGTGTAGGAATAGAGGGGATAGCGATAGAGGGGATAGCAATAGAGGGGATAGCGATGGAGGGGATAGCGATGGAGGGGATAGCGATATTTGGGATAGGGATATGAAGAAGCACGAGTGCGGGCACGCATGTGCGGTTCGCATTGAAGAACGAATGGTCAGTGGGACATGCAAGTCCAGCTGGAGTGCCGAGAGTCTCACTTGGATCCTCGCTTGGGCAAGATGGGCAGTTGGTGGACCGCACACTCACACTGCCTTCAACCGTGCCTGCCTGTACCACACTCACACTGCCTTCAACCGTGCCTGCCTGTTTCCCCCCACCAGGTGGTGCACCAGCGCACGCACAGCGAGGAGCGTCCCTTGCAGTGTCCGTGGGAGGGGTGTGTGAAGACGTTCAAGTGGACCAACTCGCTGCACGGCCACCTGCGCACGCACACGGGGGAGAAGCCCTTCCACTGCTCGTGGGTTGCTCACCCCCCTGCCATGCCCTTTCCGCTGCCATGCCCTTTCCACTGCCATGCCCTTTCCGCTGCCATGCCCTTTCCGCTGCCATGCCCTTTCCGCTGCCATGCCCTTTCCGCTGCCATGCCCTTTCCGCTGCCATGCCCTTTCCGCTGCCATGCCCTTTCCACTGCCATGCCCTTTCTGCAGCCATGCCCTTTCCGCTGCCATGCCCTTTCCGCTGCCATGCCCTTTCTGCAGCCATGCCCTTTTCACTGCCATGCCCTTTCCACTGCCATGCCTGTCCACGGCTCTTAAGTCACCCCAGCATGGCCCTGCTTAGAAATTCACACCCTTGCACACTGCAACCCACACACGCACCTCCCTGTGAACCATCGCTTCCCACCTTTCGGCTTCCCAACGCCCTCCCAAAAATGGCCTTCTTCCCTCGCTCCCCTCGTGCACCAGCAGCTTCACAGAGTGTGGGCATGCGTTAGCCTCAGCACCCCTTCCAATCTTGCCACACTCTCTCCCCTCCGCTCCCTCCCCCCTCTCCCTTCCCCTCCCCTCCCCCCCCCTCCCCCCCCTCCCCTCCCCTTCCCCCCCCTACCCTCCCCTCCCCTACCCTCCCCTCCCCTCCCCTACCCTACCCTCCCCTCTCCTCCCCTCCCCTCCCCTACCCTCCCCTCCCCTCCCCTCCCCTCCCCTCCCCTACCCTCCCCTCCCCTCCCCTCCCCTCCCCTACCCTCCCCTCCCCTCCTCCCCCCCCCTCCCCTCCCCTCCCCTCTTCTCTGCACCTGCAGCTGTACGGAGTGGAAGCGTGTGTGTGTGTACAAGGTGGATCACACACGGCAGCACCTGCTCACACATCTGCCCCCTCGGTCCCTCACTCCCTCCCTCACTCGCATCTCCTCGCTTGCTCTCTCACAGCTTTACGGAGTGTGGGCGAGCGTTCGGCTACAAGGTGGATCTCACACGGCACCTGCGCACGCACTACGGGCAGCCGGCGCGGTAGCACGCATGGCAGCACGCTAGCACATATTGGCACAGTAGCAGGCAGGCTATGGCGTGGCAGTGGCGGTGTGGTGGCACTTGCCGGCACTGTAGCAGGCATGGCATGGCAGTGGCAGTTGGGAGCTCACAGCCGAGAGAACAACGGACGGTTTACAGGCAAGCAGCATGGCATTTTTCATGAGTCAACGGTCCCAGTGTGAGACACCACATGATACTGGCCGGGCCAGGACGCCGTGGGGAATGAAGCGGGATAGCATGGCAGTGGCACTGTAGCAGCACCCATGAGTGGAACCCGGAGAAGCACTGCGAAGGAATGGTCTGTTTGAATTGTGAATGTAGGCCTTGCATTATTTCAGCACCTCATGTGGACAAGCGAGCATTGCTTTCCAAACCCTGTACTCCCATGGTTGTTTTGCAGGCTAGCCAACGCCAGCGTGCAGAAAAGTCGAAGGACTGCTTAAAAAAGGGGCGTTCCGAGAATTGAACTCGGGACCTCTCGCACCCTAAGCGAGAATCATGCCACTAGACCAAACGCCCACGTTTAAGTGCGTCGTAATAGATATTGATCAAAATAATTAATGGGCTGCCATTATGATAGGCTTCCGAGGTGTCAGTGGTTGAATGGCTTCCCCCATCTGCGGCGCACTGCCGCGGAATGCGCTTTGCGGTCCGCCGCTCGCCCCGACTCCCGCACGCCTTGAATCCCGCCGCACTCACACTCACATTCCCAGTCTCTGCCACACCCGCTCCCACAGCAGCACCACTAGGGGCCAATGTAGCGTGCCTATTAGGCGCCAACGCAGCACCATTTTGCCACGTGGTAGCTTGAGAGGCATGCCACGTGTCCGCCAACCTGGCGGCGCCTTCCACGTGCGCGCGTTCACGTCAGCAGCTGAATCGTCACCCTCTGACCCTGCCGCCCATCCGTCCCCTCTGTTCCTGGGATTCGATTTCGGCACGTCCGGGGCGCGTGCTGTCGTTATCGATGGCGAAGCAACCATTCTGGCTGACGTCAAGAGGAAGTACCCTCCACCCGTGCATGCTGACTCAGCAGCTGAGTCAGCTGCTGGCAGCAGCAGCGGCAGCGACCTGGACAGTGACGTGTCAGCAGCGGAGGGGTGGCGGGCGGCGTTGTTTAGACTGTTGCGTGAGATTCCCGAGGAGCTGAGGCGGCGAGTAGCGGCAGTGTCTCTGGACGGCACGTCGGCCACCACCATGGTGGTGAGCAGGTGAGTCATTCCTTGTAGGCACGCATACAGTGGTGGCATGGGGGCATGGGGGCATGGGGGCATGCGGCCATTGGGGCATGGGGGCATGGGGGCATGGGGGCATTGGGATTGGGGCATGGGGGCATGGGGCCATGCGGCCATGGGGGCATGCGGCCATGGGGCCATGGGGCCATGGGGGCATGGGGGCATGGGGGCATGGGGGCATGGGGGCATTGGGGCATGGGGGCATGGGGGCATGCGGCCATGGGGCCATGGGGCCATGGGGCCATGGGGGCATGGGGGCATGGGGGCATTGGGGCATTGGGGCATGGGGGCAAGGGGCCATGCGGCCATGCGGCCATGGGGGCATGGGGGCATGGGGGCATGCGGCCATGCGGCCATGGGGGCATGGGGGCATGGGGGCATGGGGCCATGCGGCCATGCGGCCATGGGGGCATGGGGGCATGGGGGCATGCGGGCATGCGGCCATGCGGGCATGGGGGCATGGGGGCATGGGGGCATGGGGGCATGGGGGCATGGGGGCATGGGGCCATGCGGCCATGCGGCCATGGGGGCATGGGGGCATGGGGGCATGCGGCCATGGGGCCATGGGGCCATGGGGGCATGGAGGCATGGGGGCATGGGGGTGGGTGAGCGCCTTGTGGTGGTATGCTGCTGGTAGACCATGGAGGCGACTCAGCTGTGCCGCTGGACGGCACGTCTGCCACCCACCACCATGGTGCGGAGGTGAGGCATCACATCACAGGGGTGGTGGCAGGGGCGAGTCCCTATGGCACCATGGTGGGGTGCAGGTGAGAGGTGCGGGCGACATGGTGGCATGGGGACTTGTTGCTGTCTGGGTGCATTGCCTTGTGATGACATAGGTGGCATGGGGATATGGGTACAGCATGGCATGGGGCTGGATACGGTGCAATGCGGTGTAACGTGGTGAATGTGGCATGGTTCAGAGGCCTTTGTGGTTGTGACCTCTGCGTGTCCATGTCTCTGTTTCTCTCCCCCCCTCCCACTCCCTCATCTCCCCCGTCTCTCACTCCCACTCACCAACCGGCCTTCCGACCCCTCATACACAACGAGGCACGCAGCCACAGGCCGTTGCTTGCCCTTCATGTACAACGGCCCAGAGGCCCTTGCCCCCCCAACAATCTCCCCGCTCCTCAGGTCCACCGGCCAGCTGGTCTTCACGCCCCTCATGCACAACGAGGCATGCACCCCACAGGCCGTGCCTCCCAACCATCTTCCCCCTCCCTCCCCTCCTTTCTCACTCCCACTGGCTTGCCACTCTCCTCCTCCTCTCCTCTCCTCTCCTCCTCCTCTCCTCCTCTTTTCAGCTCCACGTTCGAGCCGGTGTTCAGGCCCATTATGCACAACGAGGCACGCAACCCACAGGACGTGGCTCCCACATGTCTTCCCTCCTCCCCAACCTCCTCACTCTCACCGGCTTACCACTCTCTCCCCTTGCCTCAGCTCCACACCACACACTAATCGGACTTGAAGCCCATGATGTGCAACAAGGCAGGCAGCCTGGAGGTCGTGGCTGACCAACCCTCTCTGCCCCTTCTCCCGCGTGCTCTCCCCCTGCCTCAGCTCCACGTTCGAGCCGGTGATCAAGCCCATGATGTACAACGAGGCAGGCACCCCAGAGGCCGTGGCTGCAGTGGCGGTGGTGGCGCCGGCCAATCACACGGCGACAGCTGGCACATCCACGCTGTGCAAGCTGATGACGTGGTGGCTGAAGCGGGGGGAGGGGGGGAGTGGGGAAGGGGAGAGAGGTGGGGGAGGGGAGGTGGTGATGGTGCATCAGGCGGACTGGCTGCTGGGGCAGCTGTGTGGGGGAGGCACAGACGGGCATGTCACTGACTTCAACAACGCGCTCAAGGTGGGATGGCCATGAGGGTGGGGACGGTCCCAATAGGTGAACCCAGTCTCATCGCGAGGGAGCAGGTGCTGGTGGTGGTGGTGGTGGTGGTGGTGGTGGTGGTTGTGGTTGTGGTGGTGGTGGCGGTGGCGGTGGCGGTGGCGGTGGCGGTGGCGGTGGCGGTGGCGGTGGCGGTGGTGGTGGCGGTGGCGGTGGCGGTGCTGGTGCTGGTGCATCAGGCGGACTGGCTGCTGGGGCAGGTATGCGGGGGAGGCACCGATATGCACCGACGTGCATGCATGGCAGTGACTTGAACAACGCGCCCAAGGTGGGGTGGTGCTTGCTGCTGGGGCAGCTGTGCGGGGTAGCGGACGGGCATGGCACTGACTTCAACAACGCACTCATGGTGGGTTCGACACTCGAGATAAGGCCACCACGAGTAGGGCATCTTGAGAATTTTCAAACACGCCTACCAGTTGCAGCCTGCAGCATGTCCCCGATGCCCCTATGTCGTCTCCTCACCCCGATGCCCCCCTGCTCTTCCCTTGCTCCCCCTACCCTCACCAGATGGAGTGTGATCCACACAACCCCCCCTCCCACCCTCTTTTCTGGGCCATGCCCCATGCACTTCCGCCCCTTGTGCCACTCTACCCATCTTTCATCTGCCCCATCCCTTGCCCCCCTCTGCCCCCTCTTCCCACTTCCCCCTTCCCCCTTCCCCCTTCCCTCTTCCCGTTTCTCCCCTGCCTGCACACCCTGCTGCCCCCACCAGCTGACTTTTGAGTCGACTTAAAAGTTTTTCCCCTGCCTGCACACCCTGCTGCCCCCACCAGCTGACTTTTGAGTCGACTTAAAAGTTTTTCCCCTGCCTGCACACCCTGCTGCCCCCACCAGCTGACTTTTGAGTCGACTTAAAAGTTTTTCCCCTGCCTGCACACCCTGCTGCCCCCACCAGCTGGGCTACGACCCTGAGAGCGAGGCCTACCCCGACTGGCTGCTGGCGCTGCCCCTCGCACACATGCTGCCACGAGTGCTGGCGCCGGGGGGGGTGATTGGGACCGTGTCCGCACGAGTCACCGAGGAGTTTGGTGAGTCATGCTGTAATGCTGTAGCGGTGGCATGCTGGCGTGTGAAGTGATCCACAGCCGACTGGCACAATATGTGTTGATCATTTCACACATATACCTATTGTCTTGTAGCACGCACACGGTGAGAAGTTATTAGTTGTTTAAATATGTTATTTGTTGGGCTTGTCAACAGCTCAATCTCCCTGCTCCCCTCTCCGCTGTCGGTGTTTTTTATTGCGAGAAGTTATTTGCTGAGAATTCTCAAAAGTCAGCAGCATACACAAACTACCTGCTCCTCATGCCTGTTTCCCTCTCCCATGCAGCCCTCCCCACTGATTTGTTTTCTGTTGCAGCATTCACCAGCACACACTCTACCCACTCCTCCTTGCCCCCCCTCTCCCCTGCAGCCCTCCCCCTTGACTGTATCATCACCACCGGCACCACCGACAGCATAGCCGCCTTTCTTGCCGCGAGGGTAACTACCCCCGGGGATGCGGTGACCTCCCTCGGCTCTACCCTCGCTGTCAAGCTCGTCAGCACCGCCCGCATCGACGACGCCCGCTTCGGCGTATACAGCCACCGCTTGCCGCCTGGTGATTGGGCCCCGCCCGGAGTGCAGACCGGGGAGGAGATGGAGCACGGAGGCGGGGGTGCAAAAGAAGACAAGGAGTGCAAGTGGCTGGTGGGCGGCGCGTCGAATACGGGCGGTGCAGTGCTGCGGGAGTATTTTACAGACGAGGAGCTAAGGGAGCTGAGTGCGAAAATAGACCCGAAAATAGAGTGTAAACTTGATTATTACCCACTCACACGGCCTGGGGAGAGGTTCCCCGTCTCCAACCCTGACTTGCAGCCTCGGTGAGCGTTCTGGCTTGGATCCAAACCTAGCCTGTATGGATGGTAAGGCGGGCTGGTTGCATGGTCCGGAGGGGCTGGTTGCATGCGTAGGGCAGCCCGTTGCATGTTGGTTACAGGCAAAAGGGGTTAATTGTCACGAGCAACACTCCATGCATGTCTCGGAGCATTGCCTTCCGCCCTTTCACCCCTCCCTTCTGCTCTAGGACCGCTCCTTGCCACTCTAGGACCAGCCCCTTCCCTCATATCCTGTGTCCTCCTACCCAGTGCTCGATCTCCGTGGTAGAGCCCGGTGCTGGAGCCCGGAGCTACAGCCCGGTGCTAGAGCCCGGTTCTTGAGCCTGGTGCTAGAGCCTGGTGGTTGAGCCCGGTGCCAGAGCTTGGTGCTACAGCCTGGAGCTACAGCCCGGTGTTAGAGCCCGCCCGGTGCTACAGCCCGGTGCTACAGCCCGGTGCTAGAGCAGTGTTAGAGCCTGGTGGTAGAGCCCGGTGCTACAGCCCGTTTCTACAGCCCGGTGCTAGAGCCCGGTGCTAGAGCCCAGTGCTAGAGCCCGGTGCTACAGCCCGGTGGTAGAGCCTGGTGCTAGAGCTTCGTGGGTGTCCATATGCCTTGCCTGTACTCTCCTTCTTCTTAATACAACGGACCAATTAAGGATTGAGCCCCGTGGTGCTAGCTTTCCGGAGGTGGCAGCTGCCCGATCCCAATAGCCCGATCCAGCGCCCACCGCCTTCCATGCCATTGTTGCCATGATTTATGCACGAAGTTGCATTCGATGCTCAAGTAGTACAAACACAAAGCCCATCCCTCCCTTCTCTTCCCTTCCAGCCTTGCTTGTCTTGTCTTACCTCTCTTGCATTGAGGGCTTACCTCTCGGGCTCTCCCTCCTTCTCCTCACTCCCCTCCTTCTCCTCACTCCCCTCCCAGCCTCTCTCCCCGCCCCGCTGACGACTCGGTCTTTCTGCACGGCATTCTCGAATCCATCGCCACCATCGAGGTGCGCCCTCTCTTGCTGCCCATCTCCCCTCTCTTGCTGCCCATCTCCCCCCTCTTGCTGCCCATCTCCCCTCTCTTTCTGCCCATCTCCCCTCTCTTGCTGCCCATCTCCCCTCTCGTGCTGCCCATCTCCCCTCTCTTGCTGCCCATCTCCCCTCTCTTGCTGCCCATCTCCCCTCTCTTGCTGCCCATCTCCCCTCTCTTGCTGCCCATCGCCCCTCTCGTGCTGCCCATCGCCCCTCTCTTGCTGCCCATCTCCCCTCTCTTGCTGCCCATCTCCCCTCTCTTGCTGCCCATCTCCCCTCTCTTGCTGCCCATCTCCCCTCTCTTGCTGCCCATCTCCCCCCTCTTGCTGCCCATCTCCCCTCTCTTTCTGCCCATCTCCCCTCTCTTGCTGCCCATCTCCCCTCTCGTGCTGCCCATCTCCCCTCTCTTGCTGCCCATCTCCCCTCTCTTGCTGCCCATCTCCCCTCTCTTGCTGCCCATCTCCCCTCTCTTGCTGCCCATCTCCCCTCTCTTGCTGCCCATCTCCCCTCTCGTGCTGCCCATCGCCCCTCTCTTGCTGCCCATCTCCCCTCTCTTGCTGCCCATCTCCCCTCTCTTGCTGCCCATCTCCCCTCTCTTGCTGCCCATCTCCCCTCTCTTGCTGCCCATCCCCTCTCTTGCGGCCCATCTCCCCTCTCTTTCTGCCCATCTCCCCTCTCTTGCTGCCCATCTCCCCTCTCTTGCTGCCCATCTCCCCTCTCTTGCTGCCCATCTCCCCTCTCTTGCTGCCCATCTCCCCTCTCTTGCTGCCCATCTCCCCTCTCTTGCTGCCCATCTACCCTCTCTTGCTGCCCATCTCCCCTCTCTTGCTGCCCATCTCCCCTCTCTTGCTGCCCATCTCCCCTCTCTTGCTGCCCATCTCCCCTCTCTTGCTGCCCATCTCCCCTCTCTTGCTGCCCATCTCCCCTCTCTTGCTGCCCATCTCCCCTCTCTTGCTGCCCATCTCCCCTCTCTTGCTGCCCATCTGCCCTCTCTTCCTACACGGCATTGCCAGTTGCCCCATTCGTGAATCCATCGCCACCATAGAGGTGTACAGTGAACCCTCTCCTCTTTAATGCCCGGGTCCCTCTGTCTATTTCCAAGGCGCCTCAAAAGTAGACTCCTCGCGTCATTCGTGGCTCCATCGCCGCCATGGGTGTTCGGTATACCCCCTCCCCTCCTCCTTTATGCCCGGGTCCTTCCCTCTGTGCTCCTGTGCCCCTACAGCCAAGCACACTCTCACATTTTTCGGCGCTCCTACATGGATCCCTGTGTCTTACACTGCATGCACGCATGTGCCATCACACCCACATGGGCAATGCAACTCTCCCAACCAACTCCCGCCACCAGGCACGAGCATACTCGTTATTAGCTGACCTGGGCGCATCGCCAGTGCAGCGGGTGTACACAGCAGGAGGGGGAGCAGGCAACCCTGTATGGACAGCCATAAGGGGGAGGGTGATGGGAGTGCCTGTGGCCCCTTCAGACAACACCGATGCTGCGTTTGGGTCGGCACTGCTTGCTAGGGAAGGGTTCGTGAGACATAAAAAGGGCACAAGGCTAGTCAAGTGAATTGAATGCAGTAGTTTCTGCTCTATTTTGAGCAGCAGGGGGAGCAGGCAACCCCACTTGGACAGCCATACAGAGAGTGAAGGGAATGCCTGCGGCCGCTGTGGACAATACCAATGCTGCGTTTTGGTCACCACAATTTGCTAGCTAAGAGACACTGCAAACATGTAACAGGGTATGGCTTGAGTTTTGAAGTTTGGAGAAAGCCTTAACGCAAGCATGAGATGGCTTGTCACCTCAAGTTGTAGGGATTCGAATTGAACCATAGGGGGTACAATTTCGCCAAGAAGAAAGAAATGCCACCACCTACTCGCGCGCCAAAAGCTCCGCGCGTCGACAACCAGCCCCCGGCACCGACTCCCGCACTCACCAATCGCACCGACAAACGCTACCACGCTCGCAAGCCTGCGCGAAAAACACCCCCAGGCTGAGGGCGACATTCCAGCGCACCTGCGAGGGGCAACCGACAGTACACTCCAAATCGGACATGCTGCATTTCGAAAAGTGCTGGGAAAATGCCAGCGTGGCATCGGGGGTGGGCCCTCGGGCATGTGCTTCGAGCACCTGCGTTATCCGGCACTCTCCAACCCCCAGGTTCTGAACCTTCTGCTTCATGCCGTCAACCTGGTGATTGGAGGCAGAGTGTCGCCACGCATACGCCAACTACTGCTGCCCGGCAAATTAATTGCTCTACGCAAGCCGGGCGGAGGAGTCCGGCCAATAGCCATTGGGGAAGCCTACCTGCGTGTGGTGGCAATGGCAGCGCTACAGGAATCGGCGACGGCAGTTCGCGCGTTCTTCCTGCCATACCAATTCGGCGTGGCGGTCTCAGGGGGAGCGGAGTGCGTAATCCACGTAGTGCGAACACTGCTGCAAGCCTTCCCTGGGCACATCGTCCTTCAGCTGGACATCGCCAACGCATTCAACAGCGTGCATCGCCACTACCTCCTCCAGACCCTGCAGTGGAGCCCGCTTGCACCTCTCATGCCACTCGCACTCACCCTCTACGGCACACCGGCACCCCTCCTCCTGGACGCCGCCTTCCCCAGCACCACGATCACAAGCAGCAGGGGGGTCCGCCAAGGGGACCCACTGGGTCCCCTCCTCTTCGCCGCTGCCATCCAGCCCGTTCTAGCGGAAGTGGCAAACCGGTTCCCGGAGGTTGCTGTCCTGGCATACGCGGACGACATCACCATCGTCGGCCCACTGGCAGCGGCGGCCCGGGCCTTCCAGCTCCTACAAACAGGCCTACAGGACTGCGGCTTGCAGTGCTCCCTCGCAAAATCAGTGGGCTGGTCCCCTACCACGGAGAGCCTCAACCAACTCCCGCAAGGGGTGACACGGGCGGAGGGCGGGCTCCGTATCCTCGGGAGCCCCATCGGCGGGACGGAGTTCGGCAGAGCCCACCTGCAGGAAGAACTGGCCAAGGCAGCAAGTCCCCTACCCCGGTTGGAGGAGCTCCACCCCCAGCACTCTCTCCTCCTCCTCTCCCGATGCGTCTCACGGCGGGCCTCCTTCCTCCTGCGCTCCACTCCGGCCGACCAACTGCCTATGGAACACTGGAGGGACTGGAGTGAAAGCCTGGTGCGGACAGCCCTGGCAGCAGCCAACATTCAAGCACCAAGGGGTGAGCTGGAGTGGAGCCTCACCTGGCGACAAGCAACGCTGCCAGTCGTCCTCGGAGGCCTCGGCATCGCCGACCCCACCTCGGAAGCCACGGCTGCATACCTGGCCTCCACGATAGCAGCGGCACGCCTCCTGGCTGACATGCACCTACCGGACGGACTCCTCCGAGAGGCACAACACCTACTGGGAGCTGGAGGGGAAGGCGACCTGCCACTTCACTCTACAGTGCGGGACATGGAATCCCGTCTGCCTGAGGCGGCTAGGCTGACCCTGGCGGAGGCCAGAAATTCACCCATGAAGGGCCCCCTCCAACACCAACTCAGCCTCGACATCAACACACAGCGAGCGGAGGAACTCTTCGCAGACACACTGCTGGACCGCCCCGGCCTGGAGAACGCCCACGGCACTCGCCTAACTAGCCTACGAGGCACGAGGGCCGGCGACTGGCTGCTGGCCATCCCCTCCCGACCAGACCTCTGCCTGTCCCCAGCCCAGTTTGGTACGGCCCTGGCTTTCCGCCCTGGCCTGCCCCAGTCGGTCCCGGGCGGCTGCTCCTGTCGGCGTGCTGAGATCACGGACCCAAGCCTCCCGAACCACATCCTTCGCTGTAACGAGGGCGGTTACCCAAAAAACCTCCACAACTCCCTCGTGTATGCGACGCTACGCATGGCACGCGAAGCAAAGTTCAGCGTGTACCATGAGACCATCCAGTTCACAACGCCAACCAACAGGAAGAGGGCCGACCTGGCAGTCCGGGACTGCGAGAGTGGGGCAACGTGGGTGACGGACGTCACAGTCACCGACCCGGTGCTCCAGCGCCGGGACCTTGACGCCGGGGGCCTCCCAGGGTGGGCGGCAAGGGAAGCGGCTCGAGCAAAGGAGAGGGACTACGAGGACCGGCCAGCCTGGGTGGGCTTCTATGCCTTGGCAGTGGAGACCTATGGGGCACTAGCTCCGTCCACCACACACCTCCTCAAGCTGCCGGCCGACCACGCAGCGTTGATGCGGTTCCGGGCCAACCCTCTGACCACGCCAGCCAAGAAGCTGCTCTCCCACTATCGGCAGCGGTGGGCAGTGCTCCTGCAGCGGCTACAGGCGGACACGCTCATTACCCGCAGCGGTATGGCTCTGGATGCTGCCTATCCCCAGCCCAGGACAGACCCCTGGGCACCTCACCTAGGGGATGTCTACGACACCTTAGACCTGGAAATGTCCTAGAGGCGGGATGGGGAGCCTGGGCTGGGGTGGGCTATGCGGTAATGTGTAGTTCTATACCCTAGGGTGGCTTGGCCTTTGTGCAGTTTGTACGCAGGTTCCATCAATGAGCAGGACCGCTTGAGAGAGAGAGAGAGAGAGAGAGAGAGAGAGAGAGAGAGAGAGAGAGAGAGAGAGAGAGAGAGATAGAGAGAGAGAGAGAGAGAGAGAGAGAGAGAGAGAGAGAGAGAGAGAGAGAGAGAGAGAGTAAAGTCAGGCTACCACCATGTCGAGATCCACCCTTCCGGTTGGAAGTTCTTGGGATTCCAGTTCGAAGGAGACTACTATTCCTTCATATCGCTCTCGTTCGGACTTGCCACTGCCCCGTTTGTCTTCATACAACGGATCAAACAACTGGCAAAGCGATGGCGGGCAAGCGGCGTGCGGGTTGTTCCATATGTCGACAAGTTATTATTCCTCTGCAACTCCCACTGGAATGGACGCTCGACCTGCGCAGCTGTCGTTCAGGACCTGAAGGCAGCAGGTTTGTTATAAACAGCAAAAAGTCACATCTACACCCCTCGCGCCAGATGGTTTTCCTCGGCCTGGAGATTGATGCCGCCCAAGGCACCTTCTCTGTCGGACTCGAACGTCGAGCAGAACTTTTTGCTTTAATCCAAGCCCTCATCACCCAGGGACAAGAGGGACGACCGGTTCTTATCCGGTCCCTTGCGAGAATCACAGGAGTGCTGGCCTCCATGAATCTGGCGTTGGGCACTACGGCACGTGCCTTTAGTTACGAGCTCCTTCAACTTATTGCCGACGCCAGCTCTTGGCAAGCCAAGGCACACTTGTCGTCGACAACAGTGCAGGAGCTGCATTTTTGGCTTGCGCAGTTCGACAAGTTCAATGGAACCCCATTCCATCAGTCACCAGTTCGGCCCCGTCATCCACGTCGATGCAAGCGCACACAGCCGGGGCGCCACCTTGACACAAATTCCCGGGACGCCCATTGAAGCTAGTGCTCGCATGCCCGAGGAACTACTGCCCACCTCCAGCACTCGACGGGAACTCGAAGGAGTCTAATGGGCTCTCCAAACTTTCACCGCCCGCATACCCAAGCGCCACGTGCTCGTTCGGGTAGACAATCAAGGGGTGGTATTCATCATGCGCAAAGGTGGATCGCGCCACCCCACGCTCACACTACTATGTCAAGCAATCATTCGTCTCTGCCTGGAACATCAGACAAGGCTAGCTATCGAATGGATCCCGCGAGAGCAGAATGCAGATGCCGACGAACTTTAAAAAATCCAAGACCACGATGACTACTCCCTCCAAGCCCCGTGGCTCCGGCTCTTGGATCGCCGCTTGGGTCCCCACTCTATCGATCTCTTTGCAAATGTGCACAACGCTCAACTGAAGAGGTTTTGCTCCAAGATTTCACACCCTACGGCCGTAGTGTTTGACGCGTTTTTGTTCAGCTGGCAGCACGAGCGCGGCTTCGCGTTTCCTCCTTCCAACCTCATTCCAGCCACATTACGACACGATAAACGCATACACGCTGAGGTGACCTTGGTTATTCCCGAGTGGCCAGGAGCATTATGGTGGCCACTCCTCTAACAAGCACCTGACGCCTGGGTGCCAGAAGTAACGACACACATTCCCCTCACCTACGGCAGCCAATGCCTCCGCCCCGGCACACATGCACTCGCTTTCCTCCTAGTCAGATGATTGCACTGCATGTTATATATAAAATTAATAATAATTGTACTCTACGCTGTACCTTTTCAGGCATTATATCCAATCTGCAAATGCAACTACTACACGTAATCACCCATGTCTGTGCCCCTTCCACCATCCGAACATATGAGTCCTACTGGCTCAAATTTCACTCCTTCTGCATGAAGGTGAAGTTGAGCTACTGTACCTCCCTGCAACGAATATGACCTTGGCACTCTACCTCATTCATGCACTAAATCAACAGGCCACCACATCCGCCATATCGCTTACATGTTCCGCCGTCTCCTCGCATCGCATTACTGGCGAGCCCTCTCCCACGACTAGATCATTTACACTACAAGTGCGCGAATTTGCCAAACGCCATGGCCCGCGCCCCACCCGGAACAAGGAACCTTTGTCGCTCCACCAAGTGCACACTATGGCCCGCCCCTTTTTGGAGTCCATCCAGCCGGCCAAGTACCAGAAATGACTCATCCCCATCCTTATGTTTGCCGCCTTCCTACATTACTCCGACCTTGTCAGCCTCCAATGGCATGACATACAGTTTGAGCCTGAGGCGATGTGGCTGCTCATCCCGCACTCCAAGACCGACCAGGAAAGCAGGGGCACGTGGATTCCGGTCGCCGCCACTTCCGGCCTCGTACGCTGCACACGACACTTTCTTCTCCTCGCGGGTCACACCTCCACACCACACGGGCCATTGATCCGAGTCTTCGGGAACAGCGGTACAGCAACTCCACAGGACCACGCGCCTTCGTACACCACCATCCGAAACTGGTGCCTTGGAGCATTCACCAGGGCCGGCCTTGATAGCGCCCACCTCGGCACCCACTCCTTCCGCAAGGGTGCTGCTACAGCGGCAGCCAGCCTGGGGATACCCGACCGGCTGTTCAAGCGACTCGGCCGTTGGCGCAGCGATAACGCCAAGGAGCTCTACGTTGCCGTTGCGCATGACCATCTCCTTTAAGCCTCCACGCAACTCCAAGACGCAGCCACCGCCCCCACGCCCAATCAGTACCAGCTATCTATTGAACGCCACAGCGAACCCCTTCTGCACATGTCTCAGAAGACCCAGATGAAATGAAGCATGCTGCCTTTACAAGAGGACCTAAGCAAGCTTTCACAATATGATTTTTTTTTGTAACACTTTCTAAAAATGTGTATTGTGAGAGTGTAGCGAGGGCCAACGCAGCAAAGGCAGTGTCGAAGTGCTACTCACCCTCTTTTGCCTACAAAAGAGGGACGTGAAATGAAGCACGCTGCCTTTACAATAGGACCTGAGCAAGCTTTCACCATCCCAACAATTGTTGTGCACATATGGTTCCAACCAATGGGCGAGATACCATAGATTTCGAGCCAATTGGCTTGCAGCTACACATCTCTCAACCAATTGTACAAGCATGAATCTCTATCGGCAAGAAGATTCGGCTACTAGAAGGTGTATATGATTCAAATCTAAGGTAGAGCTAAACGCTATTTATAAAGGTTTTTTTTTTAGCGTAGTTTAGGGGGTGCATAAGCAGATCAAATCGTGACGTTGCGTGAAGCGGCGTCCCTTTACCGAAGCCTGGATCTTCACCGTTCTGGAAACGTTAGCCACCGTGCTTAACCCATTTCACCCCCGTGGAATTCGCTTGGTTCAAATATCGCAGCAGACATCGAGGCTGCCACCTTGTGGCGATTAGGCGATTATTGGAGTCAACCAGATTTCCTTGAAATTCCCGTCCTTATTCTCGAGATGTCACCTCGCCAGCCTTACTAGAGCTCCTGTTGTTCGCGTGAGTTTCCGTGTGGTATTTTTGCTGAGCTTCTTGCTCCTAAGTTTCGCGTCGCGTCCCCAAATATGACGTCAGAAGCATCAAGCGCAACGCTGAAAGCTTTCTTCCGTGAAGGTTCCACTGAGGAGCGTGGGAATTCAGATCCTGCCGCTTGTGCCCATGGGAATTTCGCAGGGGATTCTCCAGGCGACGATCAGGGGACATCGGAAGAGAACTTGGAGGAATACCATGATGTTCCTTTAGCGGAGGGGACTGTAACTGAAAACGCAATAGGGGATCTTGCAAGACGCGGTCCAGGAGCGACAGGACCGCCGAGACGCGACGACGCGATGTCTCCTGGTGTGACTGAAAGTGCTGCTGTTTCCTATCAGCCAATCTTCTCTACGCCAACGCCAGCAGCAGCTACGCCGGATGGAGTAGCAGCAGCAGCCATGCCGAATGTTATTCCGAATGGAGTACATTCTGCCGCTCCTGGATCAGGTTTCATCCGGGCAGGTACACCTGCCACGTCAGCACCGCCAGCATCATCATCATCAGCAGCAGCAGCAGCATTGCAACCATCCCCACCCACTGCGAATTCCTTATCCCCGATACTAGCTGCCGCGTTTTCACTATTCCCTTCGTCGTCGTTTGCAGAAGAGCTCCCATCGCCGCTATCACCCCCGGATCTGTCACCTCCGCTTTCCCCCTCCGCGCAGCCACAGGAGCAGCGGGAAGTGGGGCTGGAGGCACCAGGGGGGGTTATTGGGGAAAACGGGGGAAGGGAAAGGGGAGCAGGCGCAGAAACGGGGGGAGGGGGAAGAGTGGGAGTCGTAGGGAGCGGGGAAGGGGGAAGGAATGCGGGTGTAGAGGCGGGAGCGGGAAGAGGGGAGGCAGGGGGGGAGATATTGGAGGTTGAGTGGGGGTCAGGGGAGGCGGCGTCTGGGCAGGTGGCATCCGGGCATGTGTTTTGGTCGGCTGCAATGGCAGCAACAGACCCCCTGGAGAGCGTTCAGTGTCCCAATTCTGATGTGGAGCAGGTAGGGGTAGGATGGCTGCAAACAGGGTAGAGTGTCCCTTCTACCTCAAATTGCTACTATGTATTGGTCAGCCAACCCTCGAATCGTTTCCTGCTCTGCTTGCTCGTCCCAGCACAGTCCAATCTCTTCCCCTCTTTGCTATCTCAAGTTCCTGACCAGACAACCATTTTCCTCCTGTGCTGTTGTTCCCGCCTTTTAATCCTCTTACAAATGTCACTCCTTCCCTCGTTTTCATCCCCTTGTTCTCCCTGTCAGGTCCGAGCAGTGGCTTCCAGCCTGCTTCCCGCCATAGCAGCGGCCACAATCGACCAACTCGAGAGCTCCATGAGCCTCTTCTCCTCCCCGCCGTCGCCCTTGGAAGCAGCAGAGGCAGTCAAAGGCGAGCTCCTCACGTTCCTAGACTCTCGCACTAAGGGCCTTACTGCCGCCGCTGCCGCTGCTGCTGTTACTGCTCTTAATGTAACTTCTGCTGCTGGTGTTACGGAGGCAATGACTGGGGCATGGCATGGGCATGGGGGGGGCCGAGGAGAGCGGGGAGAAGAAGAGGGTTCCGGAGGGGCAGGAGGAAGAGGAGGGGCTGTAGAGGGAGGACTGGAGGCTGCAACACACATAACAAGCGGAGAAGCCTCGTCATCAGCAGTGCGGGTGCAGCAGGGTGGAGAAGAGAAGGAGCCTTGTAACACCGTTGCAGTTACTGCCGTTCAGTCTCTTCTAGACGAGTTTGTCGCCCAACGCCAGAGCTTGCTGACTCGCTTCTCGTCGGCCTTCAGGCGGGCCGAGCACACCGAAGACAAGGTGGCATCGCTGGCTCAGGAGCTGGAAGAGTCTGAACTGCTTGACAAGGCTTTAAGAATCAATCTTGCGCAATCGCTCATTCGCCGCGTTGATGCTGCGGGCACCGCGCACTGTACGGCGCAGTTCGGCACCGTGGCAGGGTTAGAATCGCACCGACGCCAGTGCCCGTTCGATGAAGTCCCGTGTGCGAACACGCCCTGCTGGGAGCGGGTGTCGCGCTACAGGATGCCCATACACGATAAAAGATGCCCCCTTAAGATGCTTCCGTGCAGGCAGGGGTGTAGGCTAAAGATAGCACGAGCCGGTATGGAGAGGCACTGTGCCACTGACTGTGGGATGAAGTCGGTTTCGTGCCCGTACGCGCCCATGGGGTGCTCTCTGCCTCTGCTGCAGAAGGACGTGGCGAGGCACTGCAGGGAACGGGTGGAAGGGCACCTGCGGGCGGCGTGCCAGCTGGTGGTGGAGATGCGGCAGGAGGGGCAGGTGATGGAGAGAAGGCTTGACATGTTGGAAAAGGTGAGATCTCTGCATGCCTAGAATTGAGGTGTCTTTTGAGCTGACTCTTATGCCACCTGAGGGCGGCATGCCAGCTGGTGGTGGAGAAGGTGAGAATATTGGATGCCTCGAATCGGCCGCTTAGAAGTTTCATCATCTCTCCAATGTTTCCTTCTTCCAGCAGCCCCCCACAATCCGAATTCTCTGTGCTCATACACATCCCAAATTGTTTCTGCTGTACACCACTTCCCCCTCTCCCCCTTCTCTCCCTCTTTCACTTGCTCTCCTGTGCATGCTTTCAATCCCTCCTAACCCCCCCCCCCCCCCCCCTCTCTTCACCCATCGTCCCTGCCAGTCTATATCCCTTACAGAGAGACTAGGGAAGGTGGAGCATGAGGCGTTGCGGAAGGAGCTTCAAGCATCAAACAAGAAAGTCACGTCGTTGGAGCAAGAATTGAGTAGGGTGCGTGCAGAAGCTAGAGGCGCCACATCCCTGAAGAAGGAGTTGGTTATGCTACAAGAGCAGTTGAAAAAGATGCAACCTTCTATGAGGAGAACAGGGTGGTGAAATACTTGTGAGGAACTTATCTGTATATATGATGGTGTTTTGTCATTCTTGGCTGTTGTGGTGGCAAGGTTCCTCAATGTTTCCTTAGCGAGGCAAGCAAAGGTGCATTTCTGCCTGCCTATTTTGTCGCACGCGCGGGGAAGAAGATCCACTTCATTTGTTGGCCTGATTGGGTCTGACCTTTTCGGTCGGCAAGATCTGTGGAGGAGATCCCGCCGAACCCACATGAGCTGACTCTGATGACACGCTTGGTAGACTTCACGTGGATACAGTCACACCAGCGTCATTGCTCCCGCAGCTCACCCTAAAAGCAGGCCCTAAAGCGGCTATGCTGACTTGGATCCTATCTGTTTTTGGTCAGGAAGCAACTTCGGCAACTCCCAAATCGGGGGCAACTCGAGATTCGCATGCCCTGTAAACCCCAATACTTTGGTAAACAAATGCTTACAGGGTGAGAGGGAAGCCTAAATCATATAAACAAATGCTATGGACTGATGGTGAAAGTGCGGCTTTTCCGGGTAGCTACACTTTCGGAAAAAGTTTTGGAAGTGCAGCTTTTCCCAATGGGCGCCGTTGCATTACCCCGCACGCACGCGCTCCCGAAATCTAGCTCCATGCCAAACACGCGCCGCCTGTGATGGCATGCCACGCATGCGACACGCTAGAATGAATGGAAGCTCAAATTCCCTCCCGCTCCATTCGCCGCACTTAGCTGGGGCCTTTTCTCCCACTGGCGCTTACCTGCCCCGCTGTCCTCCCCTCCAATAGCCTCTTTCTCCTCGAGTTCCCCCAAACCGTACCTCCTCTCTTATCTCGCGTTCCCTCGTGCTTTGTCTCCTATGTGGAGCTTCGCACGCCATTCAGATAGGGTTTGCTTTAGCTGTAACAGTGCCATTTGGTGGAGCGCACGAGTCAACTGCCTTCTCTCACAACCGCTTCTTGACGCCATAGCTAGCTAGTCAATGTTGGTGAGCGAGTTATCCGTAGGTTGACTGCCGCGTTTTCCTGTACATAAAGCGGTAATTCTGAGTTCAGTAGGTCCCTTTTACTTAGCCTAGACCTTGTGTGGGACTGAACTCCTTTTTACCAGCCAAACATCCTACAATTTTGCCGTTGTTACTCCTGGTCGGAGTATTCATCGCGCGAGCCACCGCCTCGTCAAGATTGTCGCCTTCGTTTTCCCTGACCTCACTGCGACACATTTTTCCGCCATAGCGCGAGTCCGCACGGAAATACCAGCTTGATCATCCCAGTCACTCTTCCCCTTACACACTCAGCGATAATCCATCCTCAATTGTTGTTTTTTGGGCTTTTAACGGACGTTTTGAAAGCGACCCAGAGACGTATTCCGCTACCTCATCGTATTCCGTCAACGTCCATGTCGTCACCGTTAGTCCAATTCCCTTCCCGGACGCCTTCTGTACCTCCGGCTTTCGCGCCGGCCTTTCCGCTGGGGTACCACCCCCGTCCCCCTCGCCCTCTTGAGCCGACCAACGACTTTCTCGCGCTTTTCCAGCAGCGCGCAAAAGCCGCTGAGAGCGCGGCGCTCCGAGAGAAAGAGCTCCTCGAGGCGGCGGGCGAGGCGGAAGACGGCTCGAGCTTCGACGACGACGACTGGCCGGAATGGTCGCCGACGGCCGCGGACGACGGTAACGACGACGGCGCGTCGCAGGAGGACGAAGGATCGTCGCATAGTAGCAGCAGCAGCAGGAGCAGCGATAGCAGCGGTAGCAGCAGGGGCAACGACAGAAGGAGCAGGAGCAGGAGCAGGAGCAGAAACAGCGGTAGTATTTCGGACGACGATGGCCCTCACGAGATCCGGCATCTCCAGAGCGAGAACTGCGGCGAGTGCAATGTTAACGGAAACGGAAACGGTAACGGTAACGGTTACGGGGACACTTCAACCCCCGAGAAGCAGCAAGTCCTGGCGCGCCGAGCCAGCCGCGACCGGTGGAACCTGCAGCAGCTGCTGATCGCGGAGCGGCGAGCGCTCGGGCCGCCGGTGACGGGGTCGTACTTCTACCAGCGCGAGGACGCGGAGGGCAACAAGCCGCTGTTCTCGTTCGGCGTGATGACCGACGTGCAGTACGCCGATATCGATGATGGACACTCGTTCCTGGGGATCCCGAGGTTTTACCGGCACAGCCTGGAAGGTACGACATGATAGCTATCGAGTTTTCGGTTCTCAATGTTACGAGTACATGGCATGAATGACCGACATTTGCCGTGTTCGTTTTCTGTCGAAATGTTTGTGACGACCATAAGCGTTCATTCTGGTGTCACCTCACCAGTCTCTGTGTGGGATACCCGGTTTCTGTCTTGATTCTCGAGCTCTGTCTTGGTACCCGGTCGCTGCGTGCAGTGGTGAAGCAGGCGGTGCGCGACTGGAACCATGCGACGAATCAGATCTCCTTCGCCGTCCATTTTGGCGACCTCGTCGACGGGCTCTGCCCTCGCGACAAGTCGCGCAACGCTTTTCAAACGGTAATGCATCGTTGCTTCCCTTGCATCAGAACTCGGACTCTTATGGGAAACGTTTCAATGTTCCCCTTTCCTCAGTATCCTTCCTAATGTTTAATAGTTGTAGTTGAGCCTTGTTTTTCCCGCCATGCCTGTTCCGCAGTTTCTTTACGCGCTCAAATGGCCTCAATGCCGACTTCCCTTGCGTCCCTCCCTCTTTCGCATCTCTGCTGCTCTCTTCTGCTTGCCTCGATCTCTCCCCCTCCCTTCCATCCTCCCCATCGCAGGTTCTCGACGAGTTCGGCAAGCTATCCAGCGGGCCCGTCTACCACATGCTAGGTATGCCTCTCGCGCTGTCTCTCCGATCGTTTACATCTCTCTCTAGTGTGGGCTTATTGTTTTCTTCTCCAATGTTGTTGCAGTGCAATATTGGTGCGTCTTTGCTGGCAGAGTTCTGGCCGGAATTTAGGTCAGGTTAGAAGCGTCGACAGATCTATTCAATTTCTGAATCTTTTTACCTACCCACCCCTGCAGGCAACCACTGTCTCTACAACCTCCCTCGTAAGGCTCTGAACAAGCTCTTAGCCATGCCGCCGTCCCCCGACCATCGCTCCTACTACCATGTCTCCCCCTTCCCGGGCTTCCGCCTCGTCACCCTCGACCCGTACGACGTCAGCATGATCGGCTGGCCGTCCGGCCACCCGCACGCTGAGCTGGCGGCGGAGATTCTCGGGCGGCAGAACCCGAACGAGGAGAAGAACAGTCCGGAAGGGATGGTGGGGCTGCAGCGGCGGTTTCTGAAGTTCAATGGGGGAGTGAGCGAGGCACAGCTGGAGTGGCTGGAAGGGGTTCTTCAAGAGAGTGATTCCTGTGGGGAGACAGTGATTATTTGCTGCCATTTGCCTGTGGAGCCGAACGCTCTCCCCACTTCTACGTGCCTTATCTGGAACTATGATAAGGTTCTGGCGACCATTCAGCAGCACGACTGTGTGGTGGCGGTTATCTCGGGCCACGCGCACTTTGGAGCGTATACGTGTGATGACAAGGGCATTCACCACCGCATTCTTGAGGCGGTGAGTGGAGCGTTATTGGTTTCATGGTTACTCGGTTTCTTGCTACTCATATACGGCAATTCCTTGCTCCTCATTACCAATCAGCTGCCCTGCAGGCTGTATGCATGGATGTGTTAGTGTTTGATATCATATCTCATGCATCCATCCATCCATCCATCCCCAACTGTCCCACTGGCAGGCACTTGAATGTCCCATGGGCACGTCGGCATTCGGCCACATTGACGTGTACCCGGATCGCCTCTGCCTCATCGGCCATGATCGCATGATGAGCACACAGATGGTCTTCCACGACCGCCACATCAACCGCCACATCAGTGCTGACAGCTCACCTGCCTGCCACGTCAACAAGCCATTACATCAGCTGGTTAATGGCTCGGCCCTGGCATTGCCAGGGGTGGGAACGCCGAAGGGAACGCCGAAGGGAACGCCGAAGGGAACGCCAAAAGCGTCCCCTGTGCGTCGAGCCAACAAGGGGTGGCGCAGCGCGGTGGATACTGAGAGACCAGCCGAATCTCAAGTGAGATGTCCTGGAATCGAGGTGTAGCAGGAAGGAGTCTGCTGGACACTTAGGAGAGCCTGTTGGAAGGCTGCTGTTGGAAGGGAGCCACCATTTTCTGGCATGGACACTAAACACCCTAAGGCCCCATCAAAGTGGGCTTTTTTATGCAGGCTGCAGAGCAAGTGGGCCTATTTTTCTATGCCAGCGCTTTTTTAAGGGTGCTAGCTGCCCTGTGCGATTAAAAGTTTCCATGCTTCTAGTTTCCATTCTTTATATTTACTAGTTGGAAATGTCAATAGTTTATTTTGTTTTGACTTGCATGTTTGGATACATGGTGCTTCAGGGCAGAAGTTTAGCAAAACCCCTCGCCTGCCTGATGATGATCCAACCGAACAAGAAAAGCATCTGATAACGCGTTCTCACATAGGGAGCAAACTGAACTCACGCCAATTTCTACCAGGTTGGGCCATCCCTTGCCCTGCGAGCGACTGAGTCTGGTTTACCCTGTCAACTTATACATATTATCTATGTAGAAGTTATAGGCTAGACTGAGGTATGCTTCTAGTGAGTACAACCAACTAGTATTTGTTCTAGGTTTCCACCTCTAGTAAATCATTCGTTTCTACGTTAACATGGTATCACGCTTAGGTTAGGATCCCCCCGCCTACCGCTTCCGCCCGTCGCGCCTCCTAGGCCCCGTCGCGCCCCCTAGGCCCCGTCGCGCCCCCCCTGGGCCCCGTCGCGCTCGTTAGGCCCCGTCGCGCCCCCCCTGGGCCCCGTCGTGCCCGCTGGGCCCCGTCGCGCCTCCTAGGCCCCGTCGCGCTCCCCCTGGGCCCCGTCGCGCCCACTGGGTCCCGTCGCGACCCCTAGGCCCTAACTCGCCCCCGCTGGGCCCCGTTGCGCCTCCTAGGCCCCGTCGCGCCCCCCATGGGCCCCGTCGAGCCCGCTGAGCCCCGTCGTGCCTCCTAGGCATCGTCGCGCCTCCTAAGCCCCGTCGCGTCCCCCCCCTCTGGGCCCCGTCGCGCCCGTTCGGCCCCGTCGCGCCCCTCCTAGGCCCCGTCGCGCCCGCTGGGCCCCTTCGCGCTTCCTAGGCCCCGTCGCGCCTGCTAGGCCCCGTCGCGCCCCCCCTGGGCCCCGTCGCGCCCGTTAGGCCCCGTCGCGGCCCCCCTGGGCCCCGTCGTGCCCGCTGGTCCCCGTCGCGCCTCCTCGGCCCCGTCGCGCCCCCCCTGGGCCCCGTCGTGCCCGCTGGGCCCCGTCGCGCCCCTTAGGCCCCGTCGCGCCCGCTGGCCCCTGTCGCGCCTGCTGTTAGCGCTCGCCCGCCTGGCCTCCTCCTAGTGCCGCTCGGCCTCCTCCTAGTGCCGCCCGGCCTCCTCCTAGTGCCGCCCGGCCTCCTCCTAGTGCCGCCCGGCCCCTTCCTAGCGCCGCCCGGCCTCTCCTCAGCGCTGCCCGGCCCCTCCTCGTGCCCGACCGGCCCCAGCAGCACCAGCCTGGCCCCTCCCAGCACCAGCCCGGCCCTAGAGCACCTGCCCGCCTCCCCTGCTCGGCCTGCCGTGTCCTCTCGGGCCCTGTGTCTTCTGCTTGCCTGCGCTGGGACGCCTAGCTGCTGCCCTACTGGAGAGTGCTGCCGCCGTGTCCCCGCGCCGCTGTGCTCCTGTGCCGCTGAGGAGCTGTGCTGCTGTGCCGCTGTGTCGCTGAGGAGCTGTGCCGCTGACCCTGCACGATGGCTGACTTTGTGCTCCGCCTGGACGCTGAGGGCCACGCGGTTGACTTCGCCGCCTGGCTCTCCGATCTTCGCCGCCAGCTTACAGGTCAGCGCCAGGATGGCCACTCTCTGGTTGTCCATGCTGATGGCTTGCTCCCCCGTCCCCCTGCACCTACTCCCCTCCCTGCTGACCCCTCCTCTGATGACCGTGAGGCTTTCTCTACTGCTGCGCTAGCCTGTGCGGTCTGGGACTCACGCGATGCAGTAGCTCAGGTTGCTATTAGTCACGCCCTCCCTGTGTCTGAGCGCTCGCGTTTTGCTACTGTTGAAACGGCCAAAGCTTATTTAGACGCCGTTATTGCTCGCTATTCCACCCCTGCCTCCGCTTCTGCTGGCCGCTTGCTCTTTCCGATGCTGTTCCCAGACCTGGCTGCCTTCCCTACTGTCGCAGATTTTGCCACTCATTTGCGTGCCCTAGAGACTCGCTATCGCACTGCCAGCACTGCTGCCCAGCTCACTGCGCTCCCCCCTCCTTTCTGCATGACGCTCTATTTTATCGCTATGCGCCTGCCAGACCGCCTCGCTAGTGCTCGCGACCACTTTCTTAGCCAGCACCCGGGTGACCTCACCCTGACCGCCTTTGTCGACACCCTCACTGAGATCGAGACTCGCCAGCGCACTATCGCTCAGTCGAGCGGTGCGCCGGCAGTCTCTATCTTTCACGGTTGTGCCCCATCCCCGTGCACGTTCACTGACGTTTCGGCTGCGGTCGCCACGGCGACCCCTCTTACCGAGACGGCTGCTGCTGTCCACCCGCAGCAGCGCTCGCGTCGCGGTGGCCGTGGCCGCCAGGGAGGTAGGGGTGGTGACGCAGGTGGTAGTGGTCGTGGTGGTGGTGACGGTAGTCCGCCTGAGGGGACTACCACCGGTGGGCAGGAGCAGCAGTCCCAGCAGCAGCAGGACCAGCCCCAGCCGCAGCCGCCGTCCCAGCAGCACCCGCCGCAGCCGTGGGCTCGTCTCCCGCCTGGTTGGCCCGGCACCTCCGGAGGCGGTGGCCGTGGTGGCGGCCCGCGCAGCTTGGCGTCTACCAGCGGCTCCAGTGCTGTGACCTGCCAGTACCAGCTTCAGACCGGGCCTCTCCGCGGCACTCTGTGCCGCCGCCCGCACCCGACCGCCCACTGTTTCCGCCGCCTCGACGATCTTTTTCGTCGTCGCTTTGGCCCGGCCCCGGACCTCCCTGACTGGCACAGCCTGCTCCGCCAGGGCGTGCCGATCTTTGAGTTAGACATGGATCAGATAGGTGCTGCTTTGCATGCTTTGTATGCTGACGCTTCTAGTGTTGATGGATCTTACTACCATGTGTACTCTAGTTTAGGTGTTTCACCCTTGTGTAGCTTAGCTTCCCCTGCTGCGACAGGCGTAGGACTGCCTAGGTTGCCTAGTCTAGTCGCTGCACCGGCTCCGTCCGCGGCCTCCGCCACTGCGTCGCTGTCCTTCACTCTTGACTCTGGTGCTTCTGCCTGCTTCTTCCGCGACCGTTCCACGCTCACGCCGCTTGCTGCACCTGCTGTTGTCTCTCTCGCTGACCCCTCTGCGGGTCCGGTCGTCGCGCGCAGTTCTACATCCCTTCCCTGTCCGGCAGTTCCCTCGGGCTCCCTTACTGGCCTCCACGTTCCCTCGTTCTCCAGGAACCTGGTTGGTGTCGGCTGTCTCCAGGACCTCGGCGTCACCACCACGTTCCCCGGGCACGAGCGGTTCGCTGTCTGTTCTGAGGCTGTCTCCGGTTCCCCCCTTGCGACGTTCCCCCGGGACCCGGTGTCCGGTCTGTTTACCCTACACACCGCTTCCCCCCCGGTTGGTGCGTCCTCCCAGGTCGCTGCAGCTTGCTCGTGTCGGTCCCTCACTCACCCCTCCCTTCTCTGGCACCACCGCTTAGGTCACCCTGCTCTCCCGCGTCTGCGTCACATGTCCCAGCACGGTCTTGTCTTAGGTCTCCCCGCGTCGCTCCCTGCCCTTCCTCCCTCGACTGCGCCACCGTGCACGCCTTGCGTCGAGGGTCGGCTCCGCCGTGCTCCTCACTCCTCCTCGCTGCGTCCTGCTACTGCCCCCCTTCAGACCCTGCACTTGGACGTTTGGGGCCCTGCCCCCGTCCCCGGACCGCGCGGTGAGCCCTACTTCCTTGTGCTCGTTGACGACTACACGCGCTACACCACGGTGTTTCCCCTGGAGCGGAAGGCCGACGTGCCCGACGTTCTTCTCCCGTGGGTTGTAGCTGCGCGTCTCCACCGCGGTCTCCCCGTGTTGTGTCTCCACTCCGACCGTGGCGGCGAGTTCGCCTCTGGTCGGCTTGGACAGTTCTGTCGTGCGGAGGGCATCACCCAGTCGTACACGTTGCCGGACTCGCCACAGCAGAATGGGGTTGCTGAGCGCCGCATCGGCTTGGTCATGGAGGTCGCCCGTACCTCCATGATCCATGCCGATGCCCCCCATTTTCTGTGGCCGTTCGCTGTTCGCTACGCGGCTCACCAGCTTAACCTGTGGCCACGCTCCCAGCGGCCGCAGGTTTCGCCGACCCTCCTTTGGACCGGGTCCCCCGGTGACGCGTCTGCGTTCCACGTCTGGGGCTGCCTTGCTCACGTTCGTGCCTCTGGCACGGACAAGCTCACTGCCCGCACTGTCCCCTGTGTCTTCCTCGGTTTCCCCCTGGACTCGTCTGACTGGCTTTTCTACCACCCGCCGTCTCACCGCTTCCTCCACTCTCGTGACGTCACCTTTGACGAGTCCGTCTCCTTCTACCGCCGCTTCCCTCACCGAGGTCTCCCAGTTGCCCCCCCCCTTTTCCTTGCTCCCTCTCCCCCGGTAGCCCCTGCCCCTCTCCCGCCTCGTCCTGCCCCGTCTGGTGTCTCCCACGTCACTCCCCTCCCGTCGGTTGTCCCCGTTGAGGAGTCTGCTGACTCTGGTGGTACCCCCGGTCCGTCCTTGCCGCGTCCCCCTTCCCCAGTGCCTCCGCCCCCACTGTCGCAGTCGCCGACCCCGCTGCCGCCGCCGTCGCCGTCGCCGCCGCAGCCGTCGCCGCTGTCGCCGCCACTGCCGCCGCTGCTCTCGGCCCCTGGGGGTGCTGGTGTGGAGGAGGGTGTTCGTCCTGCGGCTTCTGGGGGTGCCGCTGGTGTTGGAGGGGGTTCTCGCTCTTGGGGTGTTGGTTCTGGGGGTGCTGCTCTTGAGTGTTCTGCCGACGGTCGTTCTGCCTCTGCTGGTCCGAGAGTTCCGGCCCAGCCGTCGTCGCCGCCACAGCAGCCGTCGCCGCCGGTTTCCGCTCTCCGCCTGCTCGGCCTTCCCTCCCCGGACCGCGCGCCGGTGTCTCCCCCACCGCCTCCTGACCTCCCTGTCTACGGTCCTGTGTTCCCGCCGCCAGACTCGTCTCCGGCCCGTCTTCCTCCTCGTTCCCCTCCTGTGTCTCCTCCGCTGTCCCCTGACCCTACCCCTCCGTCTCACGTTTGGGCTCGCCGTCCCTCCCGTGCTCGTCCCGTCTCTCCTGTCCTGCCCACCCACCCTATGTTGCTCCGTTCCCACTCGTCTCGTCCTCCCCTCCTCCCGTCCCCTCCTCCCTCGTCCCTTGCTGTTGCACCTCCTCCGTTCTCTGACTACCTCCGTGCTGCTCGTCCCCTTGTCCCTCGGGTCCTTGCCTCTCTTGTTACCGACACTGCTGTTCCTGTCTCGCGCCTTGACGCGCTTGTCGCTGCTGTCGCTGACTTCGCTTCTACCCGCCGCCTTGACTACGCTACCGCTCTGGTCTCTGACCCTGCCCGTCCTCTGTCCGTCGGGGGTGCTCCTGCCCTTGGCAGTGACGTCCTAGAGGACAGGCAGTACGAGCTGGCTTTCCTTTCCGAGGCTGCTCCCCATCTCTGCTCCATGCTGTTAGTCCCTGAGGGTGACCCAGACGCCTTCGACATCCCGACCCCTCGCACCTACGCTGAGGCCACCTCGGGACCTTGGGCCTCTCAGTGGATAGCTGCCATGGAGCAGGAGATGGCATCTTGGAGATCCACCGGCACCTACGTCGACGCAGTTCCCCCGCCTGGGGTGAACGTAGTCGATGGTCGGTGGCTCTTCAAGGTGAAGCGCCCCCCTGGAGAGCCGCCTGTCTTCAAGGCGCGCTACGTGGCCAGAGGTTTCAGTCAGCGCGAGGGGGTTGACTTCTTCCAGACCTTCGCCCCGACCCCGAAGATGACCACTCTTCGGGCGCTGCTACACGTAGCAGCACAGCGTGACTACGAGCTTCACTCTCTCGACTTCTCTACTGCCTTTCTTCAGGGCAGCCTACACGAGCAGGTCTACCTGCGCCGACCACAGGGCTTCACTGGTACCTTCCCTCCTGGGACCCAGTGGCTTCTCAGGCGCCCGGTCTACGGCCTGCGTCAGGCTCCCCGCGAGTGGCACGACACGCTACGTGCCACGTTAGCAGACCTGCAGTTCTTTCCGTCCTCTGCTGACCCTTCACTGTTTGTGCGTTCCGGCCAGACTCCGTTCTACATCCTTGTCTACGTAGACGACCTGGACTTCGCTACTCCTGACAGGGACGCACTGGCCTCTGTGAAGGCTGAGCTGCTGAAGAGACACACCTGCACTGACCTTGGAGAGCTGCGTCGCTATCTTGGCCTGCAGATCTCTAGGGACAGAGCAGCACGCACCATCACTCTGACCCAGTCACACTTGGTGCGTCAGGTCCTTCAGAGGTTCGGTCTTCAGTTCTCCTCCGCACAGCCCACACCTCTACCCGTAGACCATGGGCTCTCTGCTCCCGTTCCTGAGGAGCCAGTAGAGCCCAGTGGCCCCTACGCAGAGCTGGTGGGTTGCCTCATGTACCTGATGACTTGCACTCGCCCAGATCTCGCATACCCTCTCAGCATCCTGGCTCGCTTTGTGGCTACAGGCAGACACCGACCTCAGCACTGGTCTGCCGCTAAGAGGGTTTTGCGTTATCTTGCTAGTACATCAGGCATGGGGTTAGTGCTAGGAGGACGCAGGCCAGTGGTCCTTACTGGGCACACAGACGCTTCTTGGGCAGACGACGCTGAGACGCTCAGGTCGTCGCAGGGCTACTGTTTCAGCCTTGGTTCGGGTGCTATCTCTTGGAGATCCACTCGCTCGTCGTCTGTGGCTCAGTCTAGCTGTGAGGCTGAGATCTACGCTGGTGCCATGGCGGCACAGGAGCTCCGCTGGCTGACCTTCTTGCTCACAGACTTAGGTGAGCGGCCTAGCTCTGCCCCGGTCCTGTACGCTGACAACAGGGCCATGATACTCCTGTGTCAGGAGCCTCGGCTTGAGGGCAGAGCGAAGCATATCCAGCTGCGGTACTTCCTCCTGCGCGAGCTACAGCAGCGCCGCCAGGCCCGCGTAGTTCACTTGGCCTCAGGTGCCAACACAGCTGATATCTTTACTAAGGCGCTTGCGCCTAAAGATCATCAGCGGCACTGTGTACAGCTTGGTCTTGTTCCTATAGCTGCTCCCCTGTTAGGATCCTGATTGTGTACTCTCTATTATATATGCTTGTCAGACTGGCCTTGTGGCCTTACCTCCAGTGGCTGGACTAGTAGTGCCACCCTGGCTTGCTTCAGTTTTGGTTGTATTCTTGCTGACTGGTCTCCAGACCCCTGCCTCAGTGGTTGGACTAGTAGTGCCGCCCTGAGCTGTTTGCTTCTTGTTTAGTTTCACCCCTTGTCTAGCCTAGGGGGTGTGTCAACTTATACATATTATCTATGTAGAAGTTATAGGCTAGACTGAGGTATGCTTCTAGTGAGTACAACCAACTAGTATTTGTTCTAGGTTTCCACCTCTAGTAAATCATTCGTTTCTACGTTAACATACCCTACCTGCCAGGCAGAAATCTATTGCCATGGAACCATGTGGAATTACCTAATGGGCAGGCCCCCAAATTGGTTTTGGGCTTGTCTGATTCATCAGACTTGCCTGCCATCTCTTGGTATGGCCTTCAGAGTCGCCCCCTAAAAAAAGTCTGAAAAATCAGAGTAACAATAATTTATTTGTCTGATTAATCAGAGTTACCATTGTTTTTAACTCTGATTTCAAAGTGAGTGTTTTGCACGTTACTTTTCCATTCCCTTCCCAACCGCTGCCCTCATACTTCTTGCTTGAGGGGCTTTCTCTCGCGTGCGCTCCCTACCGTATCTGTGTTCTGGCGGCGGCGCAGAATTTCGCGGCACCCTAGGCCCGGCCCCGCGCTGGTGCGGGTTTGGTTGATCAGCGAGGCTCATGGCAAAGCTGTGCTGTATTGTACAGTGCTCTTGCCAGGCCTGCCAGAAGATTTTTTTACTTTGATAATCTCCCAGACAGACTGACATACGATTTTAAAAAATTTAGGTGAGTCTTTCACGGGTTTCTATCCCTTCCCCTCCCCGTTCCGTGTCTAGTAATTTCGCGTGCCTGAGGTACGGCGACGATATCGGTTGGTGGAGAAACGGGATCGTGGCGAATTGCGAATGGGGGACGAAATCGAGGGATGGGGGCGGAAAAGAATTGGGGGGCGGGCAAATCAAAATTGCAGGGGAGGTAGGGAAATCGGGGCCATCCAGGTGGCTATTCGTGAAGGGCCAATGGGTGCCCTCGCACACACAGCCCGCTGCAGTGGCAAGCACACCTCTGCAAAATTTTCCAAGGGCCAATCGGCCCCTCACACCGCACGCATCACAAACTTGGAGGTGATTTTGGTGAAGGGCCAGTCACCTCCCTCACACAGCCCCCAGTACACATCGGCCAGCGATTTTGGTGAAGGGCCAGTCAACTCCCTCACACAGCCCCCAATACGCATTGGCCGTTGATTTGGGTGAAGGGCCAATAACTGCCCTCACAAAGCCCCCCACAAGCATCTCGCCCTGATTTTGGCTAAGGGCCAATCAGCACCCCCCCACAGGTAAATCACGCTCCCCCCCCTAAACCTGGCATTACACAAATCAGAGTCGACCCCCCATACAGAGTTGAGGCATCAGAGTACACTAGTAAAAAAAGTCTGAAAAATCAGCGTAGGTACATAAATCTTCTCTGAAAAATCAGAGTAAGGTACAAAAAAAAGTCTTCCCAATCAGAGTACACCCCCAAAAAAACTCTGAAAAAAGTCTGAATCAGAGTAAAAAGTCTGCAATTTGGGGGCCTGCTAATGGGTCTGAAGACAACTTTATTCGAGCGGCTGAAGTGCAGCTATTCGGGCTGATGTAGTTTATCCCGCATTCTGGGTCAATCAAGTCCTGAGGCTCAATTCGCCACTACAGTGCGAAGACTCACTCCTGAAATCATGCAGCGAGGTTATGGCAGAGAGATGATTGACCAATCCGAGCACGACGTTGCCTTCAACCAACGCCAAGCCTCGGCTCCGCGATGGTCATCGGCAACTGCATCGTCTGCTTCTAGTTCGCACGTCTTCGTCAACGACTCTTCCTCAATCCCTCCATCCGCGGTCGCTTCTCCTTATGGCCGTTTCTCTCCTTTTCCGAGCCACCTGGCTCCTGGCTTCTCAGATCGTCCTGGTTTGTCTGGAAATTTGACCAACTCACGCACAGACTCTGGTCAAGATACAGGTCACCAACGGTCTCTGTCATCTGGAAGCTTCTCATGGCAGTTTCCTCTCGCTCCTCCTCCGCGTCCGCCGCCGTTTTCGCCTCCAATGTACGGATATCCGCAACCCGAGACTCCGCGTATGACCAGATCGCGAGAAGATGCAGCCGTTTTCACAAATAGCAGATTTCGCACGGCTGATTCTCCTGCAATGTCGCCGGCGAGAACTGGTAGCTCGTCATCTAATGTATCTGCACCACCGGTTTCATCCTCTGGAAATTCCGTGTCAACATTGGAACGGATTGAGACGGTGAAAGAAACGCCTAGTGAAAAACCGCCGCTGAAACTTCCCTGGATGACCCCGGTTCTGGTGGCATGCCTCATCGTCGTGTTCCTGGTCACTATGGGGTTGAACAACTGTCCCCGGCATGCTCACCCTGATGACCAGACCTGCGTCTGGAGGTTTCTGCATCGATTCTCCTTCGAGCCGCTGAAAAGAAATCCCCTCTTGGGGCCGTCTGCACGCACGTGAGTGGATGGGACTGTAAGGTATCACATTGAAAAGTCCCACCCCATATTTAAGTTTCATTGTGCATGTGTGCATAGCAATGATTTGTAGCACCTGAGCAGCTTCCTCAATATGGGAGCCCTAAATGGGGATTTGGTGCGGAATCATCGCCAGGGATGGAGGCTTCTAACAACCATGTGGCTGCATGCTGGCACGGTGCATGTCATCTGTAACCTCATCTCTCTCACAGTTGTCTTCATCAGGCTGGAGCAGGAATTTGGACCCTGTATGTGTCAGCAGGTTGACTTCCCCTTTGCTACCAGGTGCATTCCTTTCAGCCATGTTTTCTGACCTGCGCAATATGGTTGCAGGGCGTCCCTTGGTGATTTTCTATTTTTCGGGAGTTGCCAGCACTGTATTTGCAGCCATGTTTCTAGGAGACAGTATATCTGCTGGAGTATCAGGCCCACTGTTTGGTCTTATCGGAGCTACCTTTTCAGAAATCATTTCCAATTTTGGCTTCTATCATAACCACTTGCAAGCAGTAGGAGTCCTGTTGCTCCTGGGACTTGTTAATCTGGCCATTGGACTCATGCCTTTCATTGACATCTTCACCTGCATCGGCGGATTCCTCTCAGGCATTCTCCTCGGATTTGCTCTGTTGGTCCAGCCTAAACCCAGCTTTGTCGGCCTGCAGAGAGCAACGCCTGCTGCCATAGATACGTTGATGAGGGAGGGGCGAGGCATTCCTGTGGCAATGAAGTACACAGCATGGCAGCAAAGAATCCGAATGGCTGCTGCTGCTGCATTTCTTGCCCTGTAAGTCTTAAGCTCAACAGCTGTGCTATATGCTGTTTCAATAATAACAACTTATGCAGGCTGGCATTCACTAAACATTCTTACCCCATTGTGATTCCCGAATCTCCCCTCCAGGCTCTCGTCAGCGTTCATAGTTCTTTTTGTGATAAACGACACGGCCAGCAGATGCTTATGGTGCCACTACATGGCATGCATTCCAACATCCTTCTGGACGTGTGATGTCCCAACTGTTGCCACATCTGCCACTCCAGTCTGCCAGGTTAACATTGTCTGCACTGGATTCCACAAAGATCTGCTTCTGATTCGTTGATGTTTTCCGTGCAGGTGAAGACTTTCTTAAACCACACAGGGCTGATGACGTGCACCAACAGCACTAGTGTTGCCTTCTCCACTCTATCCATTGGCTCTAACAATGACTTGCGTTTGTTGTGCACCCAAATGTGCGCCCCGTGAATGTATCACTCTCCTGCATCGTGTGATAGTCCTCTTCATTACGTGAGTGTCTGGGTTTCAATTTCTTCTGGATGTGACCACCCTCTGGCAGATGGTGATTTCTGGAGAAGTTGCTTGTGACTGATCTGGGTAACTGAAAACAGCATGACACCCTTGCTCCGCCATCTGGAGTCAGTCAAGTAAAAACCTTACAAGCTGTACTCGGAATCAACCTGGACATATCATAACAGATTCCAGCGAAGAGGCCAAGCCACCAACCTACTTAGCCTCCAGCAGGTTGGACCCCCTTACACTAAGCAGGTTAGGCGCAAAAAGCTATGCTGCAGCAGCCTCGGCTGCATCCTGCCTGCTGCTGGAATGCATAGCACTGCCCTGTCTAATGTCCTGGTGATGGTGGTGGTGGTGGTGGTGGTGATGCCGCACCACGAGAACGGGCGCAGGAGAGTGATGTGCACAGTAGTCGCTAACACTGCCAAGCATCATCCTGCAAAGATAGTACACAAGTAGATGTTGGTTAGCCACAGGAAACATCAAAGCAGGCAGAAGGAAATGCAAGTTTCAACGCATACAGCACTCTCACATGGACCTCTGCACACAAACATGCGTGTCACACCTAGCAACCTTACCCTGCTCTTGAGTCTCACGCGACAAGCGTGTGACAAATGCTACCATCTCAAGCTCTCTCCCATGGTCATGCTTCTCAAACTTTGATGAGCAATGGAATGCTAATGACACTGTCAACAGCAACAGAACCTTATCCACGGCATCAGGACACGAGCAATGCAGTCATCATCATTAACATCATCACAATGGGACACCTTTCCAAGTGTACTTCTCACGTTCCGAAGGACTGCTCACGTCCCCAAGCATCTCACCCCAAACCAAATCCCGTCGAGCCTCCTCACCTCTTCATGGCTCCTCGGGCCCTGCTGCCCATCACCACAGCGTCCACGTGAAAATGCTCTGCCACGTGGCAGATGACGTGGCGTGCATCCCCAAGCTCCACGTGCCCCTCACACGCCACTCCACGTTCTGCCAGCTCCCTGGCCACTCCCTGCAGCTTCACTTCTGATTCGTTCCTCCGTGCCGTGGCCGCCTGTGCCAGATCATCACTGCTGACATGGAGGCCTGCCAAGTGGCATGGAAAAAGGTTCAATCAGTGACTGAGGGAGGAGTTACAGGTGGCATGCCATTTCAAATGTGCTGGTGATGAGGAGGGGACCAGGGGATAAATATTACAAAATGTCATTCTGTAACGTATGCTATGCAGAGAATAAGCTCCATCAGGCTATGCTAACGATAAGCCCTGTCTTGTGCTAGTGAGAAAGGCAACGCGATTTTCAACATATCCATAGCTAAGTGTCGCCAGGCAGACGAGGCATAAATAGTAGCAGCGTGTGGCTGAAGCTTAATACGGTATTCTGGCTGAATGGCTGACACTGCTGCGCAGCACGCTGCACACTTCTAACGGGCATTTTACGCGCAGATTACAATAACATTCGCATATCTCAAGCCACGAAAGCGAGACATGGAGGGGAAGGGCGATAAGGCGCCGCTAGACACGGACGCGGGGCCGCCAACCGCGGGCATGAAGGGCGAGAGCACGTGCAGCAGAAACACGTAGTCGCGACGTAAACAAATGACGCACCTGGTAGCGAGATCATGGAGGGGAACGGCGACAGCGCTCCGCCAGAGACGGACGCGGGGCCGCCGACTGTAGGCATGAAGGGCGAGAGCACGTGCAGCAGGAAGACGTAGTCGCGACTGGGCTCCAGAAAGCGGTCCACCGCCCACTCCAGCACCTCGTGGCTTGCTGACGTGTCGTCCAGCGGAATCAGCACCTTGCGCATCTTCGGCGGAGCAATGGCGGATGGCGGAGGGGGCGGAGCAGTTGCGGCTGGCGCGGTGGGCGCCGCATCAGGCGACGCATTCGACGGAGGGTGAGGAGCGGCGGTGGTTGGCTCTGGGGAGATTTCGGAATGGGCAGTTGTGTTGCCCATTCCGGGGGCCATGGTTGTGTTGCTGGTACTAGTAGGGGGCGCGGACGGGGAAGCGGAATTCACGGTTGCAGCGGAAAGAGGCGCTATTTCAGCGGAAGGCGCATCAGCAGCGGAAGGCGCATCAGTGGCGGAAGGTGCATCAGCGCCGGAAGGTGCGTCAGCATCGGAAGGCGCGTCAACAGCGGAAGGCGCATCAGTGGCGGAAGGCGCATCAGCAGCAGAAGGCGCATCAGCGGCGGAAGGCACATCAGTGGCGGAAGGCGCATCAGTGGCGGAAGGCGCATCAGCAGCGGAAGGCGCGTCAGCGGCGGAAGGCGCATCAGTGGCGGAGGGCGCGTTAACAGCGGAAGGCGCATCAGTGGCGGAAAGCGCATCAACGGAAGGCGCGTCAGCAGGGGAAGGCGCATCAGTGGCGGAAGGCGTGTCAGCAGCGGAAGGCGCGTCAGCGGCGGAAGGCGCATCAGTGGCGGAAGGCGCGTTAACAGCGGAAGGCGCATCAGTGGCGGAAAGCGCATCAACGGAAGGCGCGTCAGCAGGGGAAGGCGCATCAGTGGCGGAAGGCGTGTCAGCAGCGGAAGGCGCGTCAGCGGCGGAAGGCGCATCAGTGGCGGAAGGCGCATGAATTGCGGACGATTGATCTCCGCTAGTAGTTATCGGGGCATGTGCAGCAGCAGCAACGGGGGCCGTTGGTGAAGCCTCAGCAGTCGCCTCAGCTGTACTAGGGTCCATGAGGAAACTCAGTCTCAATCAGTAATAAACAATTAAATAATTTACGAGAATATTGGAGAAGTTTTCGCGCAAGAGAGTGCAAGCCTAGGGAGATGTGCGCTTCGGCTACAAAACTGTGCGACAGGCATGCCAAGATTGACAGGTCGAGTCGCCGAAAAACTACTGGAAACGAAAACACGTCGACCTGCTCTGGGAGCTGAGAGGTGAGAGAATCGATAAACGGAGAGACAACTGAGAAACGAGAAAACGAGCATTTGAGAAGAGAAATGAGAATCGGCGAAATGAGAGATCTCAATGTCAGTGCCAATGTGCAGTGCCTTCCCCACCCCAACCAATTTCCACGGTGCTGAGCTGGCATTCGCTTCCCATAACACGTCGGGAAGTTCTCCTGCAATCCACGTCAGAACAAGACGGGATTTCGTGGGTTCCGGCTGTTGAGTCTTGCTGACTTGCGGTGCTGACAATTCAGGAGCATCCGCTGACCTGTAACTGAGGAATTCCCTTGCTGGCTTGTGCGCTCACGAGGAGTCTACAGTGCGCTGAGCACCCTCGATTGATCACGTTCTCTTTGATCGGCCTCGTGGCCGCTCGATATTGTAGCCCTTTCTCTACCCGAATGCAATTTGTGCTACGCATCTCTCACTTTACACAATTGCGGAGCACTCAATAGCCAAGTTGAGCACTCAACCCTTTTGGGAAATTATACGCTGGATAAGCCTTACTGTTTGTTTCCCCGATTTAGTCACACTTACCCCAGCGCAGTCAACCTTTTATAGGTTCAGACTCAGCGGCATCATACTTTTTGTTCAATCTGATGCCGCACGGCAAATATTTTCGCCACGTGTCCCATTTCTGCCGGTGTGCTACCCCCAGGAACACAGACACCAGACTCCCATTTCGGGCCAACTTTGATTTGATTCACAAATTACCAGAGCGCGCATTCAATGTGGCTCACTTTTATAATTTAGCGTAAAGACACGGCACAATCTTTCCACTTTACATGACGAAGCCTTTTTCTTCTTATTTTTAACTTACAATCCAAAATCAAGCAGACCCTTTCTCACATTTGTCTCGCGATTCCCATATAAAATTGCGAGGCGCGTATGAGGACTGCAGGTTTGATGTGAAAGATACGATGCCACAATCGCGAAACCAACTGCCAATAAATTCGGGTACAATGACGCGACTGGCAGAATGGTGCATTACACGTTGTCGATGAAATCTGAGGGTGATTTCAAGGTTCGATACAAGTTTTAGAATCCCGATGAATATCATTTATGCGGACTATGAATAATATACACCACTTCGAACTACAATCATGAGGTAGCATGCATTTTCAGGAATAACTCTTCCACTTTCCTCTAAAAGCGAACTTGTTTTTGGAAAACACTCGCATGAAAAAAAAAAAAAACAAGAGGCGACGAGATCATCTTAGGGTTGCGGAGCATTTCATGATGAGACTTTATTATACATAAAATGTTTTATTTCCATCACAACAAACATTTGATTTTTATTTCACAAACTTGAAAAAAAAACCAGCCCGATCGATTGCAATAGGTTGCTCCGCAACCCAAAAAAACTTTCTTCCTCATTCATATTGTTGTGCTTTTTTTTGGGGTAGATAAAGCAAACTCGCGGATTTCGAAAACAATTTTAGGAGTTGCTCTACGCGCAGGCCCAGCCTCGAGGAACGATTTTAGTGCATATTTATTTGGCCTGTAAAATAAATAATTTCAAGCACGGCGATCTTGGCCGTAAATCGGATGGCCCGAAGTCATGTCCCGAGGCTTTTCCGTGCTCAGAATGTGCCCTAGCGGAGTCTATTCGGAAAAGTTTTTGACACCGAGGTGACGAAAGTTCTGTTTTGTTTGGGATGGTAACATACAAATGAGAAGAAAAGACTTCGGCATGTAACGTGGTAAGTTTGTGCCGTGTCCGACCCTAAATTACAAAGTGAGCCATATTGAATACGTGCTCTGGTACGTTGTGAGTCAAATCGAAGTTGGCCCGAAATGGGAGTCTGGTGTCTGTGTTCCTGGGGGTAGCACACTGGCAGAAATGGGACACGTGGCGAAAATATTTGCCGTGCGGCATCAGATTGAACAAAAAGTATGATGCCGCTGAGTCTGAACCTATAAAAGGTGGACTGCGCTGGGGTAAGTGTGACTAAATCGGGGAAACAAACAGTAAGGCTTATCGAGCGTATAATTTCCCAACCCTTTTTACTGACCTGCAGAGGCGACACCAGGTCGCATCGCAACCATACACCCGAATACCCGACCGCGTTGCGCGAATACACAGTGAACAACGCTACTAGCACGCGATGGCGATCTGTCGAGCTCCAATGCGCGTGCTTCTCGCGTCCCCGCCAGTGTCGCCATTGCAACGCGTCCAAACCGCCCAGCGTGTCCGTGCCTCCTACACCACCTTAGCGTTCTTCCATCAGATCCCTCGCGATTCTTCTCCTCGTCGCCGGTCGGTTGGTCGTTCCGCTTCTTACTCTTGGTCGGTCTCCTCGCCGTCTTCCACGGTTGCACCGCTAGCAATATCCCCATTACAAGATGCCCGATTATTTGATAGCGATAGATCAGAAACCGCCGAGCTGTCGCACCAGTGGCGTCGCTTTGTGTCGCAGCTCGTCGCACACCGGTTCCTGGCTGCACATGGCGAAGTCGCAGACAGCCAGCCGGCGACAGCGCAACAGCTTGACAAGAAAGAGTCACCGGTCGCACATACAGAGACACCCCACACAGAAGGCTATGTCAACCAAGACATCGAAGCAGTTGTATCGGGACAGGCCACAAACGAGGATGTTCAACCAGATCTTGGATCGGATCTGATCCTGGACTCTGCATTGGATTCGATTCTGTCGGACAAGGGAGAGGTGAAGCGCGCCGTCCTGGCCGTGGCGAGGTGTTCGCCGCTGCTCTTGAGGTTGGGATGGGGGGGGGGGAGGAGGGTTGGGGGAAAGGAGGGTTGGGGGGAAAGGAGCAGGGTTTCAGCGTATGAGGGTTTAGGAATTCAGGCCGCCGTGCTGGCGCTGGCGAGATGCTCGCCGCTACTCTTCAGATGGGGTTGAGGTGAAAGCTGGGAAGAAATTGGGGACATCAGGGTTCAGGGTTTGGGTCCAGGATTTTGCCTGAATCAGGGTTTTGCCTCAAAGGTTGTGACTGGACCTGATTAGATTCTCCACAAAGCCCTGTTCGGATGCGTTCTTCCTCCTTTCCACGGAAACCACCGAATCATGCTCCGTGTTATCGAAGTGATTCGTTTTTTTTTTCCCCCTTTCACCCCCATCCACACCCCATCACCGCTCCTTCGCACTGGGCGACGTGCAAACTATCGCCGCCACGTGCGACTACATCTTTTCCTTCGCCACCCCACTCTAACCCACCCCCACCCACTCACACCCCATCATAGCTCCTCATTGGACGACGTGCGAGCCATTGCATCTACGTGTGATCACGTCTCTTCCCTCCCAACCCACCCCACCCACCCACCCACACCCCGTCGCAGCTCCTTCCCGTTGGACGACGTGCGAGCCATTGCCGCCGCAGGCTGTCCCTCAACGGACCGGAAAGTGGTGAACGCAGCAAAGCGGCTGCGCAGCCTGCTCTCCCTCTCAGAAGCCACGGTCAGCTGCCCTTCGCTCGCCCCCTCCCTCGCATCCTGTCTCGCCTGCCTTCCCCCTGCCCGCCAACTGGCCGGAGAGCGGTGAATGCAGCCTGCTCTCCCTCACAGAAGTCAAGGTGAGGTAGCCCCCCTCGCATTCAGCGTCCCAATACCCATTTTTCGTCCAGCCCTCTTGGCGTGCCTTTCTTGTTCCTAATTTCAGGTATGCGCTCGCTGCCCGCTGAGGAAAACTTGCGCACGGGCAGGCAAGGAGATTGCACCTCAGGAGGGCTATTCTTTTGCACTGCCCGCTGTAGTGCCTACTGGCAGTGAAGAAGGGGGGGCTGGAAGCATGATCACTGCAACTAAAACTGGCGGAGATGTAACTGGCAACAGCAGGGATGTAACAGATATGGCTACTGCCACATCGGATGTGCTCCGGCTCGCCATGGGCTATGCATTGCTGGCTGAAGCTGAAGCTGTAGCTTCAGCCGTGTCTCATCGTCCAAAGGCCGCGTCACCCGCAGCATCACCATCGGCTCGCGTTCTGGTTGTGGCAGCAGCGGAGGTGCCCCGGGCTGCTACCAGGTGAGATGCAGCACCATCATCACCATCATCACCATCACCACCATCATCACCATCATCACCATCACCACCATCATCACCATCATCACCATCATCACCATCATCACCATCACCACCATCATCACCATCACCACCATCACCACCATCATCACCATCACCACCATCATCACCATCACCACCATCATCACCATCACCACAATCATCACCATCATCACCATCACCACCATCACCACCATCATCACCATCATCACCATCATCAACATCACCAGCTACCAGGCGAGAAGCATGGCACGTGGGTTCCCCATGCATCGATTGAGAATCACACTTTTTCAGCTGCTTCTCCAGCGATTTTCAAATGCTTCTCATGGTTTGAAAATCACACTGCACGAACCTCTTCAGCTGCTCACCTTCCTCCCACCTGTGTGCACCTTTGCCCACCTTCCCCTCCCTCCCTGCTGTACCTCTCGTCCCCTGTCTTTTTTCCCAGGAGGCCGGCACAACCGGCACCAGCCACCATTGCTGTGCCTGCCAGTACTGCCAGCAGCAGTGACTGGAGGGGCGGCAGGGACAGCAGGGACAGCAGGGACGGCAGGAGGGGCGGCAGAGGGAGCAGAAGAGAGACAACTGGCAGGGATGGCAGCAGGGATGACAGGAAGGAGGGCAGCAAGGAAAGTAGAGGCAGATACAGAGATGATGGGCGCACCAGCAGCAGCAGCGGCGGCAGCAGCAGCAGCAGCAGCGGGACGAGGGTGGAGAGGTGGAGCCGGAGTGAGGGTTTGCCGAGAGACAGGCGGAGTGAGGGGAATGCCAGTAGTAACGAAAAGAGAGGAGTGTGGGAGAGGAGGAGATGATAGGTGTGGGAAGGAACATGCAGCCTAAGCAGCAGCAGCGGCAGCGGCAGCAGCAGTAGTGAAAGGAGTAGAGTGTGGGAGAGGAGATGAGAGGGTGAAGAGTTGTAACTCCTAAATCAGGTGATATCAGTCAAAAGACGATTATAATTCCGCCCATTCTTCAAATCAAAATTGCCCAGCTCTGATGTGTTCATCCAAGCGCTGTGCATTGAGAGTGCCGGGCAGCTCTTGAAAGTCCTCGTTGAAAATAGAATAGGCACTGGTAGTCGAGCGGGGGGGGGGTGGGGGGGGGCCAGAGAACAGAGCATTAGCCTTCAGATGTTGTAGAATTCAATATTACTGTGCACACACAGGAAAAAGGTAGACTCGAGGGGCTATGTATTGTGAACACTGACAAGAGGCAGTCACAAGCACCCACCTTGCTTCTCCTTGCTGCCGTGTGCCCAGGTTGACAAAGATGAGTGCAAAGCAGGTGCCAAGAATCTGCAGGGGTGGAGGAGAGAGATGGGGTCAATAGGGTGGAGGGTGGGCAGGCGAACTTCAGATGAAGAGAATTGAAGAGTGCAAACACGGGCAAAATGCGTGAAACAATAGAGGGCTAAGTGACTGACGGTGAGGCTTTGCTGGGAATTAAGGCAGGGAGGAAACACGAGGGGCATGAGAGCTACAATTTGGAGAAGTATGACAAGCAAACGGTAACGAGGGCTGGGAAGGGACCAGCTTACAAAGAGAGGGCCGAGTTCAAAGTAGATTTGAAGCATTGGTGCTGCAATAAACCAGAGGATGACTAAGAGCCACGTGCGGGGGGAGAGCCAGAAGAAAGGGATGAGGAGGAAACCTGAGACGAAGGGAAAATGGCGGTTGTGGGAAGGGGGGAGCACGAAAAAAAAGATCGGAGAACTTGGAATTCTGGGAGAATGTCTGCACTGATGGATCACAGTTCAACCTGGAGAAGCAATGTACAGAGGGTGGGTGATACTTGTCAGCGACAAAAGGCCACCTGGAATTCGATACTTGTCTCGCAGGAGCAGGAAGATCCGGCGCTGGAGAGGCGATGCCGATGGTGGGATGTCAAATGTCTGACCAAGCGGGCAGGGGAAGAGGGGAGGGTTGGACAGGGAGAAATAGGTGACTTTTGAGTCGACTCAAAAGTCACCTTGGACAGAGAGAAAGAGGGAAAGAAGGGCCTTGAGGAAAGGTCGAGGGAATGAGAAGAGCCTAGACAGGCCGGACAAGGGAACTACGACTAGAAACTGTTAACGCAGGTCAGAAGCCTCATGCAACATTCACGGACGGAGGGAGTCGATTCAGGGAAAAAACCCAAACAAATGCATTATTCTATTTCATCTCACCTCCTCCTCTTCCTCCTCCACCTCCCCCACTCTAGCGTTGGCCACTTGAGGCGGGGGTGCTCTAGGGCGCACTGTAGCGAGTATGACGTCTGGGGTTGTAAAGACGTGGGGGGGGAAGGAAAGGGGATAAGGGGAGAGGGGGAGAAGGAGAGAGGGGAGGGGTAGATTGACCATGAATGACCGTCAATGAACATTAATGACCGTCAATGAACATTAATGACCGTCAATGAACGTTCATGGCCGTCAATGAACATTAATGACCGTCAATGAACTTTGATGAACATCAACCACAATGCACGTGAGCCTCGGCAGGTTACCGTTGTCTCGGAGATCCAACGTAGCAGCATCTGACCTCCTGTCATCTCCGCATGCATTCACCGAACCATCCTGGCCGTCCAAACGGGACGCACGATCCGACGGTTGAGACGACGAGGAAGAAGCCAGAACGTCTGCGAGCACGGCTCCTCGCACAATGAGTGTGAGCCGGTCGTCAGCTGGTAACCCGGTTGCTTCGCAAACTCGCTGCTTCAATTTGCCAAGCTGCACGCTAACAGGTACGCTGATGGAGCACCTGCGAAGTGCTCCAGGCGTTTTCACGTGAAGCGTCAACATACTTGCTAGACTAGATTAAAAAAGGCGTAAGCACGGTAAACACGGAAAATAGACCTAATTAGAGGGAAATAAGAAATTCTTGAAAACTCAAGTCAGATCGCCTAGCGTTTGTGGCTAACGGACATTGCTGGTGCATGCAGCACCATTTGTACTATCAATACAACCTCTCAGGCAGCCCTATCTATAAGGTGACGCGGACTGCCGCTCTACGGATTCGTCACCCATCAGTCCGACTCCTGAATGTATAGGATCCTGAATTCGCAATCCACTGATTCGACTGCGTACACCTGCTCGTCGTCAGCCGTGTTGTGTTGTGAGTACCCATAACTGCAGCCTTGCGGAGCGAACAATTGCACAACATACGGTTTCGGTTTCGCCCGTGACAATATGATACTCGATATGAAGCAAGAGCGAGTTCAGCTCGAGTGTATCCCATCGAATGCTGACAGAACGACATCGAAAACACTTATAACGTTGATTTCTGCAATTCGTTTAATATTTAGTCCTACATACAGCAAGGAATTCCCACCGGGAAAAACCCAGCAACCCACCGACGCATACAGTCATGAAACCTTATGCTTGTGGTCTTGGAGAAAGGGATTTCACAATAATGTCATCATGAAAGATTTTCAACCACCCCTGGGGGCAGGTCCTTGCGTGTTCTTGTTGGTTATTAAACAACCCCTGTGGGCAGTCTAACCATGAGCTGGCCTTCCATCACACTGCAAAACACAAAAAAGAAAAACAACGCGATGATATGAGCTACGAAGTTACAACCAGCAGATGACGGAGGGCATGAAAGTAGTGGCAAAAGTCAGCGAGAATGAAGGTCTGAGCGAACACAGAGAGCAGCCTGCCTCTTGGCATTGCAGCACGAGAATCGCTCAACCCACCTCTTGACAGAAACACACTCCTCGGAATGGTAGTAGGGAAACCTAGTAGCCTACCTCTTGACGTAGTAGTAGCAGAAGTCAGCGAGAATGAAGGTCTGCACGATCTCCGAGAGCAGCACCATGGCAGGCCACATGCCGTAGCCAATGGTGGTCATGATGAAGCTGTGGCCGTCCATCACCTGGTGGGAGAGGAGGGAAAAAGAAGGGCGATGCGGGGGGGTTGGGGGGGGGGGAGGAGGGGGGGGGGACAGCAGGTTGAAGGGAAGAGCAGGGGAAAATAGAGCAGCACTATGGCTGGCCATATGCCATAGCCAATGGTGATCATGATGAAGCTGTGGCCGTCCATCACCTGGTGATGGTTAGGGTTTAGGGTGGGGCAGGTGGGGTTTGGGCTTCGGGAAGGGGATAAAAACACCAGGGCGCGTCACATGCCGTAACACATGGTGATCATGGTGAAGCTGTGGTCGACCATCCATCACCCAGTGGCAAACGGCAACGAGGCGGGGGGGGAAGGGGGTTATTTTTTGGAGGGAAATCGAGGGATGGTAGCAGAGGAACAGCATAGACAGAGCCCAAGGGAGGTGAGGGGAGAGACGCAGAGGGAAGGGGAGTGACTAGAGCATAGAAGCGAGGGGAGCGTGAGTAGTCATTATGACTTCTGGGTGGATCTTAAAGCTACCAGGGAACATGAGTTACAGTGGATCTGTGGCCATTCCTTACCTTGTACCAAAGGGAAGCACATGCGGAGGAGAGGAGGGTCCAAGCAGAACGCAGGAGGAGTGAGGGGAGGCGGGTTGGGCGTAAGGCACGTGCTACAGCCTGCAGCATTTAAGAGGCACGCCACAGGCCAGCTAAAGGTAGTGCTGTGACCTATTGGCGCGAGCTCCAGCCGCGAGCTAAGACTGCGAAGAGTAACACACACCCCTGCTGGCAGCAAGGCAGTCAGCAGCAAGCAGTAACGCACGCACCTGCAGAATCCAGTGTGCGCAGGAGAGGAAGCGTGCGATGCCGAGAGCAAAGACGTAGTGCGCCGTGAAGGGCTCCACTAGCTGGTGGGGGTGGGGGGAGGGGCGGGGAGAAGGGGGGTTTGAGGGGACAGGCAGAGGGGAAGGGGTGGTAGGGTGACAGAGGTAAGAGGGCGATGCTGAGAGCCAAGACGTGGTGCGCTGTGTGAAGGGCTTCCCTAGCTGCTTGGGGAGAGAAGGGAGGGGGGGAGGAGGGAGGGGATAGGAGGGAGGGGGGAGGAGGAAGGGGGAGAGGGGTGTTGGAGAAGACGGAAGAGGGAAGTGAGAGGGCAACGCTGAGAGCAAGGGCGTAGTGTGCTGTGAAGGGCTCAACTAGCTGATGGCCGGGGGAGGTGGCAGACAAGGAGGGAAGGGGAGAGAGACGGGAAGGGGGGCTGGATGCCAGCAGCCTGTGCCGTTTGTAGGCTACTTGCATTGCGAGCAGACGGGGATGGAGACGGAGTCGGGGGGGGGGGGGGAAGTCCTATGCATGACGCAGGATGTTGAGGATATATCCCTGTCATAATGCTGCATCATCCTGCTTCACCCTGCTTCACACTGCGTGACCCACTGCATGGTACTCGTGATCATGAGGAAACCATTGCAGAAAGCTGGCTATTCTCTTCCCACGCTTGGATCAGCTCAGGAGCCGTGGGCTCTAACGAACACCAGCACGTGTCCTCCTGCTCTCACGTTCTGTCCTCTCATTCTTCATCCATTCCCAGCTTCTGATTCTGCCTACTGCTTTAGACGCTTCATTCCTGCCTTGTGCGTGACTCACCACCCATACCCCCACACCTCAACCCCTCCCCCTCCCCTCCCTCCCCCTCCTTCTCACCTTGGCGTTCTGCATGACCCGCAGCTGCGGCAGCACGGACACGGCCTCCAGGTACACGCAGAAGGCCCACAGCACGCGGTTTACGATGAAGTGCGACGTGCGCGGGTGCACCAGCAGGGCCAGGATGCCGCACGGGGCGAGCTACAGGGACCGGAGGAGGGGGTGGGATGTTGGTTTGGGAGAAATGCGGGAAGAGAGGAAACGGAGGATGAGGGACAGGGGTGTGCGATGATGTGCGATGGTGTTCGTTCGCGGATTTACAAGCATTGCCAGCAGTCTGCAGGGGGGAGGAATTGCCAGAGTTTCACAGGATAACTCGGAACCCTGCTTCAAATAGAGGTCATTCTTGCAAGAGGTTAGCAGTCTAGTTTACAAAAGCTGAAACGCATCAAAATGCCTAGGTGAAAGATACAAACCTGCAAACAGGGGGGGGGGGGGAGGGGGGGGGGGGATATTTCAATTTACTCACGATGTAGACGTGCGAGCGGTTGTGTAGGTCTTCGGAAAGGGTGGATTGGAGCTGTTATCGTATACGCCGTGGTCACCAACGTCGAAATGCCTCTACTCTCACAACGTAAACGTTTCAAACCTTTTCTACTCACAATGTAAACGTGTGAGAGGTTGTCTAGGTCTTCCGAGAGCGTGGAGCGCAGCTGGAATCGCATGGTGTAGATCACCCACGCTGTCGTCACGAGCGTCGCGAGATCCAGCAGCGTGTGGATGTCCTTCTCCATCATCATGCTACAGTACAATCGGACGGCCAGGAATATCGCTGTCAACTCCTGCGATTTGAGAGATAACCCTGCAATAAGCAGGATGGTCCGATGGAGGAAATTTAAGGGAGAAGTTATTTTATAACTGAGGATTGAAGAATTTTGGCAAGAGGAAAGTCAACGGTAAAATAGCGTTAATGCAGTAAGGCAATGTTAATCGTGTTGTCGTACTGCGGCGACGCCTGAACATTACGGAGAGAGAAAACGTCACGGAATCTTTAGTAGGAGCTTAAATGACTAGTGTTTTGTCTTCTACGGAGATGGCATGGACACGTAGAATTTACGGTTGGGTGAAACTGACGTGCTGACACCATTTTCACCAAAGACGGCGTCCGAAGGGGATAGGGAAAACGAGATTCGTGCGGCTTCCTTTCTCGTTTTCAGTGACCAGTGGAGGAGAGACTAATGTCTGCTGTAAGGTTAATGTTCAGTCAAAACCTCAAAGACGGCGGCAAAAATGACGACATACCAGCAACATACCTAAACATGCCAGCCGACACGACATTAATTAGTGCATACTTTTTACTCGCTCCAAAAGTTCCAGCCGCCTCAGAATCTCCAATAGTGCTGGAAAATCACGCATCCACGGTGCTTCTGTCGGTTTACGGCGTCCCAAAACACACCTGCACAGTTCTTTTCTCGCGTCAGCTTGTAAACGAGCACGCCGATACCGATGGCGTGGATAGCTTCAGCAGCAACGAAGAGGTTGTCATGATCCACCACCATGAATCTCAGAAACACCAGCGCCGCAATCCCGAGGCACACGCCGAAAAACGCCTTAACTTTAGGCGGCTGCTTCTTGATCCACCACACCGCGATCTGAACCGGATTCTTCGGCCGCCGATCCGAACCCATTGGGCCTGATTTCTGATCTTGTGCTCCGCGCTTTGTGACCGGAGATGAAGACTTACTTTAAAACGGAAGGTAATGAAGCAGGACCTTAGAGGATGGAGAGGATAGTGAATACAAGTGGAAAAAGATGAAGGAATTATGGAGTGGAGTGAAGTGCGGTGTGAGAGAAGGCTGAAATGTGATTCCTTAGCAACATTCAAGGAAATGGATTCAAGGGCTATGGCCAGCGATTGCCATGAACGAAACGATAGTCAGATCTTCCTGCAAAGGGAAGGCGAAATATGGCGAATAATGGCGAAAACTGGGGACACGGTTGTATAACTCAGCGTTCCGCAACTGTCGCCAGTCCGGCAGTTGGAAACTCATGAGTTGGTTGCAGCCAACCAACCGTCAGGCTGAATAATTCCAGCATGGATAATGACGGAACGCGTACGCGTAGCTTGATCCATTCAGAGGCCTAGATTTGGGGTTTGACTGGGTGTACACATAAAATGTACTTACTCATTTTCTCAAAGACTATCCAAAGCACATCATGAGTGGCATGCCCCATAAAGAAGCAGAAATACATATATATTCAACCTATTAAATGTGATTATTCGACATTATTTGATGAAAAAAATGAAAAATATATTCATCTTGCTGTAATATACTCATTATCTTGACCATGTCTCCTAAAAGTTACTTTGCTATGTTTTGCACGAACGCATTAGTCTACACTCCTACTTTTGCGCATACGCGTTTCACACAAACTCTATCAAACCCCTCCCCCGCTCCACGATAATGGCTGATGCGGTCCCGATCACCTCCAACACGATACTGTACAGAGCCGAGAGCCAGAGAACAGGACGTCGGCTCGGCAGGGTGGGGAGCGACAGCGCCCAATGGGGAGAGAAGTTCCGCAACACGGTAGTTGGATGCTTCCTTGCCGTGTTGCAGACGGGGGAAGGTGTCAGGGGTGCTGCGGTGGATGGCACAAAGCTTTCCGCTTGCAGCAGATGCGTGTTACCCCCTTTGCGCTCCGTCCGCCAAAAGCCCTTCCCCCGACCCCCAGTTTTGCCCAATTGAACACGGCCATTCGGCAACCTCGAGGGCGGCGTCGCCCTTCGCTACAAGCGTACCATCTTTCGCAAACATCTTCAGTAACAATCGCGAGAGGTAAATGGAGCTCATAAGGTTTGCTACACACAGAATAAGGGAAGGTTTGACGAACTCTGGCGAGCCTCGCGACGGATTTTTGTCAGCGTCAGCAGCATCAACGCATGCGAGATACCCAGCTTGAATATTCTGGAGAGAATAATCAGACCAGAACCAAATGCATTTACACTAGCATGCGCAGACTAGCACGCCGAGAGTCAGCTGTAGCAGATTGGTGGTTGAGGAGGAGAGGAGAGTGCGAGTTTCCTACCTATGCTCCTTCAGTAGTCGTCCTGACAACATCATTAGAGTCAGCCACGCTGTACCATGGGCGCGCCCGTCGTTACCAGCTAGCTCCTCGCTGTTTGTACCTCACGTCTCGCGTTTCAAAAAAATTAAGCTCTTACCGCCGGAACCATAAATTGCCCTCTTTTTTTCCGCATGTCCACGTCGCCTTCGTCGGCTCGTACTTAATACCACCGTCGGGCCGGCACTTCGATAAAAACTGCATAGTAGAAGCTGTCCGCCATGGGGTGCGGCAGCAGCTCCATGTCGAAGCACATGCCGTCTATGATGCTCTCCGAGGGCGCCGCGTACGGCAAGGCGCGGAAAAACGCCGCCAAGGACCTCGTCGCGGCGCATAAGGACTTTTACAACGCGTCGTCCGCGTACGCGGACTCACTTAAGAGCGCCGGCACCGCGCTGCTGATCTACTGCGAGGGGACGAATGTCTTTATCGGGTCCGCGCTCGGGGAGAACGTTCCGCCGCAAGCCTTCCAGAACGTTGCGCCGGTGCAGGTGTCGGAAGTTTCCGGGGAAGTTGCGGTTGCGGGAAACACGGCGGAATACGCGGACACAGCGGCGTCTAGTTCTATTGCGGTTTCGGGTTCCGGAAGTTCCCGCGCGCTTCCAGCGCCGACACCCGTTCCGCCGCAGCCGGTCGCGCCTCCGCCGTCGCCTCCCCCTCCGCCAGGCGGCGGAGCTCCTCCGCCAGGTCCCGGCGGCCTTCCGCCGCCATATCCGTACGGCTATCCGCCACCTCCCCCGAGTTACGCTTACCCTCCGCCCCCGTATCCCCCCGGGCAGGGGTATGGCGCATCGCCGGGAAATTCCGCGGGTTCTCCGTATCCTCCTGCGCCCGCCTCTCAGGGCACTCCGCCCTCGCTTCCCCACTCCAGCTCGGGCTCGTATGGCGGCCCTCCGCAATATGCGCACCAGGGCACTCCCCCTCCGCCGTTCCCCGGCTATCCCCCCCCAGGGGGAGCGCCGCCACCCGCGGGGGGGTATTCGGGGGGATTCCCGCCCCCTCCGCCCCCAGGCGGAGCATATGGGGCTCCGCCCCCCGGCCCCCCTAGCGGAGCGTACGGAGCGCCTCCGCCTGCGCCCGCGGGCGGAGCGGGGGGGTGGGAGCAGCAGGCGCAGGCTCGCATTCCCTCTGCCCATTACGCCGGAAATTCCGGGCAGCTTCTGGTGAGCTCCGGGCAGCTCGGAGCGGAAGCTTCAGCGGCTGCTGCTGCTGCGGCGGCGGCGGCGGGGGGGGGGAGAGCGGGGATTGGCTCTTCAGGAGCCATGGGAGGGTCGGGAATGCTGGGCGGCTCCGGTCAGATAATAGCCTATGTTGGTCCGAGCGGCGGCGCGGTTCTAGGAGACAAATGGGTGGACGAATTTGCCAAGAAGGTGAACGCGCATTTCCTGGAAGGTTCGACGCGGATCACGGCGCTGGTGGAGCTCCTTAAAGTCGGGGCGCCCATTCCGAAGCACGCGGTGCCGCCACTGACGGTGGCGGCGGCTACTAAGGAGGGCGGGCAGCTGGAGAGCATTGGCGACTCGATCCAGAAGCTGGTGAACTGGGAGCGAGACATTAAAGACAAGATCTGGGTGCGTTGAGAATGGGTGTGAATGGGTGTGAATGGGCGTGAATGGGTGGAAATGAGTGTGAATGGGTGTGATGGTTTGGTTGCGTGTTGTGCTTGGAAAGGAAGAAAGGGAGAAAGGACGGTAGCAGCTGGAGAGCATTGGTGTCTCGATCCAGAAGCTGGTGAACTGGGAGCGAGACATTCAAGACAAGATCTGGGTGCGTTGGGAATGGGCGTGAATGGGTGTGCAGACGCTGGTGAACAGGGAGAGAGACATTGAAGACAATATTGCGAAGCCAAAACCCCCCTGTTCCTTCCTCCCCCCCCTCCCTCTCCTCTTCTCACCCCCTCCCCCTCACCAAAACCACCCCACTCCCAACCCCCCCGTTTCCGTCCCTTCCCCTCCCCTCTCTCCCTGCAGAGCCTGGAGACCATCCGCGGCGAGACGAGGAGCAACGACAAGAAGGTGCAGCGAGAGACTGTTAGGGCAATGCGGGCCCTTCTCCCCATGGCCCCCCTTCTCCCCATTTTCCACTTACCCCAGGACCTGGAGACGATTCGCAACGAGATGAAGAGCAAGGACAAGAAGGTCCGGCGGGAAACAGCGAGGGCGAGTGGCAACGCCAACGCGGATCCGCGCAAGCTGGAGGGCGCGCAGTCGAAGCTGAGCGACGTGCAGCACCGGCTGGCGGGGGCCAGCGAGAAGGTCATGGCTGCGTGCCATGCCGTGGAGCAGTACAAGACGGACCTGCTGTTCCCCCAGCTGCTGCGACTGCTGCCGTGGTGAGTGGGGGGGAGGGAGGGACGAAGGGAGAGAGTGCAAGCTGGAGGACCGTTAGACGAAGCTTAGCGACGTCTGGCAGGGGCTAACGAGAAGGTCATGACGGCGTGTGAGATGCGGTGGAGAACAAGACGGATTTGTTGTGGAGGGAAGGCACGCATCCTTCTTCCCTCCCTCCCCCATCCCTGCCCCCCTCCCCCATCCCTGCCCCCTTCCCCCTCTCTGCCCCCCTTTCCCATCTCCCCCCCTCCCCTCCCTATCTTTCCTCCCTCCCAGCCTGGTGTCCCTTTTCTCTCTGTCAGCTGCACGACCAGTCACGGTCAGCACCTCACATTCTCCCATGCGCCCCCCCTTTCCAACTCCCATTTCCTCCCCCCCCCTCTCCCCTCCCCTCCCCTCCCATTTCCTCCCCTCCCCCCCCCCTCCCCCGCCCCCCAGCCTGGTGTCCACGTGGCACTCTCTCTGCCAGCTGCACGAGCAGCAGCAGCAGCTGGCGACCATGCTGGCCAACCAGTACATGCCACCTGTCACGCACGAGGGCGCCAACACCGCTGGGCAGGTCCCTCTGGGGCCTGGTGGTGCGCAGGTGAGAGGGGGGTATGCGACGCAATGGCTTAGCCGATGAGGTGCAACGGGATGCCGAGCGGTGCAATGGAGTGAGCAATACAGCCGTAAGGGCCATCACCGCTGGGCAAGTCCCTCTGGGGCCTGGTGGTGCGCAGGTGAGGGCCATGGGAGCGGGCAGGATATGGAAATGAGCTATTCCATATTGTTGGAGAGATGGCGTGGGTAGGAGGTTGGGAGGTTGGGAGGCTGGGAGGCTCCCTTTCTCCTACTCCTCCTGCTGCTGCTTCAGGTGCCCACCACCAAGGCGCAGCACGAAGCTAGAAGGCCAGCAGGGAGCTGGAAGCTTAACAGGGAGCTGGAAGGCCAGCAGGGAGGGAGCTGGGAGGCCAGCAGGGAGCTGGAAGGCCAGCAGGGAGCTGGAAGGCCAGCAGGGAGCTGGAAGGCCAGCAGGGAGCTGGAATCGCTTTCCGAGTCAGCTTCAAAGGGAGATGTTTTTGCGCCCCCCATTTCTCACACCAGCGCCCCCCTTTCTCCGTGCCCTTCCCTCCCATGCAGGTGCCCACCACTACCAAGGCGCAGCACGAGGCGACTAAGAAGCTGGAAGACGCGTTTAAGAAGTGGCACTCGTCCCTCAGGTACTGCTGCTGGCTTCTACAGTTGTTTGTGTCCGCTGCTGTAGCCGCCTTCTCAATGCCGCCAAGTGCTGTTCAAATGTTTACTAAATGTTGCCCGATGTTGTTCACTGATGTACACAAGCCTTGCTTCCCCCCCACAGTTCCGCAATCCCTACCCCTTGCCTTTGCCTCTTAGCCTTTCTTCGCCTCTCTACCTCCTCTCCGCCAGTGTGCTGTGCAGAGCATGCCCCGCTCCCCTCTTTCCCCCACCACACCCCCCGTCTTCTCCCCCCCCCCCTTCCTCTCCCCCCAGCGTCCTGTGCTGCGCCCAGTGCAAGTTCTTTTCTGCGCTCATCTCTTCGGTGCGCAAGACCTTCTTGCCTTCAGACCCCCCTTCCAAACCCCATTCTTTCTCCCCCTTCCCTCTCCCCCCACACACACTTTTCCCCGCCCCTCCTCTCCCCCAGTGTGCTGTGCAACGTGCAGCGCAAGTTCTTCTCTGCTCTCATCACCTGGGTGCGCAAGACCCTCGCATATCCCCCAGCCTTCCCCAAGCCCCCTCTACCCGGCACGGCCCCTCCCCCGGGCCAATACGTGGCCAGCTGGGCTCCAGGCGGCGCCGCTGGTGCTGCTCCGCCCCCACCCCCACCACCAGGTTAGTAGAAGCTCCATCCTCCGGTTAGTATTTGCCTCTCCCACCTTCCATCGTTTCCCCAAGCCCCCTCTCCCGGGCCAGTACGTGGCCAGCTGGGCGCCAGGGGGTGCTGCTGCTGCTGCTCCGCCCCCTCCCCCACCACCAGGTTAGTAGAAGCTCCATCCTCCAGTTACTATTGGCCTCTCCCTCCTTCCATCGTTTCCCCCAGCGTTCCCCAAGCCCCCACTCCCCAGCACGGACCCACTCCCGGGCATGGCCCCTCCCCTGGGCCAGTACGTGGCCATTTGGGCTCCAGGCGGCGCTGCTGCTGCTGGTGCTCCGGCCCACGACCAGGTGAGTTGATGGGGTTTTCCAAGGCCCTCTCCCCCCCCACCAGGTATGTTGCCACGCCTCATTTCCCAACGATGAGTGATATACGATGTACCAGCTGCCAGAGATGGAGGTGAAGTATGATTGACAAGGATGCCTTACCCCCTCTCTCTCCCTCTCGACTCATTTCGTGTCCCAGGTCAACAGCACGCAGAAGGGCCTTTAGTGGCTCTTGCCAACGACTGGGTGCGCACGATGGACCGGCTGCCAGAGAAGGAGGTGAAGGATGCAGTGATGGGGTTCTGCGGGTGGATCAGCCAGGCGTATGAGCGGCAGACGGAGGAGATGCGGCAAAACAAGCACCTGCAGGAGAGCCTGAAGCAGGTGAGAGGAGAAACGAGGAGAAATCCGGAATGGTTAAAGCGAGGGTCTCAAGAAGCAAAAAACCAAACCAAAAGGTTTTGGTTTCGGGGGGTCTCTAAAATTGCGAGGTGTGGTAAGGGGTGCTGATTGGGCGCTGTAACTGTTTCGCAAAGTTCGTCAACCCAAAACCAAAACCTTTGGATTTGGTTTTCTGCTTCTTGAGACCCTCGCTTTAAGCCGAGAAAGAAATGATGATTTTTCGTTGTTCCATTCCATCTACTGTCGATCCATGTTCCAACTCACCACCACCCCTATTCTAGGCCTCCATTCCTCTCCACCTCCTCTGCATGGTGCCGAAGTGCCCCTCTCTGGCTCATATGCATGTTTCTGCCATCCGCCATTTGCAGTTGTCAAAGCAGGAGTCAAAACTGGAGCACCTGCAGCAGAAGGAGAGGGAGCTGCAGCTGTCGCTAGGAGGCCCAGCAGCCGCAGGTGCAGAGACACCAGCAGAGCAGCAGGCAAAGCAGGCTAAGGCGGCAGCAGCAGCGAACGAGGTTGCCAACTGCAAGACCGCTCTGGAGAATGCGAGGATCAAGGTTAATTCCGAAAGAGTGGCCCTGGAAAGGCTAGGTGCGGATGCCAGAGCAGCTGCTTTGTCCGGGCTGAGACAGGGACTGCCTGGAGTGTTTGAGAATGCGGGAAGGTACTCTGGGACAGCATCTCAGGCGTATGCTATGCTGCAGACTCAGCATGCACCTTGGTTGCCAGTTCAGGTCTAGATGGGGCTTGTGATAAATACGATGGCAACCAGCTAGTGTATGTGCTAATTGTTGGCATAACAGGAGCTCCTAGAGTTGATTGAAACTGCTATGCATCAAGCTGTTGCTGAAGGTAAAGCCTTTTCACAGACACATTCCCAAGGGCGGTCATAGAACTTCAGCAGCCTTCTTGCATCCAAGGGATCTTGTGCTTTTTGCATGCGTTGCTGGGCCAGCAAATTTCCCAAGTGAGTTAAATTGGGCCTTGGGCCCAAAAGGGCAGGGACCAGAGCAGGCCCATAAGGCTGGAAGGTTTCCTGCAGAACAAAACCTCTCGTCATCATAAGCACAGCTCAAAATAAATATGCTGAAAGAGGGGGACCTGTCTTGACTATGATCGCCAGCTGCGGTACCTTGAAATCTCCGAGGTAGAAACGGTGGCCTCGTAACATCATCCCCATGTTACCGCCAGCAGTCATCATGAGGAAGTCACTGCCACCGAAGGGTCACACAGAGGACGTTATTCAATTGGTCCAATCAATCAGATTTGTGACTCACCAGCAGCGAAGAATAGCAACCCTGCTCACCTATGAAGGCAAACGATGTAATCGATTGCAGCAAGCACGGATGGTCTGCTGGCTAGGTTTCCAATTGTACTCTGCAACAAATCATCCTTTGTTACAACATGGCGAGGAAACGCTCGGTGCAGGGGCCTCATGAGCTTTGCACCCTCATTCATCGCTCCACCAGCGAAGTATATCGTTGTCATGCTGTCGACGCCCAAAGCCTGGAAGCAGGACCTTAGGGTCATTAGAGACAACAAAACGCAATCTCTCCTGCATAGACAGATATTGGGATGAATATAGGCATCAGCAAGATCACAGTAGTCGACGTACCTTGAGAATGTGAGCAGTTTCTTGGGGGGTGATGGGGCAAAGACCTGCTTGCTTTCTCAAATCGCTCTCTGTGACGTTTGATTGAAACTGAATGTTTCTCTCAGATGCCCACTTCTCCATGTACGCATTTGTTGCTTCATCATACAAGCAGCCTGAACATGACACCAACAAACACGTATTTTGAAACTTCATGCTAGCAAATGCAATGAGGCCTTCTATACTTAACGTCGAGAACGCACCTGTATGAACAATCCAGTCAGGCTCATATCGGAGATGAACAGCCACATAAGGTCCAGTGCTCTGAAGCTTTTGGACAGCCTGAAGACCCATACTGCATTAAGATCCACAAACGCGAGTTTAATCGCCTGATGGGAAAAAGCAAACCAACTGCTGCAGAACAGATGTAGTACCTTAAGATAGGGCTCACGAACTGAAGCGCATGGTACTGAGCACGACATCTCAAATGCTGCAAGAGAGGAAAAAGTGGAACGGAGAGAAAACTGGGGTCAGTGAACGAGGTGGCATCATGCGAGCATGAAATCAAGGAAAACAATTCACAAACCTGAAGTGGAAGTGGAAGATCGTCTTGAAGATGCATGAAGAAATAATTCAACACAAGGAGACCGTATTTCTGAACGACGGGAAACGCGTTCTTGATGTACCACTCTGGTTCAAGCGCCTCTGAAGGGAGGCTTACTGTGGCAAGCCTTTCTAAGGATGAGAAGTTCACGCTTGCAGGAATATCTCTGGTTCGGGGAGGGAAGTGTTAGCACAGTGTTCGATAACGGGTAGTAGGAACTCCCTGAAAGTTTCTTACTCAATCACTTCCACGTCTTCCTTCAGGGTCTGAACGAAGTGCGGGACGCTGAAAAGCTCCGAGAACTTGCTGCACACAGAACTAGTGCCATTAGGACTGAGTGGAAGTGAAGCATAGAAGGCGGTATTCGTCATGTGTGGCTCGTACCTTTGGTCACCCCAGGCTGGATGTACGATCAATCTGGGAACAATAAGAGTAGCGTTCATGATTTTTGCAACGGCTACGGCGTTGGCTATTCCTCTGCGTTGCTGATTGAGACCTCCCCCGACGGAGACATGAAGGTACTTCTTTCTTCCTGTTACACGCAGTAAGGGAAATGAGAATCTTGAACACGAACCGTGACTTATCATGCTACGTAACCTCTGTAAGTCTGGAACGCACCTTCTTGACGCTGGCCCCTGTTGTCTGAAAGACACGATATTCTGGTTCGAGGCTCCTTCCACGAAGGATTGAAGAGTTTGTGGAACGGATTGGCCTTTAATGGGGCACTCGAAGCTGAAATCTCAGCCGAGACTCGCAGCGTAATGGACGTGTAAGCTACGAACAGACAGAAAACCCCGAATCGAGTTGGTCGCGTCGCCATTAAAGAAATGGGTTGTCGACAGGACTACAAGGAGCAGGTAACCACAACCAGCTCTGACGGCTGAGGAGAGGAGACGACGCCACCAATCCCGCCAAGTGACCTGTATGTGGGAATCTGGATTCTAGAAGCTCACACAAGCTGCAGCATAACTTCCAACAGATTTGAGCCCTTGGGATTCGGTTTGGAAGGAAGAGAAGCAGGAGAGGGAGGGAATCACCCTTGGGATTTGGTTTGGACCTTGGTTTGGTTTGGAGGCGGAGATTGTGAACGGATGGTGATGATGTGGAGGCAGGCGAACCAAAGCCCATGAGCTGAGGCATCTGATTGGACGACATGGACGCACACTTCGAGATACATACAGCTGCGAGCGAACTTTGTCGAACACATCAGACGAAACGGACTCGGGGAAACCAGACGGAAGGAAGATCGCACCTGGTTTTTATGTGCTTCGCCAGATAAAGTTCTGACCCAGACGACCAAATTCGCGGATTTCTGTTACGGCAGGAATACGGCGCATGGGCCCCTTCTCGGCCGTCCAAACAAATGGCGATGAAATCTTGATCGACGATCCGACGCAAATCACGGCCCCTGTGGCCTCCCACCCTCACCAACCAGTGAACACGGAGCTTGGTTGAACCAAACAACCAAACCAAACACGCACATATAGCCAAGCACAAGCACAGCTACGCAAAGCACTTCAGCTCCTCAAAATGGCGAACCTTCATCTAAATGCGGTGCTCTTGTGCAGCTTTTTTGTAGTCGCGATATCGTTTGAGCATAGGGGCACAGATTCCGTCACGCTGGAACTTGATGCAAGTTATTCTGGCGTATCGAGTCCAAGCTCCGATTTTTTCCTGCATCGCACTTATCCTCGAGCTCGTCGTATTCGACCATGTTTGTTTAGAAGGCCTGGCGAGTTTCCAGGTCGGTATCATATTTCCGATGTTGGTATCAGCGAAAGGTCTAATTCTCACGCTCATCCGATGATCCGCCGCTGAGACTTTTGTGCTGCCGCAGCTTCCTCAGTGAAGTCGAGCGGTTTGCTGCATGTATACGTGAGGGGTGACCTTTACCAGCAAATGAGGGCGATTGCTAACTCTGTTGTTATCGCGCGCATTCTGAATGCGTCACTTGTTGTGCCGATTATTCAAGCAAAGACCTCATCGCACGAGGAGATGAGGTAAGTCCGACTTACGTTCGTTTTCGCATTGTCGATTGTGTTTCGTGGTTGTCATCCTGCCTTCACATGCAGCCAATTTGGAGACATTTTCTCAGAGGACCATTTCATCGAAACGCTAAAGGATGACGTTCACATCGTCAGGTATGATATACAGCATTCACGTTTCCAGCGTTTTTCTACTCAACGTTATCATGTCTTGAGGAACACCTTAGAGCAGACAATCGAATGCTACACTGGAGTCTAATACTTTACCGGGGTATCCACACGCTCCACCTGATCACCATACGCTAACTTTGGACTGGTACCTTGACAACGTGGGCCCAATTCTTCGGGAGGAGGGAGTGGCTGTGCTGGACCCCTACCTACTTTTTCTGTCCCGTGATCTGCCAGAAGTATATCAGGTGCGTGGTCTGTTGCTTTGGTGAACTGACACCTTACGTAATCTCTTCCGTGCTTATATGCACTTGCGGTCTCTTTGGCAGCGCCTGCGGTGTCGAGCACTCTACCACGCCCTCCTATTCACCAGCGAGATTCTGGGTCTCGGGTTGAATGCTGTGGAGAGGCTCCATGCCGAGGGTCCTTACGTTGCACTCCACCTGAGCTTTCAAGATAGGAACGTCTTGAGATCAAGTAAGATGACTTTTGTTTGAAAGCATGCGTCTAATTGCAACAAATCAGTTATGTGACGAGGTTGATTGTCTTCACAGGTTGTGTGTATGATTCCGAGACGGCACGGATGGTTCAAGAATGGTTTGCAACCCATCACATGAGAATGCAAAGTGATTCTGGTGCAGCCAGTCAGCAGAAGTTGGCAGGACTCTGTCCGTTATCACCAAACGAGGTCACACGCATTCTTCAGGCATGCTAAGCATGAGTTCTCCATCCTTCTTCAATGTCTAGCTTCGTTCTGTTCATACATACACCCACCTTGACTTCCGCTTTCCTTGCTTCAGGCAATAGACATTGGGAAACATACAAACGTGTATGTGGGTGGAGACTGTGACAAGGTGCAGAAGCTTTTAATGCCCATGCGATCAGCTTTTCCTGGGAAGATAATCAGCAGGTGTGACCTTCTGGACCCCAGCATGTCTACAAGCAACTCCCACATGATGGAGGCATTTGACTACCTTGTCAGCCTTGAAAGGTGAGGGTTCTCTGCTGTTAATCTTAGCTGTTGAAACTATCCTTACCCTTTGGTACAATCCATCCCCCCTAGTGCTTGCTCTTTCCCTCGCCTTGCTTTCTCACTTCCCCCTCTCTCCATGGCAGCGATTTTTTCATGACCAACAAAAGAAGCAGCATAGTTGTCCTGCTTCGCGGGCATAGGTTTTACATGGGAGCACAAAAGGTAAGATGGCGCTAGTGAAGCCAACTCTTTTGCAGCACTTCAATTTAAAGCTGAATGACTACGTATGTACAGGAAACCTACCAACCCTATGTGCCCGCACTCCTACCAGTGCTAGCAGTGGGGGTAGCTGGACAAGAAGCGTTGAGAAAGAGAGTGCATGAGCACAGGAAACAAGTGGCTGAGCTTCCATTGGTTGCCAATAGGTGGCACTTCTATGACAGGCCTTGGGAGTGTGTATGCCACTAAGCTGTTTCTTGCAATTAGAGGTCCACGTATAAGCTGTGGGGCTTGTAATGTCAGGACACAAATCTCATGCCAACTTTCTGACTGACTTGAGCAGCTGGTTCTGTGTGGGTTTTGGTGGCTGGGAAGTTGTCCCCTCGATTGATATTTTTGTGGGCATTTGTAGCACAGCTTCAAAGCCCCATTCTGCAGAAAGAATCCTTGCAGCAGTGGGCCCAGCAGTTTTGGGCATGCTTCTGTTGAATCATGCCTGCTCTTTCTATCCAAGGTGGGCTTGAATCAGGCCCTCAGATTGGTTCAGGGAGGGCTGATGACTCAGGGTCACCCTTGTGACTGCCCAAATATTGTGAAAGCTGTCGAGAAGAAAACTGAATAATAGAATCGACGGAGAGAACAAGGGTATATACCTAAGAGTGTTGTACCCTCTAAGAGGTGACCCTATACAGTCTATACAAATATGAGTTATACATATATTTGACACACCCCCTAGACTGCATAGGGGCAAATCCTGAACAAGCAGCTCAGGGCGGCACTACTAGTCCAGCCACTGAGACAAGGGTCTAAAGACCAGTCAAAAGGAGTATAGGCAAGACAAGAACAAGACCAGGGCGGCACTACTAGTCCAGCCACTGGGAAAGGACACAAGTCCAGTCTGAGTACATATATAGATATATATAGGACAGTACAAAGTCAAGGTCCTAGCAAGTGAGAGCCTACAGGAACTAGACCGAGCTGTACACCGTGCCACTGATGATCTTTAGGCGCAAGCGCCTTGGTAAAGATATCAGCTGTGTTGGCACCAGAGGCCAAGTGAACTACGCGGGCCTGGCGACGCTGCTGTAGCTCGCGCAGGAGGAAGTACCGCAGCTGAATATGCTTCGCTCTGCCCTCAAGTCGAGGCTCCTGACACAGGAGTATCATGGCCCTGTTGTCAGCGTACAGGACCGGGGCAGAGCTAGGCCGCTCACATAAGTCTGTGAGCAAGAAGGTCAGCCAGCGGAGCTCCTGTGCCGCCATGGCACCAGCGTAGATCTCAGCCTCACAGCTCGACTGAGCAATAGACGACGAGCGAGTGGATCTCCAAGAGATAGCACCCGAACCAAGGCTAAAACAGTAGCCCTGCGATGACCTGAGCGTCTCAGATTCATCTGCCCAAGAAGCGTTTGTGTGCCCTGTGAGGACCACTGGCCTGTGTCCTCCTAACACTAACCCCATGCCTGATGTACTTGCTAGATATCGCAAAACCCTCTTAGCTGCCGACCAGTGCCGTGGTCGGTGTCTGCCAGTGGCCACAAAGCGAGCCAGGATGCTGAGAGGGTATGCGAGATCTGGGCGAGTGCAGGTCATCAGGTACATAAGGCAACCCACCAGCTCTGCATAGGGGCCGCTGGGCTCTACTGACTCCTCAGGAACAGGAGCGGAAAGCCCGTGGTCTACAGGTAGAGGTGTGGGCTGTGCAGAGGAGAACTGAAGACCGAACCTCTGAAGGACCTGACGCACCAAGTGTGACTGTGTCAGAGTGATGGTGCGTGCTGCTCTGTCCCTAGAGATCTGCAAGCCAAGATAGCGACGCAGCTCTCCAAGATCAGTGCAGGTGTGTCTCTTCAGCAGCTCAGTCTTCACAGAGGCCAGTGCGTCCCTGTCAGGAGTAGCGAAGACCAGGTCGTCTACGTAGACAAGGATGTAGAACGGAGTCTGGCCGGAACGCACAAACAGTGAGGGGTCAGCACAGGACGGAAAGAACTGCAGGTCTGCTAACGTGGCACGTAGCGTGTCGTGCCACTCGCGGGGAGCCTGACGCAGGCCGTAGACCGGGCGGCTGAGAAGCCACTGGGTCCCAGGAGGGAAGGTACCAGTGAAGCCCTGTGGTCGGCGCAGGTAGACCTGCTCGTGAAGGCTGCCCTGAAGAAAGGCAGTAGAGAAGTCGAGGGAGTGAAGCTCGTAGTCACGCTGTGCTGCTACGTGTAGCAGCGCCCGAAGAGTGGTCATCTTCGGGGTCGGGGCGAAGGTCTGGAAGAAGTCAACCCCCTCGCGCTGACTGAAACCTCTGGCCACGAAGCGCGCCTTGAAGACAGGCGGCTCTCCAGGGGGGCGCTTCACCTTGAAGAGCCAGCGACCATCGACTACGTTCACCCCAGACGGGGGAACTGCGTCGACGTAAGTGCCGGTGGATCTCCAAGATGCCATCTCCTGCTCCATGGTAGCTATCCACTGAGAGGCCCAAGGTCCCGAGGTGGCCTCAGCGTAGGTGCGAGGGGTCGGGATGTCGAAGGCGTCTGGGTCACCCTCAGGGACTAAAAGCATGGAGCAGAGATGGGGAGCAGCCTCGGACAGGAAAGCCAGCTCGTACTGCCTGTCCTCTAGGACGTCATTGCCAAGGGCAGGAGCACCCCCGACAGACGGAGGACGGACAGGGTCAGAGACCAGAGCGGTAGCGTAGTCAAGGCGGCGGGTAGAGGCGAAGTCAGCGACAGCAGCGACAAGCGCGTTAAGGCGCGAGACAGGAACAGCAGGGTCGGTAACAAGAGAGGCAAGGACCCGAGGGACAAGGGGACGAGCAGCACGGAGGTAGTCAGAGAACGGAGGAGGTGCAACAGCAAGGGACGAGGGAGGAGGGGACGGGAGGAGAGGAGGACGAGACGAGCGGGAACGGAGCAACATAGGGTGGGTGGGCAGGACAGGAGAGACGGGACGAGCACGGGAGGGACGACGAGCCCAAACGTGAGACAGAGGGGTAGGGTCAGGGGACAGCGGAGGAGACACACGAGGGGAACGAGGAGGAAGACGGGCTGGAGACGAGTCCGGCGGCGGGAACACAGGACCGTAGACAGGAAGGTCAGCGGGCGGTGTGGGAGACACCGGCGCGCGGTCCGGGGAGGGAAGGCCGAGTAGGCGGAGAGCGGAGACCGGCGGCGACGGCTGCTGCGGCGGCGACGACGGCTGGGCCGGAACTCTCGGACCAGCAGAGGCAGAACGAGCGTCGGCAGAACACTCAACAGCAGCACCCCCAGAACCAACACCCCCAGAGCGAGAACCCCCTCCAACACCAGCGGCACCCCCAGAAGCCGCAGGACGAACACCCTCCTCCACACCAGCACCCCCAGGGGCCAAGAGCGGCGGCGGCAGTGGCGGCGACGACTTCGGCGGCGACAGCTGCGGCGGCGGCGACAGCGGCGACGGCTGCGGCGGTGGCGACAGCGGCGACGGCTGCTGCGGCGACGGCGATGGCGGCTGCAGCGGGGTCGGCGACTGCGACAGTGGGGGCGGAGGCACCGGGGAAGGGGGACGCGGCAAGGACAGACCGGGGGTACCACCAGAGTCAGCAGACTCCTCAACGGGGACATCCGACGGGAGGGGAGTGACGTGAGAGACACCAGACGGGGCAGGACGAGGCGGGAGAGGGGCAGGGGCTACCAGGGGAGAGGGAGCAAGGAACAGGGAGGGGGCCAACCGGGAGACCTCGGTGAGGGAAGCGGCGGTAAAAGGAGACGGACTCGTCAAAGGTAACGTCACGAGAGTGGAGGAAGCGGTGAGACGGCGGGTGATAGAAAAGCCAGTCAGACGAGTCCAGGGGGAAACCGAGGAAGACACAGGGGACAGTGCGGGCAGTGAGCTTGTCCGTGCCAGAGGCACGAACATGAGCAAGGCAACCCCAGACGTGGAACGCAGACGCGTCACCGGAGGACCCGGTCCAAAGAAGGGTCGGCGAAACCTGCGGCCGCTGGGAGCGTGGCCACAGGTTAAGCTGGTGAGCAGCGTAGCGAACAGCGAACGGCCACAGAAAATGGGGGGCATCGGCATGGATCATGGAGGTGCGGGCGACCTCCATGACCAAGCCGATGCGGCGCTCAGCAACCCCATTCTGCTGTGGCGAGTCCGGCAAGGTGTACGACTGGGTGATGCCCTCCGCACGACAGAACTGTCCAAGTCGACCAAAGGCAAACTCGCCGCCACGGTCGGAGTGGAGACACAACACGGGGAGACCGCGGTGGAGACGCGCAGCCACAACCCACGGGAGAAGAACGTCGGGCACGTCGGCCTTCCGCTCCAGGGGAAACACCGTGGTGTAGCGCGTGTAGTCGTCGACGAGCACAAGGAAGTAGCGCTCACCGCGCGGTCCGGGGACGGGGGCAGGGCCCCAAACGTCCAGGTGCAGGGTCTGAAGGGGGGCAGTAGCCGTGCGCAGCGAGGAGGAGTGAGGGGCACGGCGGAGCCGGCCCTCGACGCAAGGCGTGCACGGTGGCGCAGTCGAGGGAGGAAGGGCGGGGAGCGACACAGGGAGACCTAAGCCAAGGCCGTGCTGGGACATATGACACAGACGAGGGAGAGCAGGGTGACCTAAGCGGTGGTGCCAGAGAAGGGACGGGTGAGTGAGGGAACGACACGAGCAAGCTGCAGCAACCTGGGAGGACGCACCAACCGGAGGGGAAGCGGTGTCTAGGGTAAACAGACCGGACACCGGGTCCCTGGGGAACGTCGCAAGGGGGGAACCTGAGACAGCCTCAGAACAGACAGCGAACCACTCGTGCCCGGGGAACATGGTGGTGATGCCGAGGTCCTGGAGACAGCCGACACCAACCAGGTTCCTCGAGAACGAGGGAACGTGGAGGCCTGTAAGGGAGCCCGAGGGAACTGCTGGACAGGGAAGGGCCGTAGAACTGCGAGCAACGACAGGACCCGCAGAGGGGTCGGCGAGAGTGACGACAGCTGGCTTAGCAAGCGGCGTAAGTGCGGAACGGTCGCGAAAGAAGCAGGCAGAAGCACCGGAGTCGAGAGTGAAGGACAGCGCAGCAGTGGCAGGGGCGGGGAACGGAGCCGGTGCAGAGACGAGGCTAGACAAACTAGGCAGTCCTACGCCTGACGCAGCAGGGGAGGCTAGGCTACACAACGGTGCAACACCTAAATTAGAGAACACAGGATAATAAGATCCAGCAACACTAGCAGCGTCAGAATACATGGCAGGCAAAGCAGCACCTATCTGATCCATGTCTAACTCAAAGATCGGCACGCCCTGGCGGAGCAGGCTGTGCCAGTCAGGGAGGTCCGGGCCCGGGCCAAAGCGACGACGAAACAGGTCGTCGAGGCGGCGGAAACAGCGGGCAGTCGGGTGCGGGCGGCGGCACAGAGTGTCGCGAAGGGGCCCG